TATTCACCTGGGATGCCAACAATAGTATGGGAACATGGGAAATATGCATCCATTGCAAAGTCAGAAGGAAGTAATGTCTTGAAGTCCATACGACTATTTCCCTAGCAATCTGATGACTTTCAATTACCATAGCTTTAAATCTTTTAGACTTGTAAATGTAATACCCAGATCAAAGCAGAGTAAAATATTCCCAAATTATTTTAAAATGCTGATATGAAAATGTCATGTTAAAATTTTTACCATTTAATAGAGTTGAGTTGTATTAACTCTTTGTTCATCAGAGCACAGTGTTATTAAAGCACAGCTAAAAATGACCTAATTGAAAATGTTGGCAGTAAGGTAATTATGTAAAGAGATGATTAATTTAAGGGGTCTTTATGGGACTTAGGATGTGCTTAGGTTTTACGAACAACTGAAGGTTAAGAGGGTACCTGCCTTCAAGGTTCTTTGAACTATAATCCCCAATAACTTGGGGATGGCAGCGATGCAAAGTATTTGCCATGTCTTAAGTACACATTAATAGTCAAAATGCTCCCAAATAAATATATTTGCATGGTAATATTATTCAACAACTTTTCTGCGAAAAATAGCAAAACAAAATTCTTTAAAAAATTAGTAATACTACAGAATGTTCCTACCTCAAGTAATATATCACTGCTTTTTGCATGGAACTTTGGCCTCTGGGCTTGCTATCTATCCTGCATAACCTTCATAAAACAATACTGTGTCAGATGTTTCAGAATATAAAGTGATTCAAATTTGTCTGAGGTCAAGTCAAACTTTCATATTCACATAATTTCACAGTGCTTTCATTCTTAACATGAATTACAACTATGGTGACAGTGGTTGAATCAGCACATGACGCAATGAACCTTAAGTGACAATCTAAATATACTCCTGGGATCTAACATCTATCTTTTTATATGCACATTATAATTATGTCATTTTGTAATTAAGGTTTTTTTTTTTTTAAAAATACAAAAAATATGTGAGTATTTTCTACAGTTTTGCATAGAAATCTAGACTCTGTAATTGCTGCTTAGATGTATCAACTTGGGCACCGTGGACTTAGTCTAGTTTGATGATTATAATGTAAAGACAAATATAGCTGTATTTCCTAATAATAATAGAGAGAAAAACATGTCCATAATTTGTCAGTAAATTGCAAATCTTTGGAATAGATAATTACTAACTATGTAGAGTATATTTTTTGGCAGTGTATAATGTACAAAACTTCTATAATTAATGATAATAAATATATCTTGAAAAGAGTTATTATAGTGAAGTATTATTAACAGCATAAAAAGATACAGATCTACATTTATAAGGCTGTAGACTACCATAACAATACTTTAGATTGTTAGTATTGTATAATATGCATGAAATACCATTAATATTGTTATCTCTTTCCTTTATTTTAAAAATCAATCTGAAGACAGGATGCTCAATTCAGTCAGTTAATGTCTATTTAATACCTTCAATATCACTGTCAATACATGGGCTTGGTTTTGTTTTAAATTAAATTGTAATACAAAAAAAACTAAAAACGTAAAAAAAGATAATAGAAAATAAAACACATTTTGTTTCTTTTTTGCTCTCTCATTGGTCATCAGAGGTTGTTCTTCTCATTCTACTTCATTTCTACCCTTGCACTCACTCACTCTGCCAAAATAAATATGTGATGTATGAAAATAAAAATATAAAATATATGTTGGGAAAAAAACTGTTCTATATGTATCTTGAGATGATCTACTCTTTTATTTCTTTCTAGTAACCTCCAACCGCCAGCTGTGATCCAGCTCATATAACTAACCAAACCTGGGTTTTATACCATATTTTAATTTACAGTCAGTGATGAATGCTTGATATATGTTTTATTTGAAAACCACTATGTTTGATTTGCTGTTTTCTTTTGGTTTTGCTGCCTTGCATTCACATGAGGCCTGCATATCTGTGTCTGATAGAGTTTCCAGATTTTCACTAGAAGTATCTTGATATGACTGTTTAGCTATTTTTTCTCCATGCTAGTAGCTTTTGCAGATTTTATTTATCAATTATGAAAACAACCTATTGTAAGAGTTACATGTTTTTTTTTTAAATGTACTAGTAAATCAACCTCCATGTCTCTGTCCACAGTGCTGAAAATGAATCTGTGCGAAAATGAAAGAATGTATTTAAAATTACATTTTAGTTATACAATAAATCCCTTTTATTGTGTTTGCAAGTTTACAGGGAGGAACAACACAAGAAGAAATCAATTGTAGCATATAGATTGATCAAGTGTACAATGTTAGTGAGGGAAGGGAGGGTTTTGGGGAGGTGGGCAAGTAAGAAAGGTTAGAGCAGACATGTCCAAAGTCTGGCCTGCGGTCCGGTTTAATACGGCCCCACAGGTGATCCTCGAGCGCCGCTGAGTACATGCAGTCACAGGGCGTTCAAAGATCCAGAGATTCTCTTGATCTTTGAACACCACGGGACTGCATTTCCTCATTCTGCATTTTCGTGGTCCCGCGGGATCTCGTCAATGCCGCGGGACTACATTTCCTCAGTCTGCGTTGCGTGGTCTCGCGGGATCTTGTCGACGTCGTCAGATTTGTCGCGTTCCTTCTCCTGTCAGAAATCCACCAAAGAAAAGGAATACAGAGAGAGAAAAAATAAAGACAAGGAATAAAGAGAGGGAGAATAAAGTCAAGGAATATAGAGAGAGAGAGAATAAAGACAAGGAATACAGAGAGAGAGAGAGAATTAAGACAATGAATAAAGATAGGGAGAGAATAAAGACAAGGAATACAGAGAGAAAGAGAGAATAAAGTCAAGGAACAGAGAGAGAGAGAGAATAAAGACAAGGAATACAGAGAGAGAGAATTAAGACAAGGAATACAGACATAGAATAAAGACAAGGAATACAGAGAGAGAGAATAAAGTCGAGGCATATAGAGAGATAAAATAAAGAGAGAGAATAAGACAAGGAATACAGAGAGAGAGAATAAAGACAAGGAATACAGAGAGATAGAATAAAGAGAAGGAATAAAGAGACATAGAATAAAGAGATAGAATAAAGAGAGAAGGGACAGAATACTGATATTTGAGACAGAATAAAGAGAGAAGGCACGGAATAAAGAGATCTGTATAGTGACAAAATAAAGCTATTCTGAGACATAATAAAGAGATATGTATGGTGACAGAATAATAAAGTTGATAGACAACCTTTATTACCAATAATATGTAATGTACTTTACAATGTTCCTGACATATATTTCAACTTCCTGTTTTGTTTTTTCATCTGGCCTTTAGATATGAAAGGCAGAGTGATTTAGCACCTGTTTAGATTTGTCATCCATGTGACGAAATAAAAAGTATATGGTTTGCATTAAACTTTGCATAAAATAATTCATTTGCATTTAATTTTAATGGTTCAAAGAATGTCAGACAAAATGGTCGGCCCTCAAGCATGTTCACTTCATCAAATTTGGCCCTATTTGAAAAAAGTTTGGACATCCCTTGGTTAGAGGATCAGACAAAATCTAATATCCTAATTAAGAAAAAGCATCCTGTAGCTTATATGCATCCTCATGGATGCTACTTCTGATGGACTGAATGACTTTTTCGATGACCTCTAGAGACTATGTAAACTGGGATATCCACAAGTTTAATCCCAAGATGTACAACTCCCATGATGCTTTGCATGCCTTTAGAATGTCTATAGAATGACAAAGCATTGTGGAAGTTGTAGTTTTAAAATATCTGGATATCTACCTTTTGGGCACCCCTGATGCAGACCAAGCATGTTGGAAAACATTTAATGAGTCTTTGAAAAATGTTTAGATGCACTTGCAGAGTGCTGAAACATTCCACTTTCTTCCTCCATTCTCTCAATGTGGTTGGGAAGAGATCTCTCTAGTTGAGTGGATTGAGGGATGTGGTCATGTGAATTAAGATGTAGTAACAAGGCATCTGGTGTGAAAACAAAAAGGTCTGCAGTAAGTGTTGTAATGTGGGAGAGTGTGCTTGTTGCCTGAATGGTTGCACTCTGCAGTCTTTGTAATAGGGTGCCTTTGGCCCTTGAACATCTAAAACAGAAATTTTGTGTATGAGATTTCAGGTTAAATACACAATTTTTGGTACAATGGGTGACTGAAATTTATGTCCATACTATTACTTGTACACATTCTACTTCTTGTCATCTTGCTGGTAAATAGTGAGGTCCCGAATGGTTCGCTGAACGATTCGCTGAACGGTTCGCGAATGGTTTGCCATGACCGGTTCGCCGCGGACTCATCATTGAGTAAACTTTGATCCTGTACCTCACAGTCAGCAGACACATTCCAGCCAATCAGCAGCAGACTCTCCCTCCCAGACCCTTCCACCTCCTGGACAGCATCCATTTTACATTCATTGTGAAGCTGCATTCTTAGTGAGCTGTCCAGGAGGTGGGAGGGTCTGGGAGGGAGGGTCTGCTGCTGATTGGCTGGAATGTGTCTGCTGACTGTGAGGTACAGGGTCAAAGTTTACTCAGTGATGAGTCCACGGCGAACCGTTCGCAGCGAACCGTTCGGCGAACCGTTCAGGACATCACTACTGGTAAACATTTGGAACATGGCTAGCCATTATCAAAAATAATAAATAGTTTGATGTAGGAAAAGGGAACCAAAAGAACTGTTGATTTAAATATTATCTAAGCAAATATGTATTAATATGTTTTCTTATCCTTTATCCTAAACAGAATGTAAAATTCTTTAACCACAGCTTTATGAGTATCAATAAATACCACTGCAAAGGTATATAATTGTGTTCATATAAAATAAAATGATTATTTTTATTTTATTTAATTTAATGTTATTGTGTCTAATTATTGTTTATAATTTATGTTGTTTTTTCTGTGCATGTTAGAAATGAAAATAAAAAATTAACATAGAAAAAAAATAATTGTGTTTATATATATATATATATATATATATATATATATATGTTTTAATTATATCTACTTTTTTCTCAGATTTCTGGCGAGCTCTTTTGATAAAATTAATGTGCCATGTATGTAACCAGTAAACCAAACAACACTGTTGTTTCAGCCTTAGTAAGTAATAGTTTATTTACTTATTTTGCAATGCACTTTTAAACAGGAAAATTAATTTAAAATAAAATTACCCCAAGGCCGTATCACTCCGACATAAATGATGCATTATATGCATCAACAGAATTTCAATATAAACAGATGTATTAGTGCATGAATTATTTTTTATGAATTTTATAGCAAATATTTAGAGAATATACATTAATTATTCACTATGTACAATTTGTATTTCAATAGCACTGTGAGTAGATTAGCATTAGAGCAACAGCATAGCTTATTACAGACATGTCAAAAGAAAACAAATTCTTCATTAAATTAACACAATAGAATTATTTCAGACTGTAAAGAATTCACAAATAATAAAAAAAACCTTTTTATAAAAGAACATACAATATATAAAAGATTATCTAATGTTGCAAGTTTTTAGGGCACTTGTTATAGGGGTGGCTGAACGCTGGATTTTGTCTGTATTGTAAATCTTCTTTGGCAGTTTTCATTATTTTCTGTCCAGTTTTTGACAATACCCACTGTTGAATCAGTTATTGTTCTTCTCACTGAGGTTTTTGTTTCAAGATGGACTGGTGTGTAATCACTGTTGCATGGTTTGTAGAGATTTTATAAAGGTCTTGTCCTGATCCTTGTGGAGGTGAAGGCATAGGTGTTTCTGGTGTTACTATAAGAATGATAAAACAAAATATTGTAATCCCTTTTTTACAAATTAAATTGCAGTAATACTAATACAAAGTAGTATGATGTATAGTATTCTTTGTGTATAGTATGTATTTTATAATTGAATTTTTATACTTTTTTAGTATTCAATAAAGTGGCATATTTTAAAACTTGTAAAAATCTTTTTTTTTCTTATGACGCTTGTCTGTTCGTCTGTTTGTCTGTCAATCTAGCCATTTTTCTATGAACAAAATATATAGTTCCTTCATGGGACATTTAAACTTCAAAATCAATATTTCAGTCATAAAAAAAACTTTGGGAAAAAGTAAAATGATGACTTATGTTACAACGTTATAATAAACTCTGCATCAAGATTGAAATCTTCTGTGAATTTAGTTACGGAACTAAACAGACACAAAGACACATAGATGTTCATAATTCATTTAGAAGATTGTTAATTAATTAGTATTACCGAGCAAAGATGAATATTAAACAGGAGTGGGTTCATAATTACATTGGGTTAATATTTAGATATTAAAATATGTGAGATATATAGTATTTTATTGCATATCTATCAAAAAAAAAACCTGCAGGCCAAATAATTGCTGCAATTATTTGTCATGAAATAAATATAGGTGTTCTTTCGAAGTCTATTAAGATTTATCTTTGTGAACAAATGTTTAAGGGAAAAAAATGTTTTTTCTGGTGGTTTCAAGACAGTCAATACTTGTGCTAATCATTGGCCACATCTGGAGCCAGCTCGAAATGATCCTAACAGAAGTAAAAAAATTAATGTTTCACCCGAATTAACCAAATGTTCATGATTGGCCCTCCACATACTCTCTGAGAGTTAATGATATCAAGGGTCCACTGGACCCAACATAAATTCAAGGTACCCAATAAATGCCCCCAGGTAATAATTGAAAGATGCATATTATGCATGGGTGTACATATCTTGAAGGGAGGCTGTGGATTTAATATTGCTTGTGGTACATACCTCATGCGCATAAAGTTTACAATAGAAATATGACCGCTTCTCTTTTAAATTTTGACTACATATACAAATATGTATACACAATATGTTTGTGTACAGAAATTAAAAAAAAAAACACTTCTTCAATTTCAGCTGTTTACAAAAAATAAATTTGCACTGTCAACAAAAAAATGGTTATTTATTCAACTGGTAATGTTCTGTTATTCTAGAAAAGTTTTCTTATACTAATATTAATATTAATGACCTTTTTGCTATTTCCCAGAGTTCTTAATTCATAAACTATCTATTTTTATCTGTCATAATAGGAAAATATAGTTTTCTTCATAAATTAATTTACATGCTTGATTACATGACATTAGAAAAGTGAAGCATTCAGAGTACTATGTTCATAGTGAAATTAAAATAATAAAATAACGTTTTCTTAAAACTTACCAATCTGTTCAGAATGTAATGAAGCTGACATTGAACTTATAAGAAGAGTTTGCCCCAGTAGAGGATCTTGAGTTAAATGCGGATGTGTTGGATGATGTATGTGACTAACTTCACCAGCGGTACCTGTAAACAATATCGTTACAATGTCATCATGGGTGATCTTACTGATGATTTGTATCTGTACAAGAGTTTTCTTTCACTCTGAAATATTGTTTATCTTTAATATTTGTATGTATTTATTTATTTTTAATTCAACAGTCAGGACGTAAAATGTGCCATTTGGATGATAATATTTTAAATACATGTAATGGTAAAAAACTGTAAAATGCAAATGTATGGGGAGGTTGGATTTATCTTTTAAAACATGGGGTATGGGGAGGTTGGATTTATATTTTAAAGCATGGGGTATGGGGAGGTTGGATTTATCTTTTAAAACATGGGGTATGGGGAGGTTGGATTTATCTTTTAAAACACGGGTTAGCTCTTATTATATCAAACATTGGCTAAGATTTTTGGATAGAAATACTGCTAGTAACATAAAGCAGCAAAAATAGATAAGTATAAATTAGCAGATTACTTTGAGTATCAGTATTTGTAAAGACTGTTTTGGTATTTATGTGAATGTAGATTCCTAGTAATGTAAAAAATATGGAAATGCTAATAATATGCATAAGGCCCATGTATATTAGATACAATTCCATGCAACTGTGCCACTGAAGCCTAGAAAACAGTCCTGCGTACCCATCTTAGAATATTCCCTCTCTTCTATAGAGTCCTTCTCTAGAGTCCTAATTGGTAGAAGGTACTCTTGATGTTTGACCTGCACATTGTTTTGTAAAGTGTATGAGAAAGGAAGTTCCAGCATTTACTCTATAGACGTTCCAAGAGAAAGAAATCAGTAGAGAAATTAGCATGACAAGATAAATATTAGTCCAAGTATGCATGTTGTTAGGAGGAAAATGATGTTGAAAGGGAACCAGAATTATATGTATAATGGATAGATGGATATGTTAGATATGGCATTCATTTTATCAATCTTCAAATGATAAAAAGCTAGGTCAGCCTCTGGGATGTGGAAAATATGACATTCAGATTATGTTGAAAAAAATAATTGCAAGTGTGTGTCGGTGTGTTAGTGTACACATGTGTGACTAACCTATGCCTCAAGTCTAGACCTATTTGTAACCCTAAGTATTTAAAAATGCTTTATTATATATCATATAAAACCAGTGCATGTATTACAATAACAAAATGCCATTTTGAGGTTCTGGAAACAATGACCCTTATTCTCATGATGTTTAATATTACTTAAGCCCTTCCCTACCATTATTTATACATAAGGCAATATTCACTTTGATGTATATTCACTCTTGAAAATGTTTGTGTGTGTGTGTGTGTGTGTGCATTGTGTGTTTTTTTTTTCTTTAACCAATGTAAATTAGATTTTTTGGGGGTATAGAAGAAAGTAAATATACACAATCCACATAATCACAGTTTGTAAATACATTAGAAGCTGCTATCTAATTTATTTATTTTTTCAGAAGATTTCAGCTACTTAATGTTTAAGACATTAACCAACAAAGAATTGCAGAACTTAGAGAGTTAACTCATTGTACTACTATAATAGGACATTTTACAAATACATTTGTAGTGACCTGATTAAATTTCCAACAGGTTCAGTAGAATATCTCACCTCCTAATAACATCTCCTGGAGTAAATTGTCAATCTTAACCATTCCAAACAGTTTCACAAATTGAACTTGTTCAATCATTTGCCAGGTAATACTCTGGAGTGTAGGTAACAGTAAAAGGAGTTCTCCAAACCTTCCTCTAGAATCATACTGTCTGTCATTGATGTAGTCTTCTAAACTGATTTGCACTTGATAACGCATATTTTTAATTTTCATTGGGTTACTGAGTCCTTTAGCATCTGGAAAAATACAAGTATATATAGATATATAGAGAGTATCGATTACATGCAACTATTATACTACAATAGTTTGTTAAAAATATCATTAGGTTCTGGGGACATCAAGACACAATTCATATTCAAAACACTAATAGATATTACATATCATTTTTCTTAAAAAAATTGCTGGGCTAGTTTTAGATAAATGCAAGTTACCATATGATGATGATGATGATTATTATTTTTATTATTATTAATTTTATTATTATTATTATTATTAGCATTTATATAGCACCAACATATTTCACAGCATATTTCCAAAAATTGAGATAATTGACAAGAAAATAACGTACAGAATATTAGCAAAGACAAAAAGTGAAGAAAAGCCCCGCTCAAACAAGCTTACAATGAGAAAGGGATAAAGAAGAATAAGAGGAATAACATCATGTCAGAGTGGTGAAGGGATTGATAGATACGATGCCTGTGTCAAAGTAAGCTAGTAAAAGTGGAGTGTGGAAGACCGGTGGAAAACATTCCAAGGCAGTGAGCTTGAGTGATTGGGGTAAAAGGTGTCCCATTGAGGTGCAGGGAGATAGATGAAGGTGAACTATTTAAGAGAGAAAAGATGAGAAAGTTTAGTTTTAGAAAGTTTATGTTTTAAATATGTTTTTATAATGTGAAGACATCCAGTTAGAGGTGGAAGAGAGGCAGTTTGTGAGCAGGAGAAAGGTCAGAGGAGAACAGGTAAATCTGAGTATTGTCAGCATATACTAATATCAATACACACAACAATATAAAAAGCTTAAACAATAAATAAATGCATCTCTATTGGGCAAGAATATGTGCTGGAATGGAGAGAAAGAAAGTCTATTTATTTATTCATTTTTGTAGTATTCCTTGTATTGGTAAATCTAAACTAAGCCTATGAGTGGATGGAAAATATTGTGCATTTTTATCTGCTCAGGGTCCTTTTCCACTGTGCAATGGATTTATATACAGATGCTCCTGACAATTTTGCATTGACAGATATAGTATTTGTGATGCATAAAGGTACTCCATTAAACCAAATATGGATCAGCATCATGGAGTTTTTTTAGGCACCAAGACAGTGCAAGATTATTCAACAAAGACCAAAATAAATCAAGCTCTAGCGGCACACTATAGTCACCAGAACAACTACAGCTTAATGTAGTTGTTCTGTTGTCCATAGCCTGTCCCTGAAGGCTTTTCATAGCAAATGCTGCCTTTTTAGGGAAAAGGCAGTGTTTACATTGCTGCCTTGTAACTCCTCTAGTGGCAGTCACTCCGATGGCAACACCCCTTGAGGTGATTCCTAATCCAGTGCTCTGTGTGCAGGGTCTACATTCAGCATGATGGAGATGCTGAAAGCTCCCCATATAGATGCATTGATTCAATGCATGTCTTTGAGGAGATGCGGATGGAGCAGTGCTGTGTTTTGCTGTGCAGGCACAATACCCTTTCAATGCTTTGTTATGGGAAGGCATTGGATTGGCTGAGATCATCAAGATTGATGATCTCAACCATGGAGGCCGGACAGCAAGACTCACCTTTTATTTCCACAGAGGGAGGGGCTGGTAACCTAAACATTAATTCCAGCAAATTATTGTTCCTTTAATTTAGGATGGGAACTCCTTGAAGATGAAGGAGTATCTGATGCTAAACAGATGACTTTACATGTCTAAACAGACACTAAACAGTAAGTTACAGAATTAACCTGCGATATAAAAAAAAATATGAGTTTTCACTTTGAATTCTTACTTTAGTAAATAAACCAGATTGTGTCAGGGCAGATTTTTGTTTCCATTAATAAGTGTTGAACATTTTTTTGGATGTACGTTGCATGAACATATGCAAGTATGAGTATATAGAAGTAAAATAAAGCTTACCTGGATCAAAAAATACAATTGCTTTTAGACAGGCATATTCATTGTCATCTATTTGAATCTCCTGAAATGGGTGGACAAGCTCATCCAAAATTCTGTTAGCCACCCGGCTAATCTCTATTTCAGAGCTGTTGCGATGTACTACATAGCTATTACCTTTAGAAACAGAATATTGTGTAAAATCACATTGTATTAGTTGCAAAGCTTTGATTAATGGAAATAAAGCATAACTAAGCTTGATATTTTTATTTTATGTATTTATAAAATATTTTACAAGGAAGGATACATTGAGATTTCTCTTGTTTTCAAGTATGTCCTGGGTTTACGTTCTGGAAAAATTATAAGCAATCCCATTAAGTATCACATGACTGTCATATGGTACTTAAGGGGTTAGGACAAATTTAAAAATATATATAATTGAACATAAACTAGCTTGATTTTTATGTATGCTTGTTTGTTTTTTAGCTTAGCTACATAGGCATTAATGTATAGGTTATAAACCATCATCAGAGTAGGTGCACATATTTTTCTTGAGTGTAAATGAAGAGTCCAATCAAAACAGACCTTGCAACATTTTGACATTGAAAAGCTGGAAGGTCAGAAATATGGAAGTGAATATTAATAATGAAAAATAAGTATACAAATTAATCCAAACAGTACTAGAAAAAAAATCAGGAACAAATCACAAGTTACAAAAAGAACATCATAAATGAGTAATCTATTTACCTGTTTTTCATTATAAATTTGCACTTGACCCTTAGACTTGATAAAGTCCTGTTTTAAGGTTGAAAGATTGCCAGGTCGGTGGTTAAATAAATTCCATGTTTGGCATCATTTGGGCTGAGGTTTTTTTTCTTGGGCGTTTTTGCTAAATGTATACTTTGTATTTAAGTCATTCAGTAAAATGTGAATTATTAGGTATTTTGTATGTTCAATTTTAAATCTTAGACCAGACTTTTTCCATTTTGGCTATTTTGTCCAAAATAAACCTTCAGGGTTCCATAATTAAAAATGTCCATCCAGACAGAGAACTAGTACCTCCTATTTTCCGTACTTCAGAATGAAAAATACATAAATAGTAAGATTTTCTTTATTGTATTGTTATCATACGTTTTGCTATCATACCACGGTGAATGAAAGACAACCACTGTGCATTTACAGAGCAAATTTAATGATAACATAGGTTAATTGTTTCGTTTATAAGAAGCTTCACTTAAAATAATTTAAATTAAATTGTTTGTGCTCTCACCTAAAAGTAGCATGTCTTTGTAAACCATAGATCGTTTTGTTACACCAAGGAGAAGATGTTCACCAGCATGTGCCCTTAATAATGCAACCTGCGTGAAAAATAAAAATAAATTTAATCATGTAATTTGTCTTACGCATAATGTATTAATTAAGTTTGGCTGCTCCACATCATTAGAGCACCATGGTTTGCAAACATGGTTATTAGGTAGCAACACTGATATAACAATGCTTAATGAGGCACATTTAATATGGAGCAGCAGCTGTTGTATTTAAATAGCCATTAGTATCATAAAAAGGGAAGGCTTGAGCTTGTCATGCATGCCAGAGCCACAGGAATTCTGATACAACACTGTAATAATCGTGGGCTACTAAAAAGAGTGGTAGTTAAAGTGGCACTGTCACACACACACTCCCTGCCCCTCCCCACCCAAAAGAGTATTTCATAGAATCTTTATGGAACACTCATATTGACTGTGTTGGCATTTCAATGAAATTACAACCCAGTCTAGAGATATACTTAGACAAAGAATGGATGGGGTGGAGCTATCACATCTAGAACGGTCAATCCCTCCAGCCGTCACCAGTAAATTTACTTAATCTTTGGAGGAACCTACACAAGAGTAGTGCAGTGATGTCGGCTCTTGGAATTGAAGCACCAGGAGCTTAAGATGACCTACCAGAAGAAGATGATGGCACCTGTGAGGGACAGATTCAGGTAGGTAGAACTCAACTTTGCCTGCACACCATGGCCACTGGACCCCCAACGGCGATGTCACTGTCGGGGGTCTTTCCAAATTCTGCAAAGTCCCAAGACAATAACAGTGCCGCTTTTTGGTAACACTAATTTCATATGCCAGGAGAAAGTCTGGGAAAGAAATACACACTCAGGATTATTCACTAAAAGTGAGAATTATACAAGTCAGCTACTTTGAATGCCAGACAAATCTCACTTTAGTAAATAACCATTTAGTAAATAGCCACTATCGATGACGTGGCAAGAGTCGAACAAGGGACATCAGTTGCAATTAGAAGTTATATAGATGAGTAGCTCATGTATTCCATATGTAATCCTCAGATTAACCCCATACAGACTACGTTCCTAAAAACCCTACATGATTTAGAATATTCTACCTATTTAGTACTTGATGACCTAGACATCTCCATAGTTATTAAATCAGAGGATCTATGATCCATTTTTGTAAAGGATCTTTCAGTCTGGTGTATAATGAAATATTATCATCTCTTTGTTCCTTGAGGAAAGCTAGCCCTAGTCCTGACCTTAAAAAAAATAAAAAATAAAAATCTAATGTTAAACATATATAAAACTGCAATATGTATTAGAGGAAAATAATAGTGTGCCCGGGTATAATATATCCATGAACCATGCAAAAGCATCATTTACCACTATATATCCAAATATTAGGGGAGCCCAATAACTACATCTTCAGATATTCTAGATATACAGCTACCATAGAGATTTGCCACTCAAGAGGCTGGCAAAGCATCAGTTGAGTTGCAGTATACATTATTTTTGAAAGATTTTTTTAAAAGACTTTATTTGCAGAGATGCAATATAGCGTGTACTAAATTTAGAATACCAAGGGCATAAATGTTTTACATCTTTTTTTCACATACCACAGATCATTAATTCACTATTGAGTCTTGCAGAAATACACACAAACACAAAACATCAGAATAAATAGGTTTCTTCAATTTAACCCATTCATAAAGAAGTCATGCAATATATAAAATTTTCCAAATCATCATAGTGAAAATCTTAATCTTAGATTTTCCATCTAGTTTAGTATTTTAATTTATTGTGCATATATTTGTACACTTTTTACACTATATTTGTATTTGGTAAATACAGTGAGATCCTTATTGCATATAAACACATATTTAATTTGTTTTTAATTGTGTCATTCAACTATTACTTGCATTCAATAACATTAAACATTTATAACTGTTAAATTCCATTATGTAATCAATATAAAAATGTTATGGGTGATGTCCAAATTACTATTCACATAGATCAGCATAGCCTCAACAGAAGCAGAGATATTTTAGCAACAGCTGCACAGCTTAACATCTTATATATCTTATTTGTATATTTCATCTGGAGGAAACATTTATTGAATTACTTTTTGAAGACTGTATCAGAAAGGGTTGTAGAATGTTTTTTAAGATTGCTGGTTTAAAAATAGGGATTTATAGTAACTCGTCTGAACAGACACCATCGAACTACACCCTTGGTACAATCGTCAAGCAGTCAAAATGTAAGTACATGGTCAGTTTAATAACAGTTAACAATTTAATAATAGGTTATCCCTGCTTAGTTGGGCTAAATTGTAGTTTTTACAACTCAGCTACACAGGGGTAATTAATCTCTTGTGCAAGTCAAATGGAGATATATATCAGTGGAGAAATGATTGCTAATGAGGGTTGGTATTTAAAAAGATATGATGATATGAATATGAAAGAATTATGATTGTTCTATCTGAAAAGGGAAATAATTTAATATAATGTAACTAACTAGATGCAATTAATCTAAAGTTCAGAATTAAGGGCGAATATAAAATCTCAACCATTATTAAGACAAGGTCTATAAATAAAACACAATTGAGCTGTACTGGTGTAGTGCAGAATTACTTAATATTAAGATTTTTTAAAAGGTGGAATTTATAATTTAACACTTTAATTTGTTTGCTATGTATGTATTTACTGTCCTCAACTATCTTTAGAATTTCGTATTAAGAGAATAAATGCTCTAATACATGGCTATCTAGTAAATTAAGAATTTCAGGAAATTTAAAGGGAAGTGCAGCAGAAAGCCCTCTAATTACTGTCATACTGACAGACTTTAGAGAAGTACAGGGATCATGGTACCCACACCACTTCACTGAGATGTAGTAATCTGTGTGACTATAGTGTCCCTTTAAATTTAGAAATTAATTTTGAAGTTCTCAACAGTTGTCACCTTAGTAAATAACCATGTATGTGTTTGAGTCTTTTGAATAATGTAACAATGTCAGTGCTGATTATATATTTATTTTATTGTTATTGTTAAAATAAACAAAAAGCTATAAATGTTAACAAAACCTGAAAATCCACTTTTAATCCTGAAGTTACTTTATAAAATTTAGGAATTTATTTGCAAAACAGTGAGATGCAGTGAACTACAATGAATTGTCAAATAACTGGAAATAATCTGAATTTGCCTACGTTTTTCAACCTTGGTATTTTGACTCACATTATGCAGCAAGCTTGTTAACCTGTCTCACAAAAACTCACTGTTACATGATCAAATCCACCTCCCTGTGACATTTGTATATATTTCACACCTGATCATCCAGAGGAAGTTCACAAAAGGCAGGGATGTATTTTGCCCATTCCACCAGGACAAGCAGCTGCTGTTTCATGGATTCACAGACGTCACTAACACTGGCAATTTTCTTAACGTTTATGTCAGTATTCGTACCAGGAGTTGAACCAGTAATCTGCCCAGGTCAAAAAAAGCAAAACAGAATGAATAGACTTTATTAAAATACCAATCACATAAAGCATTACCTTTGGATTAAACTGATTTTAAACAAAACCCACAGAAGCAGTCATGCGAATAATTGAAAATTTCTCCAAGTGTTATGGAATCTATCAACTTGCATGCAAAAGGCATTTTTTTTTTTCCTTCGCAGTGTTACCAAGGAATATTTTAGATAGGACAGTATACCCTACATTGAGCATATTAGCACAATAACAATGAACAATTCAGAAATCCTATCTATTTACACCTTTACCTGTAAATGTAATGAGGTTGTTTAGAGTCTATACCTGTAACTGATTTTGCAAAGGAAAAATGATCTCTTATTATTTGAATTGAATAAAAAAAAGAAAAAAAGAAAAAATTCCATTACTCTGTTCCTTGCTTGCCCATAGAATTATATTTTATCATTTTGTTCAATTTTTCTGAAAGGAGGCTGGCTTTTTTGGCATCTCCAATTAAGGGTTTTACTTTTTTATTTAATTGCTATACTCAGTACTGCTGAAATCTCACTCCCCTCCTGCATAATTGGTTGGCCTGTTTGTGAACACTTCTACCAAGCTGTGAGAATATCCCCCACTGACTTCACTGATTGCAATTTGGAACTCTGTTACTCCTTTTCTGTATCCCACTGGCAAAATGTTAGATGGCCTTGCTAAAAAAATAAGCACAACAATTACTCAACATGTATTGTAGTTGCTGTTAAGAGGTAAAGGAGATCAGTTTGTAGATGGTATATCAAAAATAGTTTAATCAACCTGTGGTTGGTATTCCAAAATTATTTTGTATATAGTATACCAAAAATAGGTTTTCTTAAATTCGATATATTTATAAGCTTTCTACTGTACAATTATAGATAGTTCACAGCTCTTTCATTAAATGGTTAGACTACCCATCTATATGTAAAAGTACTTGGAAGAACAGAACCTCTTCCATAAGCAATTATCAGCTGTTGGTGTGTCCCAACTGTGCTTTGGCCCTATATGATGCTCTTCTCTGGAGCAATGGCATCTGCAGTCAAGCTTCACCAAATAGTATTGAATGTAATAAATCAACAACATAATTGTAATAACAGAAGATGTTCAGGTTTGAACGCTTGTTGTCATTATGAGTATGCTGTTTCTCCATGTAGCTGGTTAGCAATTGCTAACCATGAGAGGTTAATTTTAAGATAAACATGTCACAAATGGAATGTAGGAGAGGCTCAGCAACATTAGGGTATATAATTGTACCTTTATAGTAACATAGGGGTCTACTCTCAAAGGTATAATTGGAGAACAGGTGAATTAGTAAAGACACCACATGGATTAACATAAGGTAATCTTAGTAAGTGGCATAGGGCTTCAGGGTCAGACATAGGCATCCAGAACCATGGATTTTGGTTTGGCAACATTCACCATTCCTATGTGAAAAATGAAGGGGGATCCAAAATGGTAGCCTACCTAGGACACTGCGGGATATTAATCCTTCCCTGTGTACTAGGGTAACTTGTTTGCAAAATTAGTTATTCTAATTGACTCAATTACCCCAGTGAGAGTAAAAAAAATGGGGGGGGTGGTGGGGGGAAATATTGAATGCAAACATACAAAATTGGTGGGTAGAACTTATATATGATAAGTGGGGTTCTCTGGAATCCCTAATATGACATAACACATCTTTTTTTATTTGCAGACAACATCTGGTGGGGTGAAGATTAGCAATAATAATGTTTGATGGTTACCCTGGAAAACCTCAGTTCATTCACCCATACTGGGGGCTGTAATACATGTATAGTTCCTTGGGCCTCCATTTATAAAAGAAGAAGAAACGCATGCATTCCTGTTATCCCATGAGCAGTCAGGTCTGTATACAGCCCTTAAAGGGACACTACAGGCATCAAAACAATGTTAGCTTAATGAAACAGTTTTGGTGTACAGATCATGCCCCTGCAATCTCACTGCTCAATTCTTTACCATTTAGGAGTTAAATCACTTTTATTTCTGTCGATGCAGCTCTAACCACACCTCCCCTGGCTGTGATACACATAGTCTATAAGACAAAATGCTTTCATTTTTTATTAGATGTTAACTTACTTTACTCTTAACTCTCTAAATCAGGGGTTCTCAACGTTAGTCCTCAGGACCCCCTACCAGTCCAGGGTTTAGGGATTACCTGGGTGTGTCTCAGGTGTTTAGAAAAAGAAAAAAAAAACACCTTAGAGTCTAAGGTGTTTTTTCCCCCCCTTTTTCTAAACACCTGAGACATACCAGGTAATCCCCAAATCCTGGACTGGTAGGGGGTCCTGAGGACTGGGTTGAGAACCCCTGCTCTAAATTAAACTTTAATCACACTCAGGAGGCTCCTGTATGGTCTAAAGGTTTATTAAGAGAGCAGGAGGTAAGACATTCTAAATTTACTAGAATGTGCAATAAAGGAAGTTGAAACATTAGATCACTCTTTACAGAAGGTATTTAGGAAGGCTGTGTGAGTCATATGGAGGGAGGCTGGGACTGAAAAAACAAAGTAATTTAATTCCTAACTGGCAAAGAATTGAGCAGTGAGACTGTATGGGTTTAGCTATGATCAATACATCATAACTGTGTCAATAACCTAAAATTGTTTTAGTGCCTATAGTATCCCTTTAATTAGTTCTGGAGTATACAAAATATGGCCAACTTGTATTCCTGACCCTATAGTGATAAAAACACTATTTAGCTTCCCAGCTCCCCCCCCCCCCTCCTTAAATAAGTAGAAAACTCACCTTTATTCCTTTGTTTGGTGTTGGCAGCACCCCAATCTGTCTCCTTGGCTGACATAATCAGAATTGACGATCTCAGCCAATCCCATGCTTTCCTATGGTAAATTATTGGGAGGCTATTGCCCATGCATGGCAAAACGCTGTACCTGCTAATCAGCATCTCGTCTTAGAGTGCATCTCTACGGGGAAAGTTCAGAGCCTCAATGCAAAGCATGAGGACGCTGAAAGTCTGTGCTGCACACACAAGAAGCATCTCTAGTAGCCATCTGAGTGACTGCCACTGGACGTGCCCCTAGGGAGCCATGTTTACAGCACAAAGACTGCATGGACTTACTATACCCATTAAGCTGTAGTTGTTCATAATATGAACATAAATAAATGTTCAAATTTAAACTTGTAGTAAAAGACAGGAAAGCCATTTATTATTAAAAAGTAAAACTCAATCAGGTTTTTAAGGGTTTTATTTTTATCGTTAGTCAGAAGGTTATAATCCCTGGTCTTCTTGTAACATGAATTTGGTCAGGAGCACAATTTAATATATAGGGGTAAAACACACATATATATGAAGCATACAAGATCCAGCGCACCGAGTCACTCACTAAACAGCAATTTCAAAGCCCAAAGAATGTAAAAGTTTTTTTTGCTTGTTTTGTAAATACCTGACTTAGGTAATAGGGGATTAGTTACAGTACATGGTCGTACATGGTCGTACATGGCATAAGCCTGCCACAATATTATTGTACCCCGTTTTTGGCAGGTCCTATCATAGCAATCTAATGCCTGCTCTTCCTCCTGGGGTTTTCTGTAGTGCGAAGTTAAATAGGGCCCTGGAAAAAAGTAATTTGACAGGGAGGGGTGCAAAACCAAAGGAGTTGACATGGACTCCCAAATATATACATATGAAGCCAAGATGGTTGCACTCACCTGAACATGCATACATAATGTATACATATACATATATATATATATATATATATATATATATATGGACAGAAAGAAGACTCTGTGTCTCTACGATCATGAGTTCATGATCATGCAATTGTCTTATTACTATACTGCTTTTTAGTTTATTTTTCAGTTTTTCTTAAGGCATGGATTTCTTTTAATTGCTTATACATAGTGATGTCCCGAACAGTTCACCGAACGGTTCGCGAGCGGTTCGCCACGAACGGTTCACCACAGACTCATCATTGAGTAAACTTTGACCCTGTACCTCACAGTCAGCAGACACATTCCAGCCAATCAGCAGCAGACCCTCCCACCTCCTATATATAGATTTCACAATATAGATTTCACATATTGTGACTATTTTTGACCTTTAGTTATTGTAGATAGAGACAGACAAAAATTAGAGGTCAATAATACTTTGTAATGGAAATTAAAATGAAAACATTTATACAAGATGTTGGCATTGAAGGGATTAAATAATAAACACATATTTAGACGGTATATATAGACCCTTCAGTCCACATTACTGAAGAGAGTTGGTACGGCAAAGGAGGTAAGTATATGGTGGTTATAAATGAACACAGAGCATATTACATCACAATATACATACAGGCATAATAGAATTATAAAGTACATTGTGTTCATTACATTTCTGCTAGTACATGAGAGAATTAATTCTGAATAATATTATAGTGCTTCATCAAAGGCTTGCAAATTGTGACAAAAGCACAAATTCTGAGCCTTTCATTAGAAAAACATTTAAATTCCCAGAATAAAATGTTGAAGTGTTGTTAATAAGCTATTATTGTGTGATGGCAAAAGAGTGCTAAAATATTATGCACTTATTATTGCACTGGGTCATGGGTGAAGATGCACACATTTGAAAGCTAGTTAAAGCTGCTATAAAAGAACGCATATAAAAAGCTTGAATAAATCTGTCCTTGACAAACTTCGCAAAATAAACCTTTGAAGGTTATATTTGTCAAGAGACAAGGAGCTTAAATGTGCTTAACCCCTTAAGGACACATGACATGTGTGACTTGTCATGATTCCCACTTATTCCAGAAGTTTGGTCCTTAAGGGGTTAAACCAGCTGCTAAAAAGGAATGCCTATGAATTTATGATTGTTGTCAAATATTGACAAAGGTGGACCTAGAATAAATTATTAGGGAGTACGGAAAATCAGGAAAAACTTTTTCACACCTGTCATTTCCTCCTCCACGTATCCTTTTTCTTTAATTCCAACTGTATATTCTTTTAAGCACAACCTCTTTTGCAATTGTAAATATGTGCTTATGTACAATGACAAAATGTGTAAATGTGTTTGTGTATGTATGTAAATATATATATATATATGAATGTTTGTAAACAATTGGCAAATTCCACGTAACAAATAATCAACTTGGCTCCCCTAGTTTTTGGCTAATTACATAACTTGAATCCTCAGGTATAGGCAGTACTTTTGCACAGTTTCTCTTGTTTTAAATGAGGAATCTTATCGATCCTACATTATCAGAGTTATTTATTAAAAAGCGTATTCAAAATGAATTCAAGGTGAATTTCAAATTTAAAGCCGAGAGTAGCGTAATTGTAAGCATAGCTGACTACCCTATTTTGACTATTTTGACCTTAAATTTGAAAGTCAATGTGAAATCACTTTCATTTCTCAATTTAGTTTATAACTCTGTAAATAATTCATGCCCATATTACTCAGCATTGTGCAGGAAATTATGGGAACATAAATAATGTGCCACACCTCTATCCAGTCTGCCATTTCCTTTGTCTCTTGCACAGGTAGAGGAAGAAAATGAAGGTCCTTCACCAGCTCTCCCATATCTTTCTTTCCTAAATCTATTTTTAATCTATCTTTACCCCCATGCACTCTGTGCAGTGTGTAGATGTGAGAGTGTCTTTTGTCCTGTGGGACCTTACGTTTGACCCACTAGGCATAAGGTCTATGAAAAAAAAATGGCCTTTATACAGGGGCAGAACAAGTGGAGATGGAAGGAAGGGGTTGATTAGAAGGGTAATGTGGCAATCTAAATTGGGGAAGGAGAGGTTTAGATTGCTACTAGATGGCCATACATAGCCCATGTAGTAAATATAATTTTGGAGTAAATTTGGCCAGACACAAGAAAAAAACTTTAATCAGTATTAGTAAATCAGGATATCAGACAGGCACAGACTTTCTGGCCATGTAGCTGGTGCAACCACATCAGAGCCACAGCAGGTCAGAGGTCCCTTCCCAGTAACACTGACACAACTGAATAAGGATGAGGAGAGCTGGACACCAAGTGAGTGTGAGTTAAGTGTGTATTTGTGTGTTGTGTGCATATGGGTCAGTGTTTGTGTATGTGTGCATCTGTGCATGTGTGTATAAGTGTGTGCATGTGTGTCAGTGTTTGCATGTGTGCCAGTGTGGGAATATGTGCGTGTGTGTACAAGTGGATCTGCGTGTTTTAATGTATCTGTTAATCTGTGTCAATCAGTGAAAATCTCTCAGGGTTAATCTGTGTGTGTTTGTGTATGTGTGCATCCTTGTGTTGCAGTTTTTCTGTGTGTATCATTGTGTGGCAATGTGCATCTGTATGTGTGTGTGTGTGGCAATGTTTGTGTATGTGTGAACACACTACTGCATGCAAACACCAACATCACACACAAATGCATTTCTGTATTCAAACGCTGACAGTACACACACACGTGTATTAAAATGCCAACATGAAATAGAAACACATCCATGCATTCAAACACCAACACTGTACACAAATGTAGCCTTGCATGCAAACACCAACACTACACACAAGCAAATCCATGCATTCAAATACTAACACTACATTAAAACACACCCCAGGATTCAAACGCCAACACTACACATAAATACACCCATGCTTTCTCCATAAATAACACTCTTTACAAAAACATTCCTACATTCACACACAAACACTGCACACACATACAACCCTGTAGGGATGGGAACATGGTAGATCTACAGCTGACAAAGCATTATCATGTATCTATGTGTATAATAATGTAATCTTTTATGTAATTATATGTATTAATCTATATATATATATATTTGCGGTTATTTGTATTTTATGTATAGATAGATATATATAGAATGTCATTCTAAGTGTATTTTGTTACCAATATATATATATATATATATATATATATATTATTAATAACAAAATACAGTTAGAATGAAATTACATATGAATATATAATTTATATTAAATTTTGTTTCAATATTTTATTTATTTTTATTATTTTATTTATTTATTATTGTAATTATATGTATATATATATATAATATATGTGTATATATCTATTAAATATATAATATATATACATATTATATATATGTAACGTCATTCTAAGTGTATTTTAATATTAATATATATACTAATATTAGTATTAAAATACACTTTGTATGACGTTACATATATATAATATGTATATATTATATATATAATATATACATATATTATATATATATAAATACTTTTCATTTATTTTTTACACATGTCTAATTTTTTTTTTTTACTTTCCCACCAGCAGGGGGACTATCTGATAGACAGGAGGGCTGTCTGGGCTGTCAGGCAGCCCTCCAGAAGAGGATCGCGGCGGAGGTAAGTACCGCCGAGGTCCTGGGGGCTTAAGCCGTTACGGCGTTCTATGCCACGGCAACGGCTTTAAAGCCCTTTAAAGCCGCGACGGCATAGAACGCCGTAACGGCGTTAAGGGGTTAATTATAGATATATGTTTGCCCATCCATTCCTTTGACAGCATAGTGTATATGTTTTGTTATAAATAAATGATTTTCACATATTATAATACCGTAACTGAATGTTTGGCTTTGACTTTAATTCACTTCATTAAATCAAAGTGAAAGCTTAGACATTTCATTATTTTTTACCTTGCCCTACTGAGAGTTTTTTTAACACAATATTTTATGTTGTTACAAACACAGATATGATGAGATATGCTTTTACAACATGTGCAGCTAGTTGTTTGATTAGGTGTTGATATGAATCACACTTTATCTAGCCTTGACAGCAAAGCCAATAAATGTTAACAACAAGGCCACCTTCCCTTCAACATGATCATGTAATTGTTTTATTACTAAACTTTTTTAACTTGTTTTTCAGTTTTCTAAGTCGTCTACTTTTATATTTATATACTTCATTCGGTTGGTTGTGTTTTTTTTGTTCTTTTTTTTATTTAAAAAATAAATCATTCTAAAGCATATCTTTTGTAACTATTTGGGTCTTGTAGTTTAATGTACATACAGATACAACATATTTGATATGTGCAATTATCCTCAATACATGACAAGTGTGAATCAGGACCTTGTTTTTCTTGATAAACAGAGTTTGCAAAGAGTGTTTTTTTTTTACAGCTCAGTGCTCAGTGTATGTACATGTGTATATTCCAGCAAAAATATCTGCGTTTGCACATTATGAGATGCAAAGAAGCATATGTGACGTCTTCTAAAAAAGTGGGATAAAGTACTGAAGGTGGATAATCTCCATCGAAACAGGGAACCAGCACCCACATTCTATTTGTGACTCCTCCTCTTTTACATGTGTGCATCGCTTTTTAGAATGGATCATTTGTATCTCACAAATTTGCAGCCTGGATTAAAAACTGAAATTGCATTTTTTTTTTTTTTTAAACTAATATAATGAATATAAAATATAAAATACCTATTTTGAATATGCATATTTTTATATAACTAAACCTAAACAAATTGCTGCTAATAACAAAATCAGCAACCAACACGGAAATATTTGATTTGTATATCTGTTGCAAGATTAATTAAAGGATCACTATAGTGTCAGGGTCCCCCTCCTGTGGCGCTAAAGAGGTTAACAACCTTAATCCAGCGCCGGGCTCCATCGACGCTGGTGACCTCTCCTCCCCCGCCGACGTCAGCTCCTGAGTGTGCCGTGCGCACATTCAAACAGTCCATAGGAAAGCATTTCTCAATGCTTTCCTATGGACGTTCTGCACGCTGGATGCAAATTTTGCATCCAGCATCGCAGATGTGCCTCTAGCGGCTGTCAGGAAGACAGCCACTAGAGGTGTGATTAACCCTGCTATGTAAACATAGCAGAAACTGCTATGTTTACATCTAAAGGGTTAAAACCTGAGGGACCTGGCACCCAGACCACTTTAGTCTGGGTGACTAAAGTGTCCCTTTAAGCTTGCTTTAAATCCACTGTACTGTCAATACTCCCTAGCTTAATTTTACTAGTAGTCCAACTAAAACAGAACCACTCAAAAAAGTTTATGGCTTTTGCCTTTTGTAATTGCACCCTTATAAGATAGGGTCGTCAGTCAAGATGGACTTGCAGTAGAATCTAGAGTTCCAGGAAGGAGCATTTTCTTTTAAATATAAAGCTTAATTGACTCATAGTTTATATGTAGGGCCCCAGACAGTGAGAATGCAGAGAGTTAAAATCTTTGGATATAGTTAAGCCAACCCTGTCAAATATGAAATGAGTAAAAAACATAGATACATTATTTTAGACTAAAATAAACAACATGGAAAAAATCTTGACTTTTGTTTTAAACAAACTATCGGCCAGTAAAGTATAGATTAAAGGTGGTTTTAGCTAGTAGACATGAAGAAGACTTTGTGTCTTTGTATATGATGAGCTGCTGTGCATTTTCTAAGGATTAATCTTCTTGTGGCAAAAGGCATGCAACGTAGTTTAGGGCACTCGTGATTGTCCTTTTTAATTTTGGCATGCTCTAATCATGAGTCCTTTTCAGTACTTAAAGATTTTTGATTGGCTGACTGTCATGGTAGAAAATTTCCTATATAAAGAGAGCTTAGGTAAGAGACTGTTCTCTCATACCAGGGTATTTGGTTGAGAGCAGCCTTTTAGCAGAAGAGTTATATCACAGGTCCCCCATATCCTCCCTTATTACTAATAATTGTTACCTTGTAGTTTATTGAAAGCTTGGGCAAACTTCTCTAATTTAAATGATGATTGAACTTGCTGAGATTGTAATATTATGGTCTAGCTGAAAATAGCATATCAGCTAACAGTTTTTAAAGTCTTCGTATTTTTTTGGAGGGGGGTTTATTTGCTGCAATTTGTGATGTATTTATGTTTAATTTAAAAACCCCAATAAATATGACGGCATTGCTCATTAAATTTAATTTTCTGGTATCTGTCTTTGATTGCATGTATTCTGCTGCCTATTTTACACATACACTGTGATACATTATTGTTGCACATTGTGTGTTTGATATAAATTCCTAATTCATTTCATAGATTGTATGTACACTTACATGGAGCCAAATTTGTGTGATCTACCTTTATATAACTCATGTTTACTCATTGTTTGTGTGTGCGTACATCATGTCTATCTTGTATGACATGTACCTTTAGATACATAATATATGCATTGGGTATGTTTTTGTGTAACATACATTTAAATATAGCCTGTGTACACACATGTAATGCCTATGAAATGTATACAAGAAGTTTTGGTACACATTGGTCACATTAGAAAATATATTTTTTGTAATTTGATTGGATCATTGTTATATATAATATAACAGTTTGCCTCCCGGGGCCAGATGGAATTAAAAAACCCATGTATGACAGTGTATTGTATCATTTTGAAAAACATAGTAAAAAAAATAAAAAAACATAAAAAAATGATTGCTTCCTGTACCTGACAAGACAGAACTTCTGCTTGTGACAACGTGTTAATGGAGGGTATACTGCTTCCTTCAAATACGCTTTTTCTTGTACTTATCCGATCTCTTTCATTTTGAACAGCTGTAAATGAACAGAATTTTGAAATAGAAAATATAGATTCATTTTTTTCTTTATTTTATATTTTTGTAACGTTTAGAACCATTTGTATCTTGTAATAGTAAGGATACATTGAAATATTCTCTCATTTTCAAGTATATTTTAAGAGACAGATATAATTACTTTTCTCAATGGGATTGACTATATTGGCCTTAGAAAAGTGGACGGCTGAGTGAACAAAACACTGCTAGGAAGATAAACTGTTGCTTTGAAGTTTATATTTTTTGAAACAGAGGTGCAATACCTTGCTTATATATACAAGGCATAAACTGATAACTAATTATGCTGTTTCATAAACTGCTCAGTTGGCATAATGTTTAGAGAAATTTAATTCTACAGCTTTAGTACAAAAAAAACAACTACTTTTTAACACACAGATATGTTTAAAAAAAAAGAATAGAAAGCAACTCCAATTTTAGCTACATAAAAGTTGTTTGTTAAATGTCTTTCAGTTCTAATCCTTAATTTTGAACTAAACTATCCCTCTTTCCACATTAAAATTTTCTTTAAAAATTCTTATCTGGTGTAAAAATGGGTGCATAGTTTTGCATAAAGAGAATACAATACTTATGTGTAATATGTGTTTTAAACATACATATAATTTACAGACTATATTTTTCAAAAACAGTGAAATTAGAAATATAACAAGGTATATTTTCCATTATGGCCTCTAGGTGGCCATCTGCTCCTAGATCGGATGTCTGTTGACAATATATGTTTGTCTCCAAATAATAAATGTTCATTAGTGTTCACCACAATTATTTTAAGAGTACTAACAAATTAATGAACCAAAAAAGGAGCCTATTTTATTTCTATAGTTTATATTATATACACAGTGATATTTTGTATTTTTTATTTATACAATTTTGTTTTGTACCACCATTAGCACTATTTATCTTGGTAGACTTAGTAGGTTTTGTAAGGACTTTCTATGTTTCCTCTTCTTACAAAAAAAGGTTTTCTTTGGATTTTGCTACCGGTTTCATTTTTCCCAATAAGATTTTTAACCAGTGACTCTTCATAACACAGTGCAGTTGATTTACAGTCATTATTATCTGAGCTGAAATGTCCGTGCTCGGTAACTGTCTTACAATTTGAGTAGAAATGTTATCATTTGTAACTAAGGCTTGAATACTATTACCAGAGATTGGTTTATTACTGGTAATTGAATAGCAATTTTCCCATACTTCCATGAGAACATTGCTATTCAATTATCAGAGATAAAAGAATCTAGTCTCAAATCTAAAATCTGCCATAGATATATTTGTAGCTGCTAATGTAATCACAGAAAAAATAGTTAGTAATAAAATAAAGATTACAGATTTGATTATTTGCGTGAGGACTACAGTTCATCATAATACAATGCTGTAAAATATTAGACAAAGTTCTAAAGAAAGTCTTTGATTTAGTATTCATATAGTATTACTTGGACATTATAACAATGCCTACGGTATTCAAGGAGATATGATAAATGAAAAATAATACACATATTTTGTATTGACAGTATTTACAGGAGTGCTCCAAGTATCATAACCTCTCCAGTGTATTGTAGTGTCTATGGTGCAAGGAGACTTTGGGCACTGTCCCTTCAGATTTATTTACAACTATCTTGAGGGTTATGAGAGTGTATTCTCTTACACTGTGTGCACCATAACCACTGCAGTAAGCTGGTTGATAGTGGTTTATTGTGGTATAAAAAGCAAAAGTCAGTAAAAACTGTTTTAACAATGTCAGTGACACAAAAGGCAAAGACAAAAATGTAGTATACTTTGATCTAGCTCATATGACAAACACGTTAACGAAGATGCCCTTCCTACGGTGTCTTAATAAGCCTCTAGACTGTAAGCTCATTTAAGCAGAGCCCTCATCTACCTATTGTTCCTGTTACATTTTGCAATTGTCTCACATATTGTTATATTTCAGAAAATTGTAAAGCGTTGCGGAATAAGTTGGTGCTATATAAATACCAATAATTATAATAACTAGTTCCCTGAGATAAAGAAACCCATCTTTTACTCCTATCAAAACCCATAAAAGAATGTTGGTGTTAGTACCAGCTATTATTCTGTCAATAATTTGGTTTAGGTATTTTCTATGGGATCACAGTAAATCATGTTGAGCCCCTTTAAGGAAGAAAGTGCTGTGCTGTGAAAATTAATATTTTTATTAGACTACAAAATGCATTTTATGGCATCTAAATATCTTACCTTCTTTTTTCATTCCAGCTCTGAAGCATTTTTTTAAACGACAGAATCTGCATTGATTCCTTTTGTCTTTATCAACAACACATTGTCTGCTAAATCTAGTCGATATGCAAAGTAAATGAAAACATTGAAAGATCAGAAAATAAATTATGCATAGTTTGCGTTGATGCTTTTGTTTATTTACAAGTGAAATCAATTATCCAGCACAGCTTCCTCAGATGTAAAAAATTAATTCGCAAAAAATAACATCTATGGGAAGAATGTAACAGAACTAGCTTGTCTACCATTGCTCATAAAAACTGAGCATAAATACTGTTATGGGACAAAATCACCATGCCTCTATGTTCTATAAGTATATAATCATTAATACTATGTTCCAGTGTTTAATAAAAGCATGAAACATTGGTTCAGCACACAAGATGTCCTGGCTTCCACTGGCAGGAGCATACTAAAATGGGGTGGTGGTACTCGCCTGGTGACTAGCCAGAGGGGGTGCTCAGATCACCCCTATCTCACCTGTCACTCTTTGTAGCATGGTCCCAAATAGAGGATTTCACTACCTCTACCTGGGGCTTACAGAAAGCTCCTTCACTGATACAGTCTGCAGGGGCGTAGTTAAATCCCGCCAGAACCCGCTGCCTGTTAGCTGCTGCAATGCATGCCAAGGGGGTAACAGGAAGGAGACACCAAAGACTGAAACTAGACAGCAGGTACTGCAGCCCATGGTTTCCTCTACTCCCCCACCCAGTGATTTGGTGTATTACTGTATGCCTGTAATTATGTGTGTGTGTGTGTATTTGTGTGTGTGCGTGACTGTCTTCTTGCAAGTGTGTGTGACTGTATATCTGCAACTGTTCATGTGTATGTGCCTGTAACTGTGTGTGTATGATTGTGTCTGTATCTGTGTGTGTATTTGTTTGTGGTGGTGCAGGGTTTAGCAAAATTGGCTGAGAGCAATGAGCCAATGTTCTCAGTGAATTGCACTGCATGGCTTAATCCAGGAAAACTAACAGAAACTCCTAAGCAGAAGCTTCCAGCTCTCCTGGCCGATGAAAAGAGGTGGGGGAACTATGCCAAAAAGGATATCAAACAATGCTAGAATGGTCTGATTACTTACAATGTAACTAGAACACATTTGGCATGATAACCACTACAGTGTAAACTATTGGTTATGGTGTTTGGAGTGTTCCTCTAAAAGGTCTTTAACTTATGTGAAATACCTGCAAGAGTAAACATGACTTTTCCTTATGCTACGCCTGAAGAAACCTTTGCATCCATCACAGCTTGAAGCACCATAATGCTTGCCAGTAGCTCTGTCTCCACATATTGCACATATGATGTTGATGCCGTTATCAACAGTATTCATTATGACTGATTCACCTGGAGAACAATCTAATAAATAAAACCAGAAAACAAGAAAGACAGGATGGTTAAAAAGTTAATTTGTATAGGTACTATATTCTTCTAAATATATCAACATATTTATGGTTTATGGTTTATAAATATGGTTATTATATATAATACAAGGCTCACAGTCTCTTAATCTCTCTCCTAATAAATGATAAAATAATAAAAACAGTGATCAGAACTCTAAACAATTTTCCCAAATATGTTTCCTATACTAATGGATCATAAAAAATCAAACTATGTTTTGGTATATATAAAGGGTCATACTTGGAATTCGTAGATTTTGGTTGGTGTCTAAACCAATATTGGATTTGATTAAATATTAAAATGAAGATTAAAGCTTTTCAAATAATTTAATATTTTTGGTTAAACCTTTCAATTGATTTAATATTTAAAAAAAAAAAGTGTATCCACAAATATGAAGTCAAGGCCAATATAAAAACATAATAATAAGAACAATGAAACGCCTGTTTGAATACATCTGTAAGGGAGGTAATTACTTATCAAGTTAATGATCTAGTATGCTATATTAAATGTTAGCCTGGATGCTCTTTTTAATGTCCATTCGGGGCTCGAGTCCTGCAGGAACGCGTGGGAATGGCGTTCCTGCACTTTCTCCACAGCAGGGACGCTTTCCCATTACTAGTACTGCAGGACCCAGGGCTGGCAAAAGCGGCCGCCAGAGCAGGGAGAGCACAAATCCGAATCCCCTGCCTCTGGCTGGGGACTCGGATTTTGAAACTCACCTCTCTCCCTGCAGCCTGCAGCCAATGGTGTTGGACGGCCTCTCCTGATGATGTCACTTTTTTTACCCAGGACGTGACCCCTGTATCCATTGTTTTGAAGGGGAAATGCCCACCATATAAGTTTTGTTTACTTATATGAGAAAGACAAAAATTACTAAATTATGTATTTCTTCTCTTCATTCACACAAGCATTAACCCTTTTTTTTTTAAATCATGTTACAACTCCTGTTTTATTAAAATTACTAAACCTAGTCCTTCTTTGTAAAAAGGAACAAATAACATTTTAATTTTCCAATTATAAAGACTTGACTGTGAAATTAAATGAAAAAGCAAAATGTAGCTCAGTTAAGCTAAGAATGTATAAAAGTTGCTCTATGTGATCTTCACAAACAGCTACTCTAGCAAAAATAAAAAAGAGAAGCAAATTAAGAATCCAAAATGTTAAATTGTTTACAAAAACTAGATACATTTGTAACAAAACTTGAACTGAAATATTTTATTTTAAGTTTTGTAAATAAATCAATCAAATTAGATATTGAATTAGCAACAAATTTGGCATCAAAGAAGATAGCGTGAGTTGTAACACAAAATATAAAAATGTCAAAAATCTATCATACATATATAAAATATATACTAATGTATCAAAAAGTATCAACGTACTTAAATATTTCCAATACATTAAATAAAACGTTTTAAAAGTTTATCCAAAATATTAAATTGAGGTCTAAGTTTGGGAACTTTAACGTGACTACTCTCTTTCAATTTTAAGTTATGAAATGCACTTTTATTTTATCATTTGCCTTGTCTTTAATAAAGATATTTTAAAAAAGTAGTATTTTGTAACATTTGTGTAGAAACTTTTTTTTTTCAGCAGGATCAGCCTAGATTATGCCCCTGCAGACTCACTGCTTAATTATCTGCAATTGAAGAGTTTAACCCCTTAAGGACACATGACATGTATGACATGTCATGATTCCCTTTTATTCCAGAAGTTTGGCCCTTAAGGGGTTAATCACTTTGTTTCTGTTTATGCAGCCCTAGCCACACCTCCCCTGGCTGTGACTGACCCAGCATGCATGAAAACAAAATGGTTTCATTTTCAATCAGATGTAACTGGAAGTTTTTATCTCCTGCTCTGTAAATTGAACTGTAATTACATACAGGAGGCTTTTGTAGGTTCTAGCAAGCTATAAACAAAGCATGAGATAAGTACAATATTTGCAATAAAAATAAATGTAAACATTAGATGACACTTTACAGCAGGGGTTCTCAACCCAGTCCTCAGGACCCCCTACCAGTCCAGGATTTGGGGATTACCTGGGTGTGTCTCAGGTGTTTCGAAAAAGGGAAAAAAAACACCTTAGATTCTAAGGTGTTTTTTTTTTCTTTTTCTAAACACCTTAGACACACCCAGGTAATCCCTAAACCCTGGACTGGTAGGGGGTCCTGAGGACTAACGTTGAGAACCCCTGCTTTACAGGAAGTGTTTAGGACTGATGTGCAAGTCACATGCAGGTAGGTGTGACTAGGGCAGCATAAACATAGTGATTTAGCTCCTTAATGGCAGACAATTGAGCATTCATACTGCAGGGACATGATCATTAAGCTAATGTTATTTTGGTGACTATAGTGTCACTTTAATAAAGTGGTTTCTGTGTAAATATCATGGCTCTGCAGTCTCACTCCACAATGCTCTTCCATTTTGGAGTATATTAAATTTTGTTTCTGTTTATGCAGCTCTAGAAGCAGCTCCCCTGACTGTGACTCACACAGCCTGCAGCCTCTCGTGAGCTCCCAGCCGTCAAAGCATTGCTGCAATTTACCACAGCAATGCTCTGTGCGCCATACCAGGCTCATGAGAGTTGGATTGAGGAGCTGCCAAAATCAGAAGATAGCATTTGCTGAGCTCTCTCATTGCCATAGGGTCACCTGGCAGCATGCATGATGCCACCAGACCACAAGGGAGTGTTGTGTACCCCTCCCTGTCCACAGTTAAGAGGCAGGGAGGTAGGAATAAAAAAAAAAAAAGGTTTATCCCAAAGAATGTAGCCCCTATCACACCTACAAACTTACACACACAGACACAATGCATCCTCTACAAAAACACACAGTCTGCATTCACTCGATACTCAATAAAGCCACTCATATTCTTGAAAATATTAAACATTTTACTGGCCTGTATAGTCTGTGCATTTACCACTCAGTAGAAGTAAGATTTAGAAAAAAATATTAAACAATAAACATTTTCAGTTAAGGGAAGATTTGAGTAAAAATTGTGTTTCTTTTTCAAAACGGCAAATGAACAGAATAGAATATAGGTAGCAATTATTGGAAATTCAGCCTTTTAATATCATAATTAAAGTGCACAATACTAAACATGTACTTTGTACATCAACCAAATTAGTTAATCATTAAGATATATTATAAGTCATATAAAATATATGCAATGAATAAATTGCAGTGTATGCAAATGGTTTCCAGGTTTATTTTCTCTCTCCCATAAGTCTTCATGTTCTTTTCTAATGCATAAATATTTATTTAGTTTTTTCCAATCCTTCTAAACCTAGCAGACTAATGTATCCATGAATCCTGCTTTTTTACATTTCTGGTCTTATAACTAAGCATATCAAAAAGAACATTTATTTGTTTGTTTTTTTCTTGGTTTCAGCTCTTTAGCTTTTTTATAACCTGCCTCACCCTGTCTGTTTTCCTAACTCATATGATCATGATTTATCTCAAGCTGACCTATATCCCTGTGACATTTATCTACATAATATGACAAATTTCAAAGATAAAAACCCACCTCCTAAATGAAGGATATTAGTGTGAGTTCTAGTAGGCAGCTAGTTCAGCTGCCGTTATAAAAATTGTAGAAGGTATAATTTGTCAGTAAACCTACCACTGATATTAATCAGGTAGGCAATGTATGTACAGAGAATGGTTGGCAACAGTGGGCTACAGTGCTTATGGTGCTATGAATTTCCTGGAACCCCTCGATGCATTTTTAGAACTTCTTACTGCGGGTCCTCGTTTCTCTGCAGCCTACAGAAGACAGAGACAGAAGTTCTGCAAGGAGCTGGCCCTGTACTAAGCACAGAAGTACAGGGCCAGCTGATTGTTCTAAGCCAACAGTTAAAACCTGCACTGCCAACCTTAGCTCAGTGCTAAGAGCTTCTTCCTGCAGAGGAGGCAGGAAGTGATAACTGACAGACTCTAGGTCTAAAACCATCTGATTACTTACATTAGGGGGTGTGAAGGAGGGCCCCTAAGTCTAAAACTGTTTGACTACTTATATTAGGATGCCCGTAGTGGGCACTATGGGCACCATAACCACATCAGCACACTATAGTGATATGGTACTTGGAGTGTTCCTTTAATTTTTAGAAGAATAATTTGAGGCTGCAGTCCGCAACCCTTTTTACCAGCTCTCTTTTGCCATTTTCTCCCCTTGCCAGGCCTATCAGAGTGTTTCTACTGGTCGTCCTGAGGTTAGGTCCCCAAGACTGCACATAGGTGATCTGTAAATTATTGACTGTTAATCTAACGTGATCTGTTAATGATGTATGTAAATATACTAGAACTAACATGTAGAACAGAATAGATCTTCAAACTTTCTGTTAACAGTCATAGTAGTTACGATAACATTACTGAAAGAAAAAAATATATTATGTCATGTGATTGAGAGGAGAGGACACAAAATGCCTGTCTGTTGGAACATGACATGTGATATTTACAAATGTTTCTACCTATGATTAATATTGCAATCCCAGCCCTCTTTCTAAATACAACGTAAAAATACCCTTAGTTCATATTTGTTCATTATCTGACTTAAGATGAAGAGCTAATAATAAAACAACAACAACAAAAAAAAACTGAAAGAAATTATGGCTAGGTGTTCTGAAATATAGGAAGTTCAAAATAAATTGAATACAAAATGTTATTAATATATCAATAAATGAGGAATATAATTGACATGGTTGTGAAATTAATTGTATATAAATAATGTGCTAAAATTATTTTGAGGTGTGTGGGTAGGAACTATCAATTAATTAGCGACTCAAGATAGTTATTGGTAACCACGATTATAGCTGCTTAAATATTACACGCTAGTCACACAGCATACAGATAATTATGCAGTTTGAAACAACATGGCATCTCAATGAATACCTATTCTTCCTTGTGTAGGAAGCAGTGCAGTCAAGAAAAAAAACATGACATGTCCCATTGAGGACTTGGGGCTAGAGTGTATTATAAAAGATATGCATTCCTCTAGTTAATGAATAGCAATTTCCTATAGATGTCAATATGAGAATTATTTTCCAGTTACCAGAGGTTCATTTCTCTCTTTCAATAGAATTCGGCCTTTGGTAAAATATCAAACTTTAAAGACACTGTAGGTACCCAGACCACTTCTGCCCATTGGAGTGGTCTGGGTGCCTTGCCTCTCTCCCCTTAGCCCTGTTAGTCAAAACACTGTGGTTTTGGAGAAACCGCAGTGTTTTGATTACAGGGCTAATCCCACCTCTTGCTGCTGTCTCTCAGCTTCCAGATTCTTACAGTACCAAATGCGTTTTAAATTACGTTCAACGTCACCACGCTCTGCGTCGAACCTCACTGGAATCCCCATAGGAAAGCCAGGGCCGGATTAACATAGGGGGTGATGGAGCTGAAGCTCCAGGCCCGTGGAATAGGCCCATTTAAAATATATATATGTATATATATATATATATATTTATTTATTTTTTACACACTACTCTTAGGTTTGCCACCTGACTGGTATTTTAAGGCACAGCCGGTATTTGAGGCTGCCTGGCCGTGACGGTATTGCAGTAATACCGGCAATACAAACGCAAATATTTTTCTAAGTATAAACGGAGATTACTCTGCAATACCAGCACCGGCCAGTAGGGGTCTGTATATGGACAGAGGCAGGGATAGGATGTTACAGCATCTCCCTGTCTCTCTCTACTCATTGATCCATGGGGGAGCAGCTACACAGCACAGAGTCCAGACAGCAGCTCCCAGCCTGCAGAGGCAGACTACAGCTCAGGCATGTGAAGGATGGGGGGAAAGGCAGCAGGGAGACATGGGGACACTGAGACGCTAGGGGACACTGTGAGACATGGGGACACTGAGACACTAGGGGTCACATGGGGATACTGAGACACTAGGGGTCACATGGGGACACTGATACACTAGGGGACACTCAGAGACATCAGGACACTGAGACACTGGGAAACATGGGGACACTGAGATACTAGGGGACACTGTGAGACATGTGGACACTGAGACACATGGGGATGCTGTGAGACATAGGGAGACACATTGGAACATGGAGACACTAGGGACACAGTGTTTCGATGTCTCCAAGTGTTCCCATGTCTCCCAGCCAGTGTCCCTAGTGTCTCAGTGTCCCCATGGCTCCCAGTGTCCCCTAGTCTGCCTGTGTCTGTGTCCCCATGTCTCTCAGTGTCCCCATGTCTCCCAGTGTCCCGATGTCTCTGAGTGTCCCCAAATGTCTGTGTCCCCATGTCTCCCTGTGTCCACATGTCTCCCAGCCAGTGTCTGTGTCCCCATGTCTCTCTGTGTCCCCATGTCTCTCAGTGTCCCTATGTCTCCCAGCCAGTGTCCCTAGTGTCTCAGTGTCCCTCATGACACTGTTTGTCCCCATATCTCTGTGTCCCTAGTGTCTCCATGTCTAATACTATCCTTACCTTTTTTTGTCATTTTACCCCACTCCCTCTAGCATGTAAGCTCATTGAGCAGGGCCCTCAACCCCTCTGTTCCTGTGTGTCCAACTTGTCTGGTTACAAATACACGTCTGTTCGTCCACCCATTGTAAAGCGCTTCGGAAATTGACGGCGCTCTATAAATATCATAATAATAATAATAATAATAATAATAATAATAATAATAATGTCTCCCAGTGTCCCCAAATGTCTGTCTCCCCATGTCTCCCAGTGTTCCCATGTCTATGTCCATGAGTGCCCCATGTCTCCCAGTGTCCCCAAGTGTCTGTGTCCCCATGCCTCCCAGCCAGTGTCCCTAGTGCCTGTGTTCCCATGTCTCCCAGTGTCCCCATGTCTCTCAGTGTCCCTAGTGACTTATTTTCCCTAAATGTATGTGTCACCATGTCTCCCAGTGTCTGTGTCCCCATGTCTATGTGTCCCTAGTGTCTGTGACACAATTTCTCCCAGTGTCCCCAAATGTCTCAGTGTCCCCATGTCTCTCAGTGTCTCCATGTCTCCCAGTGTCCCCATATCTGTATTCACAAGTGCCTCCATGTCTCCCAGTGTCCCTAAGTGTCTCAGGGCCCCCATGTCTCCCAGTGTCCCAAAGTGTCTCAGTGTCCCCAGGTCTCTCAGTGTCCCCATGTCTCACTGTGTCCCCTTGTCTCTGAGTGTCCCCTAGTATCCTACTGACACTGGACATACTGAGACATAGGGACACTGGGAGAAATGGGGACACAGACACTGGGAGACTAGGGAACTGGGTGACATGGGGACACTGACACTGTGATACATAGGGACACTGATGCCAGGATGGCCTTCCAATTCTTTGGTGGACAGACATGCTCCCTTTTTGGCCATGTTCACCCCTTTTGGCAGTTCTGGTCACGTGACTCGCGTCAGTGGCCCATCCTTTACCCCGCCCATTGACTTCCTGCTTCACTGAACACTGCTGTTAGGAGGGGTATGAATTTAGTTGAAAGATGAAAGCATAAATTAGATAAAGAGATTAGCATAGAGTATCTGTTTTCTTATAGCTGCATCCTTTGAGTTTCCCTCCAATACCAACTCCATCAGATACATGACGCTTGAGAGGTATGACTGTTTTAGTGTTTTTGGTCATTAAGATTCTGTAATTAGGCCCCATAATATTTGTCAGCACCAGGCCCACTGGGCTCTTATTCTGCCCCTGAGGAAAGCAATGACTAATGCTTTCCTACAGGGAGGTCTAATGCACGCGCACAGCCATTGCCTCGCATGCGCATTAGGGCTCCCCCGCCAGCAGTCAGCAACGGGGGAGGAGTGTGGGCAGAGCTGAGCTAGCGCTGGACCCAGGTAAGTGACTGAAGGGGTTATTGACCCTTCAGCGCTGTGGAAGGGGGCCTTGACAGAAGGGGAAGCTACAATGCCAGGAAAACGAGTTTGTTTTCCTGGCACTATAGTTTCCCTTTAATAAATAGAAAGGTACATACCAGAAATATCTATTTTATACACAATTTAGGAAACTTACTTTATCTTTTTGTTCATTTGTTTCTCTACTCAACAAGTACAAAATACCAAGATACATATTTCTAGAAATAGTTGAAAGATAATCAAAAATTAAATAAATTGTGAAATCATCAATATTTCCACCAACAAAATAACATGTCTTTAAAGGGAAACTATAGATGTATTTAAAGGTAAATTATAGTTGTATAGTGCCTCCCTTGCTCGCATCACCCCGATGAAAGGGTTAAAAAAAATATGCTTCTCTGCCGACGTCAGCAGCAACTTAATACCATTTGAACTACATCATTGGAAAGCATTGTACTCCTACATCATGCAGTGGCCAAATTGAAATTGCTGCATCAGCACTGTTACTGTGGAACTGTGCAGCCAGAGGGGGCACTGTGGTGGGAGGACGTCCTCCTGGGTCATATATAACAGTGCAGGGGAGAGACAGGGAGAGGAATCACTGCCCTGCGTTAGGGGAGAATGAGGTATCCAAGCAGCTGCTGGTAAGTGTGAGTCAGTGTGTGTGTGCTTCAGTGTGTTGTGTGGGTTGGTATGGGCTGGTGTGGGTCCGTCTGTGTGGGGTTGGTCATCAGTGTGGGGGTCAGTTTGTGTGTAGGAATGGGGGTTTAGTCTGTGTGTGTGTGGGGGTCAGTCTGTGTGTGGTGGGGGACAGTCTGTGTATATGGGTCAGTCTGTGTGTGTTTGTATGGGTCAGTCTTTGTGGGGTGGAGCAGTGTGTGAATAGGGGGGCAGTCTGTGTATGTGTATGTGTATGGGTCAGTGTCACGGTTCTCACCATTACATCTAGATGGCCAGACGAGCTTGCCACAGAAGTGCCCAACAGGTTACTTTATGGTTCTAAGCCTGTGTTCCTGCCTCTGAGCCAATTCAGTTCTTGTTTTGGCATGTAGCTTATTCTTGCTATATCTCCAACACTGGGGGACTGGACTTAACCTGTGACTGGAAAATTATCTTCCAGTTTCCGTGAAAAGGTGTCTTGCCTGTAATAAGGAAGGTGCAGCGGTGGAACTACAGGCAGTGCTGGTGTTGCGGTTACACTGGAGCCCATCGAGTGGCCCGTGCAAATAGTAATAATTGTTTTGGCCCGCATGTTCAGGGGGCCCAAAAATTTTTGCACCAGGGCCCACTCTGTTAGTTCCGCACTGTGCAGCAACTTCCCCGGCACACAAGCTCTGCCCCTGTATGGAAGATCGCCTCACCGTACGCAAGCTCTGCTCCCAATCTCTGTCTGTTTTGGAGAGCTGAGTGGATCTTTCCCTGGTGTCCAGTGTGTCTCCTCTCAATCTTCCTGCAGTTTCTCTCTTCTCTTTTGCTCACTCTCTGTAGTGATGCCGGGGCCGGAGTAACGTCATGTCACTAAACAGCGCATAAGGGAGCAGAGTGTAACTACAGGAAAGTTACTGATCCCTTGCGCGCCGCCCCCATGCTCCCCTCGGCAGCAGGCTTTAATGTTTCCTGTGCTGTTTAGCAAAGGGCTGACAAATGCCAGGTGCCAGGTGAAATGTCTAGCCTGGGATTTGTCAAGCCCTCTGTATGTTTGTGTGTGTGTGTGTGTGTGTGTGTGTGTATATATATATATATATATATATATATATATATATATATATATATATATATATGTTTTATAACTGCTCCTCTACCAGGCCCCTTCTGTGCCCCCCCCAAATATAATCCTGAAGACGCCACTGGGAGTTAACCCTGCAATGTAATCATTGTCAATTATCAATAACTGCAATAATTACAACTGCAGGGTTAAACTGACAGGGACAGTGCACCCAGACCACTTCAATTAGCTGAAATGGTCTGGGTGCCTATAGTTCCCTTTATTAGGTTTCTCAAAGCATCATAACCACTACAGCAGAGTGTAGTGATTATTGTGCAGGAGTATCCTGGCCTTGTACACTGGGGAAAACCATTAGGTAACAGTTCCCTACTGAGCTACGAAACTATCTCTCCTCCTGGTTAATGCATTTCCAGTCATCATCTATTGTCTGAGAGAGGCAGCTAACAACTCCTCATCCAATGAATGAATCACTGTGAAAGAAAAATAGCACAGAATTGACAATAGCCTGCCCAGAACTCTTATTTCAGGGTGGCTAATGACATCCCTATGCCACCTCCAACAGTGAAGGAGTTAAGCTCGGCACGTGCAGCATATTACAGAGAAATACTTTACAGATTCATGGCACCATGACCACTTTGAATCACTAAAGTGCTTGAAGTTACCATTTAAGTGCAAAATATTATATCAAACAAAATTGTGACACTATTGTGCTAATAAATGTACACCTTATCATTAAACACATTTCATAATCTGCAGCATAGATCAGGAACCTGGGAAAAATGTCAAATGAAAATTTTAATAATATTTTTTTAATGTTTTGTTATTTTTAGCTTCTTTATTCTGTAATCTTTCATCATCATATATACAACAAGTCACCAAAACCACTTTAGCTTATTAAAATTGTTAGATGCAAAGAGTACTCTGCACTGCAGAAAGCACCTTCAATGGGGACATGAGCATCAGAAGTGGACCTTGGAGCAATGGAAGAAGGTTGACGTGTGAATGTACATCATTTACCTGGGGAAGAGATGGTGGAAAGATGCACTATGGGAAGAAGGAAGGGTTGCTGAGGCAGTGTTATGCTTTGGGCAATGTTCTGCTGGGATCCTAGCATTCATGTGGATGCTACTTTGACACCTACCACCTACCTAGAGATTGTTGCAGACCACGTACACCCCATTCACGGCAGTGATGCTACCTGATTGCAGCGACCTCTTTCAGCAGGATAATGCACCCTGCCACATTGCAAAAAGTGTTCAGAAATGGTTTGAGGAACATCAAAACAAGTTCAAGGTTTTGCCTTGGCCTTCAAATTCCCCAGATCTCAATCTGATTGAGCATCTGTTGGATGTGCTTTAACAACAAATCCAATCCATGAAGGCCCCGCCTCGCAACTTGCAGGACTTAAAGAACCTGCTGCGCATGTATTGTTGTCTGGAATGTATATCTGTTTCTGTGAACATTCTGTCAGTTTAACAAAGAGAGAGGCTTTACACTTTACTGTCTTATGCTCGACCTATTTCCTATATCACTTTCCTGTACATTGTACTTTTTTGTTGGATATTTTAGGTTGCAGCTGAATATACTATAGTACTCTATTATCCAATCTATGTTTATTCATGCTTCACTTGGATAGTACTATGGTCTAACCTTTAATCAGTCTCTGTAACTTTACACTTAGACCATGGTTTAACCCCTTGTCTACCTGGGTACACTGGTATACTTTTCCAATGCACTATTTACCTACCAAGGACTAACGAAGGTACTATTAATTGCTGCTTTATTCGGACAGAACTATGGTTTAACCTCTAGGTAATCCATGTTTTTTTTTAACACTAATACTATGGTTTAACCCCTTGTCTACCTTGGTACACTGGTTTATTTTCCAGTGCACTACTTACCTACAAAGGGTTATCAAACGTGCAACAAATAAGCCTAATTAATAAAGCTTGTATATTAATATTTTAAGCGCCTGTCTGGATAATCCAATGGTTATTCATTATCTATACTATATAGAGGAGTAGCCTTACATGGCTAGTATATTTCACTTGCACTGGGGATATATGTGGTTTGTGTATGTATTGGTGCATGCAGAATGGACTGTGATCCCATTTACCTTCAGATACTGATTACATTTTTCCAGTTTTTACCTCATTCACTTTATTGTGGATTAGGTGAATCTTTCCTGGCTTATTATTAGGGTTAAGCCCTTTGGACACTACTGAAGTGTCTACACTGGTATATAGATCCCAAAAAATAAACTCTTGGGTATCTTGTTCTTTTGATTACCAAAATTGTTTATATCATCAGATTTGTAGCAACAAAATCTTTTTTTTTTCTTTTAGATTTTTTTTCTTTTGACCCCACAAATCTTTCTTAAAGAGTATACTCTGTAAACAATCAACAACCATGAATTGACAACTGATCTGCGGAATCTAGATACAACAGATATATATTTAGATATATAGAATAAATGTAACCATCCATTGTAACTTTATTTAAGCGAATATCTGGACAATAGAAATGGCAGATTCTTTATATTTTAGAAAATGTTACCATGAAATAGCTATGGCTAATTATTAACCTGATACATTGTTTGTTATCAGTGACAAAAATAAGGAAATTTGGTTCTATGTTTAGTTTTGCTTACAAAAGAAAGCCATTCAAGTTTCCAGTGATAAAAGTGATTAAGCACTTAAGTGCACTCTTTTTTAACTTTTACAAACTGAGAAACTATAGGCATGTGTCAAAAATATATTAAATTAATATTTCACTTATGTTTTGTAGATACTCTTACCCCATTATCCACAACCAAAAATGCATGCAAAATTAGTCTTTAAAATATACCTTAAAGTTAAAATGTTACACTAGATAAATATTTAATTTATCACATAGCTAACCATTAGCCTTTAGCAGGAAAAATATGTCAACAATACCCGTTCAGGATCAGACAAGGTCTATCATAGTTTGTCTGCTTTTAGTTATGTGATCCTTATGTATCAGAAAAAAAATTGCGAAATAATTTAACTCTTTGAGTTTATTCACTATATACATACTCATGATATAAATGGTGTTTGTGTTGAGATGAAGGGCTAAACTGTTTCAAATAATCCACATAATGATTGAAGTGAAATTATAAGTCCTTTGAAACACAAAACAAAGAAACGTATGTGAATTATACTGGATTAAAAACCAAATTGCAAAATATAGTTCAAAATAAGTAAATTGACAAAATTATCAATCTAGTTTAAAGTCAGTAGTTTATTAACCTGAATTTTGTGTATTATTCACAATATTTTATTTAGTGGAAAACCCCTTAACAATTTAAGTACAAAACTAAGCATTCTAGTGCTTTTACAAGTAATTTGCAAAAATAACAGAAGTAAAAAAAAAAAAATTTTTTTATAATTGTTCCTATTTAGAGAATTTGGCCTAAAAGTTCAAGTTAAGTGAATAACCCAACAAATATATTCATTTTTGTTTGTATTACACAAATCACAGTCAGGGATTTATTTTTCCAAATGAAATATAGCACTACTTACCGCTGCCATTATAAAGAAGTTGCATGTTTTCAAATTCAAGAGATGTGTAGGTTGGGTCTAAAACATCATCATAGTTTGCCATTTCCATGTCCATGACTGTATTGCAAAGTTTCATAACTAGCTTTTACATAAAAGCCTTCAAAATGTTCTAATAGTAAGCTCAATACAGTTTGGAGCACAGTTTGTCACTGAGACGAAATCTTAGATTGAGAGGAGTTCAGGCTCTGTTTCTGCGTGACTTTATCCCTTTCCCTTCATTTTTATGGCCCTCTAAAGTAATTCTTGTGATAGTAGTGGAATGCTCTGAGAAATATTCTTATCAGAACCTTGTTGATCACATTGTTTTTGTAAGGAAACTCATAGGAAATCCAGCAAGCAATGAGGCTTTTTTTTGTATAGTAAAGTAAAACTTGTCTTAATTTTATCATTAATGCAATAGGGGGGGTTATATCAAATACACGTGACACTGTTTTTTTCTAACAATTAAACACGTTTATAATCCCATAACGCTTTCCAAAATAGCTGGCAAATTTAAATCAGTATTCTATAATTTTATGTTAAAAGTTTTAGTCTTTTTAATTATTTGTCCATTTATAAAAGGTGGTGCTTTGATATTGGGCTTTCCTATAGTTTAAATATTAAGGGATGTATCTCTCGTAGCCAGTGTAACAATGTATCCTATGTATTCCCTATACAAAGGGCAGCCTCACATACTTGCAGTCATTAGATTGGGATGGTAACCAAAAGGAGAAGTGGGAAAAAATGGTACTTTTGCTGAACTGCTTAAACTCTCAAAAAAGTATTTTTTTTTTTTAAATGCAGAATATGTTTAAATGTGGATATCATTTATTTTGCTTGTTTTGTTTTTATTGGATGATCTGTTAAGGTTTACGATTATTTACACTGAAATATGTATAACATTTTTTGTCTAACATTAGAGAGACTCATTACAGACCCTTTTGAGACTTCTTGATTAGCTATTCAGAGCCTGTATAGTTATATTAAATATTTATTAATGTGAGAAGGAGAAGGTGCATGGATAGATGAACTTGTTGACCATTTTACTAACGCCAGATGCCACACACATACCCTCTAAAACACATGATGTCACACTCTACACAACTTGTTTTTCACATAAGTATCCCAGATGTCTAAAGGGTCACTATAGTCACCAGAAAGACTACAACTTATTGTATTTGCACTAGTGAGTATAATCATTCCCTTCAGGCTTTTTGCTAGAAATATTGTTTTTCAGAGAAAAGGCAGTTTTTACATTACAGCCTTGGGATACCTCCACTCGCCACTTCTCATATGTTTACTAAAGGTGCTTCTTGGGGCAGTGATGTACAGTGTGCAGCACTGACATTCAGTGTCTCCACCCTCTGCATGGAGACACTGAACTTTCCTCATAGAGATGCATTGATTAAATGCATCTATATAAGGAGATGCTGATTGGCCAGGGCTGTGTTTGGCTTGTTCTGGCTCTGCCCCTGATTTGCTTCCTTGGCAATCTTAGCCAATCCAATGCTTTACTATGGGAAAGCATTGTGATCGACTTTGATCAAAACTTCTAATAATTTCAGCACAGTAGGCAGATCAGGGGCAGAGCCAAAAGCAGCAGACTGGACTAAAAGTAAGATTTTACTATATTTAGGAGATCAGGGATGGGCAGAGGGGCTAGATGGTGGTTTTAACACTATAGGGTCAGTGATATATGTTTGTTTAAATTTCTAAATATTTAGCTCTTGCCCTTGCAAGGTTGCAAGCAGGTCTAGAATTCTGCTACTCATAAAATATACACAAGTCCACTTAGCAAATTGGTATTAAAAAAAGGTAGAGCTGGTTTGTACTATCATATATGGAAATTCATCCATTGTGAGGCCTCGTGTTGGGTAATTGTATTGTAATTCCCCTCTTTATTAATGCTTATCGACAATGTTCCTTATTCAGACTATATTCAGAAGAACAAGTATACGTTTAATAGTTGTGTGTGATATCCAGACCACTTTTAAAAAAAAAACTGTGTGGACAGTCTATTTGTCACTTGTGTATGAAACTAAGTAGTTCTCATTTCATACAACTGTTAGTCTGCCAACTGATTGAGGGACTGGTAATATCAAAGATCAGCAATTTACCCTTAGCTATCAGGAATTAAATACAGGTTTACTATATTTAAATGGCATTAACCTACACTCACCAAATTAACAGAAGGAAGCTGGGTTAGTAGGAGGAGGTCTCCTCAACCAACATAAAAGACACGAAGGCAATATCACATTATACCAATGTGGTTGTATAGAGAACCAAATGAGGGGCTTTTTCTAATTTGCCTCCAATTCTGTTGACTTTGGTTTAGGGGTCATAATATATTGTATACCTTATACAGTCTAAATATGTGGTCATGGTCACAGACTCAATACTTTATCTTAAATATGTTTAATTGACTGGAGGATGTTCCTCAAAGTCCAAATTTGAATAGGTAATTACAAATCACCTGAATTATTCATTAAATCTAATTGTATTGAAAGGGTTGTTCCAATCTCATTTAGACTCCCCAATCCCTCTAAATCAAAATTTTACATTTAACTGCCAATCTGCTTATCATATATTAAATGTTTGTTTTCTTTTTCAATAAAAAATAAAAAGGAACCCATTTAACCTATGTTTCCATTCCATGTAAATGTTCTGGGCTGTCTACTTCCATTACCTTCCTATACATGTAGAAAAGGTAACTGGGATCATCTTTAATATTTTACGTAAACACAACACTAATCAAAGTTAAAGAAATAAACTAGTGACATTAGTTATATTATTTCCTGTAATTTTCCTGTAAGTTCTCTAATTTTGACAAGATCTAACCTTATATATCAATTATGTAAGAGAAGAATAAACCAGAATTCTGCAAATTATAGACCTATTTTAAAACTTATTTTGTGACTGCTGTTGATGAAGGGAACATGTCGTCTCATATACTTGGACAAGGAAATAAAAGTAAACATTTGCTAGCGTGTATTCATTCTACTGGATAGAAGTGTTTTAACATGCCTTTTAAAAATTACAATGTAATGATTTTTATACTTAATAAAACGCACACTGGTATCAACTATTACAGATTAGAACTCTAGTTTTCTATCTTATCTTTAAGACTATTAAACTTGTACTGTTCCTTCATTAGATCTAATCATATCCAGAAATCATGGCTCTGAGCAGAAAACAAGCCAACGCAAACTAATAAAATCAAGGATACAGTATCTTTGCAAAGCTGTCTTCAAAGAAATCAAATCATTGCGATGCTATGCATACAATCTTCTTTTCTAGGAACTCATGCAACTCGGTTGGGGACAAGGGGAGACAATATTCAAAATCTCAGTGTGTTCACAGAGTCTAATGTTACCCCCATTCTATGGAAAATGTTTTGGTATTGTTTTTTCAATTGTTTATTTCTCTTTTTTTTTTTATTGTGCAGCTGGGTACATGACATTTACAAACGCCAAAACAGCCTATATGTAGGCATACAGGGGAGACAATGGCATAGGAACTTGCACATTTTTGTTATATGTTTAGGCTAAACAATGCTGGTATATCTCGTAATTGAGGCAAGATTTTGGCATTACAGGATTAGAAAGCAGGGTTAGTGCACACGGGTAGACATCAATTGGAAATACATAGTCTGCCCATCTAGTCTGCCCAATTTTCTAAATACTTTCATTAGTCCCTGGCCTTATCTTATAGTTAGGATAGCTTTATGCCTATCCCACGCATGCTTAAACTCCTTTACTGTGTTAACCTCTACCACTTCAGCTGGAAGGCTATTCCATTCATCCACTACCCTCTCAGTAAAGTAATACTTCCTGATATTATTTTTAAACCTTTGTCCCTCTAATTTAAGACTATGTCCTCTTGTTGTGGTAGTTTTTCTTCTTTTAAATATAAAAAAAAGAATAAAACCAGGTTGTACCGTCTTTCTTGGGAACCAGGACTACCGGCGATGCCCAGGGGCTATCGGAGTGTTCGATAACCCCCAACTGCATATCTCCTCAATCTCTTTCCTCATATGCTCCCGTATGGATTCGGGAATCCGATATGGGGTCTGTCGCATGGGAATCTGGGGTTTCTACTCGGTGAGTGGCCAGTGGAGTGTACCCAGGTAAGTTAGAAAAGGTGGCGCCCTTCGCCGCTATCAGTTCTTGTACCTGGGTGCGCTCTTGAGGACTTAGCCGCTCCCCCAGCTGAACCCCCTGGGAGGGCTCCTTCTGCTCCTCCTGCTCTAACAGATCTGGGAGAGGTAGGTTCTCCTGATCTTCCGAGGCGGGCGTGCAAATGGCTGCCACGTCCTCGGTTCTCTCGTGGTAGGGTTTGAGCATGTTCACATGGAGCATGCGTCGCTTCCCTAATACAATACAAATGCTTTGCACGTAGCACCAATGCCCCATATGTTCTGCCTCCTTTCATATTTTATAAAAATAGGGTAACTAAGAAGTACACCATGTTAAAGGTAGAGTCCACGTAAAACTATCATGCTAAACAAACTGGAGTGATGTCAGTGTGGAAACCCCCTTCTGAGCTGCGCTCCGGTGTGTAGGCGAGTAGATAGTGGCATGCGAAATAGGGTGGGAGGTATGGTAGTAAATTAGCTGTGCACTAAGAAAAGCGATGGACTGTCATAGTGAGAAGCCAAGCCAAGCCTACCCCCTATGTAGGCTTGGTGGTGGCGCAAGCATTATAAGAGTGGGGGAGACTTGTGTCTCTATTGCATAAGGCGATGAGAGCTTGGTAGTGTTGGATGAAATAAAAAGAACTGCTGTCAGTTGTGTGAGAGTGATAACATAAACGTACTAAGGTAAACATAAGATTAAAATAACTGGTGGTAGAAGAGAATAAGTCTCTGTGGTGTTGGGGACCTGATTGTCAGTTCCAAATCCTGTTCACGAGACAGGGCCGCTGTAGCTGATGCGGTCTGGTTGAGTAGGCCCATCTTGTGAAGGTGATCTTCCAAATCCAGCAGTGTGCTCGCTTGTCGAGTTTCTCTGTGGGCAGTAAAGATCAGGGCTCTTGGTGGGCCCCAGCGATTGGTTAAGTCCAGGAACAATTGTAGGGTAGCTCCCTCAAACTGCAGTGAGTTATTTTCCTTAACGTCTGACAGGGGTAAGGCTCTGTCTTGTAGAGACTGAAACGGATTATGATATCCAACGTGGATGTCTCTGGCGCGGTCAACGGTTTAGGAATGCGGAATACACCATCTTGTTTTACCGCCCTGGCCTGTTTAGGCAGTAGGTTGGCGGCCAGAAATCTTCTTATAAAGTGTGGTAAGTCTTATGGGCTCAATGCCTCCGGCACTCCTCGTACCTTGAGGTTATATCTCTTCCACTGGTCTTCCAGGGCATCCACCCTGTCCACTGTTGCTTTCTGCTGCCGGTGGAGTTCCTCCAATTGCTTCTCCATCCCGGAGAGCCTGGTGTCTTGTTTGCAGTGGGAGGCCTCCAGGTCGGCAATTTTTGCATGTGCGCCGTCAACCGCTTTCTGGAAGTGGGCCATATCCCCAGCTATGTTGGCTCGGAGCTCCGCCAGCATCTTCTTAAGTAGCGATGCAGTGACAGGGTCGCTATCCTCCAGCAGAGGCAGCCGGGGTCCCGTCTGTAGGCTGGGAGTGCTCCACTCTCCCATGTCCAGAAGGTTTTCAGATGAGCATCGAGGTGCGCCATGTTGTCCCATGTGGCCCTCTGGGAGTTACGGAAAAATTTCCTGATGTCCCGGGCTGGCAGGCCCTTGTCTGATCTGAGTTTTTGGTTTTTCCTTAACATGTTGGTTTTCTCAAGTGGGTGAGTATTTTTTATTTTTTCATTTTTGTGGGTTTTTCACTCTGTTTGACAGCTTTTTCAGGGTATCTCACGCAGAGCTCAACAAAGATGCGCCCATTCAGGTCGACAGCTAGGCTCCGCCCCCCCTCTTTTTATCTTTTAAAGATGAGAAACTCATCTTTACTTTAGATGGTAAATATACAGGTATTTATCCAATCTTGTTTATAATTCACCATGCCATGGTCACCATAATGGATGTTCGGAAGTTTATTTTACTGTAGTATGGAGGCACAGATAAAATAGTAGGATTTATCATTAGCAATCTTAACCTGCTTGCAATTTTCACATTAGAACAAAAATAGCCCTCTATTCTATTCTCTTAATCAAAGGAAACAGAGGGGAGATTTGTTTATAAGCCATTGGATCAGCGTATTGTGCAGGACTGATTGCATTGATGACACAGGATATTCAGTAACATCACACACATAGACTATAGAATTGCATTTTTCATCATAACATAGTCATCAAGAAAAGGGGGAGATACAGCGCTAACTCCAAAGGCAGCAGAATAGAATCTGTTAGTTGGATACCGCAGTGATCCAAAGGAAACAAGGGAAAAAAATGTGAATTACTGATTAAACAAATATGAGTATGTGTATATAAACTTACAATATTATCATTTTATAATGGAATTAACGTAATTATAAGAGTAATAAAAGTCCCAAAGAGAAAAAAATAGTCTTTATGGTAATAAGTACCATATAGTGCTTTTTGGAGGTCAATCTGTCATCCTTCTTGATGATCAAGTAGACAAAACTTTAGTGCAGATGAGGAGTTCTGTTACTGGCGTCTCATGTTAAATAAAAAAAACAAACAAAATAAACACCAATAGTGGAATCCAACATTTTTATCTTTAGTGGGTATCTTAAAATTGCCAGAAAGAGGATTTAGTATATAGTATACAGTTTTTGTCAAATGAACATTCAATATCATATATATTGACCTAATGAGGACTGAATTAGAAAGGTTAAAATACCAGTCTATTTATTCAGAATTTGTTCTTCTAATTCAGAATTAGCTTCAATAAACAGATGCAAAAATGAGCCTGTACGGCAAAATATATATGCATATACACTGCAAAATGTATAAGCATACACACATTATGTATCAATTTTACTCATTTTTTTGCACTCTTTTGGTTCAACCAAAAATGGTTTTCCCGAACCATTTGCATGGACAATATCCAGACAAGCTGTACCATCGACTTCAAACGAAATTCAGTCGACGGAATTAAAGTTTTTTTCCCACTCTATCTCAAAATGTATTACTTATTACGGATGTCTTTTAAAACCTTTTCTATTTACTTTTTTCTCTATTGTTAGCCATTCAAATATGTGACTCTGACGAAGCGAAGCATTCAGGATATTCCAATAGAGTGAGAACATAGTGGTAAAAGCTTCAGAGAGAGACAATTATTGATCCTCATGGCCTTTCATCACTATTTAAAAATAGTAATTGTGGATGATTATATGAAATAGGGAGAAATATATGTCCTTTGGATTTTATATTGTAGGTCTAGTAATTAAAGGAATAGATTAAAGGAATATCATCCTTTCTTTTACTCATTAAAGGGACTCCCCCTCTGAAAAGACTCATATAAAGACTTTCATAAGGACTTTAAATCACAGTGATTTATAGAACAAAAGTATGAGGGACTCTCCGTTGATTTTAATACATGAATCCCTTCTTTCATTGAGATTCATTGATTCCCACACTGATATTATATCTAATTTTATTGTTTAATTCCATTATTTGCCTTTTTTTTATTCCATTTAGTACCTCATATTTTATCTTTATAAATTTTTGTCTTTCGCATTGGGTATAGTATATTTTTGAGGGATCCAAATTAGTATGTTGTATTATACAAATTTTGTTTAGTGTTGTATTGAAAGCCAATGATACCATGATTTTTTCTCGTCTACAATAACTATAATAGATTGATCTACCACAAAAAAGTATTGTGTGCTAATTCCAAAATGGATCAAAAGAATACAAAACAGCCACCCTGATAGCTAGAAATCTGTGTGAAAATATATCTGTATTTTGAGTTTTATTGTCTCTCTAAAGCAATACAGTTATTCTCTTTAGCTCATAATCCTGTGCATTAAAGCTGAAGATTCTTATTCAAACATTTTTATCTTTAGTGGGTATCCTAAAATTGCCAGAAAGAGGATTTAGTATATGGTATACAGTTTTTGTCAAATAAAAAGAATTATGGACATTTCTTTCAAGCACATATTTAGAGTCATTAAGGATCTGGGTAGTAGTGAGAATTATCCCCGTTTTTGTAGTCCTGCTTCAGTCCCCTGGTGTCCCGCACCTGGGAAGTGTCCATGAAGAGCAAGCACACGTGCATATTGGCAGGTTGGCCGACTGGGAGGCTGTCAGTAAGCTGGCATGTCCCTTTTCTGGGTTCCCAACTATGGACATCACCAGTGACATGGATCATGTTATTGATGATGTCCCCTTATGGCTCCGCCCATCCTGTCCTGATTTCATGCCTCCTTTTGATTGTGTGAGGTACGATTACTAAAGGGACAAAGCATCCTCCTGGTCTTTTACTGGTCTTTTACTATAATTGTTAGAGAAGTCAATAGCAGAGGACAATCTCCCTTGCCCTCCTTTCCTCTTCTTTAAAATGGACTCCTTGAGTATTCTTCTAGTCTTGTGAGCATGTCTATAAATGTTTATTTTAGGTTATACAACTATTGTGAAATTGTATTCATTTATATAAGAGTCTGGTTTATGTAAAACAAAGCATGCAAACTTAAAGGACAACTATAGGCACCCAGACCACGTCAGCTTAATGAAGTGGTCTGTTGCCAGGTCCAGCTAGGTTTAACCCTTTTTGCTGTAAACATAGCAGTTTCAGAGAAACAGTTATGTTTACCTATGGGTTAATCCAGCCTCTAGTGGCTGTCTCATTGACAGCCGCTAGAGGCGCTTCTGCGCTTCTCACTGTGATCTTCACAGTGAGAAGACGCCAGCGTCCATAGGAAAGCCACGCATGCACATTCAGCCAGGGACATCAGAAGAGGGAGGAAAGTCCCAGCACTGAGGGAGCCCGGCGCTGAAAAAAAGGTAAGAGATTAACCCCTTTCTCCCCCTCCTGCGCCACGGGAGTGGGACCCTGAGGGTGTGTTTTCCTTGCACTATAGTGGTCCTTTAAATCCCTAACATAGGCATGCGCAGCCTATTGTATAAGGGTGTGCACCCTAAAGCACAAACACACATGCTGCGCGTGTATATATATATATATATGTGTGTGTGTGTGTTAGGGCGCTGTGTGTAAGGGCGCTGTGTGTGTGTGAAGGCGCTGTGTGTGTGAAGGCGCTGTGTGTGTAAGGGCGCTGTGTGTGTAAGGGCGCTGTATATGTAAGGGTGCTGTATATGTAAGGGCGCTGTGTGTAAGGGTGCTGTGTATGTAAGGGCGCTGTGTGTAAGGGCGCTGTGTGTGAAGGCGCTGTGTGTGTGAGGGTGCTGTTAGTGTGTGTGTGTGAGGGTGTTGTTAGTGTGTGTGTGTAAGGGTGCTGTGTGCGTGAGGGTGCTGTTAGTGTGTATGTGTGATGGTGCTGTGTGTGTAAGGGTGCTATGTGTGTGAAGGTGCTGTTAGTGTGTGTGTGTGTAAGGGTGCTGTGTGTGTGTATGTGTAAGGGTGCTGTGTATGTGAGGGTGCTGTTAGTGTGTATGTGTAAGGGTGTGTGTGCTGTATGTGTGTAGATGCTGTGGGTGGGGGGTGCTGTATGTGGGTGCTGTATGTTTGGGTGATTGTGTGCATTGTGTGGGGGCCGTTTAGCAAATATCCCTGCGGGGCTAGAGTTCACTCTCGCGAGATCTGAGTGTTGCCATGGCAACACTCAGAATCCCACGAGAGGAACCCGGCGGAGCTACTGGCAAGAGCTCCCCAGGTCCTCTCCTGCCTCCCTCCCTGCCTGTGGGTCGGTGGGGAGGGAGGCTGAGAGCAGAGCCGGCGCTCGGATAGCGCCGGCTCTGCATGAGCCGACAGGGGAGATCCTGAGATCTCCTCTGCCAGTCTCAATATACATAGGCGTGCCGCGGGGATTAGGGTGTGCCCAGGCACACCCGGCACACTCCGTGCGCACGCCTATGATCCCTAATATATAAATAGGGAAAGCAAAACGCATTAACTTTCTGTTGCAGGTAGAAGAGTTCAGCTTCAATTCCATACTTACTAATCATAAAATGCCTGTACGCAAATTACAGAACCGGTGCCTACATTATCATAATTAACTGGAGAAGTTAGGCTCTAAACCTTGCAGAGGTCTTTGCAATTATTGAATAATGGACAGCTGCATATTTGTCTGCCTTAAATATAGCCTTATACAGGATTTGAATAAAAGCATTTACAGAAGCAAACATGGAATGCACAGGACCACTAAGGGTGTGTCAGCAAGCTGAGGTTAAACTAAAGTCACCGAACAAAATAGATGTTTTACAATGTTTATATAGTTGTAGGGTTTGAGCTATGTAATCTTGTAATGTACATACTTTCCAAGATTACATAATTTAATATATATATATATATATATATATATATATATATAGTTAATACAATGCTAAACAAAAATCTGCACACCAGTCAAGACATAAGACTTGCTTTTCCCACAGAAATTCCAAATCAGCAGTAATGTTACAACCGCAAAGGATTCTGGGTGGGCATATGCAAATTAGTTTAACAAAGAATCACATTTTTGCCTCATTCCATTTTAAACATGGATTTCTTTTAATTTGTGTTTGCAGTATACAACTGCTTAGAACACAATTTAGGATAAGATGCAAAACCAGTGAACCACTCATGGACAGCTGTTTCGTTGTTAATGCAACTCTTCAGCATGAGGTTGGTTACTGGTTTGCTTAGTGAGGCTTGGTAGTGCTTGGGAAGCAAAATCCAAAAAGGTTATGGTGGGAAAAAATTGTGATTGAAAACCCCTTCCACCTGAAGTATGTGGATAGTTAATACAATGCTAAACAAAAATCTGCACACCAGTCAAGACATAAGACTTGCTTTTCCCACAGAAATTCCAAATCAGCAGTGATGTTACAACCGCAAAGGATTCTGGGTGGGCATATGCAAATTAGTTTAACAAAGAATCACATTTTTGCCTCATTCCATTTTAAACATGGATTCCTTTTAATTTGTGTTTGCAGTATACAACTGCTTAGAACACAATTTAGGATAAGATGCAAATATATATATATATATATATATATATATATGTGTGTGTATATATGTATATATATATATATATATATATAGAAATAGATGTATATGTAGATAGATAGATAGATAGATAGATAGGTAGACAGACAGACAGACAGACAGACAGATAGATAGATAGATAGATAGATAGATAGATAGACAGACAGACAGATAAATAGATAGATAGATAGATAGATAGATAGACAGACAGACAGACAGACAGACAGACAGATAGATAGATAGATAGATAGATAGATAGATAGATAGATAGATAGATAGATAGATAGATAGATAGATAGATAGATAGATCTATCTATAAGTTTATATATATATATATATATATATACAGGGAGTGCAGAATTATTAGGCAAGTTGTATTTTTGAGGATTAATTTTATTATTGAACAACAACCATGTTCTCAATGAACCCAAAAAACTCATTAATATCAAAGCTGAATATTTTTGGAAGTAGTTTTTAGTTTGTTTTTAGTTATAGCTATGTTAGGGGGATATCTGTGTGTGCAGGTGACTATTACTGTGCATAATTATTAGGCAACTTAACAAAAAACAAATATATACCCATTTCAATTATTTATTATTACCAGTGAAACCAATATAACATCTCAACATTCACAAATATACATTTCTGACATTCAAAAACAAAACAAAAACAAATCAGTGACCAATATAGCCACCTTTCTTTGCAAGGACACTCAAAAGCCTGCCATCCATGGATTCTGTCAGTGTTTTGATCTGTTCACCATCAACATTGCGTGCAGCAGCAACCACAGCCTCCCAGACACTGTTCAGAGAGGTGTACTGTTTTCCCTCCTTGTAAATCTCACATTTGATGATGGACCACAGGTTCTCAATGGGGTTCAGATCAGGTGAACAAGGAGGCCATGTCATTAGATTTTCTTCTTTTATACCCTTTCTTGCCAGCCACGCTGTGGAGTACTTGGACGCGTGTGATGGAGCATTGTCCTGCATGAAAATCATGTTTTTCTTGAAGGATGCAGACTTCTTCCTGTACCACTGCTTGAAGAAGGTGTCTTCCAGGAACTGGCAGTAGGACTGGGAGTTGAGCTTGACTCCATCCTCAACCCGAAAAGGCCCCACAAGCTCATCTTTGATGATACCAGCCCAAACCAGTACTCCACCTCCACCTTGCTGGCGTCTGAGTAGGACTGGAGCTCTCTGCCCTTTACCAATCCAGCCACGGGCCCATCCATCTGGCCCATCAAGACTCACTCTCATTTCATCAGTCCATAAAACCTTAGAAAAATCAGTCTTGAGATATTTCTTGGCCCAGTCTTGACGTTTCAGCTTGTGTGTCTTGTTCAGTGGTGGTCGTCTTTCAGCCTTTCTTACCTTGGCCATGTCTCTGAGTATTGCACACCTTGTGCTTTTGGGCACTCCAGTGATGTTGCAGCTCTGAAATATGGCCAAACTGGTGGCAAGTGGCATCGTGGCAGCTGCACGCTTGACTTTTCTCAGTTCATGGGCAGTTATTTTGCGCCTTGGTTTTTCCACACGCTTCTTGCGACCCTGTTGACTATTTTGAATGAAACGCTTGATTGTTCGATGATCACGCTTCAGAAGCTTTGCAATTTTAAGAGTGCTGCATCCCTCTGCAAGATATCTCACTATTTTTGACTTTTCTGAGCCTGTCAAGTCCTTCTTTTGACCCATTTTGCCAAAGGAAAGGAAGTTGCCTAATAATTATGCACACCTGATATAGGGTGTTGATGTCATTAGACCACACCCCTTCTCATTACAGAGATGCACATCACCTAATATGCTTAATTGGTAGTAGGCTTTCGAGCCTATACAGCTTGGAGTAAGACAACATGCATAAAGAGGATGATGTGGTCAAAATACTCATTTGCCTAATAATTCTGCACTCCCTGTATATATAAACATAATTACTTATATATCACTTTGAAACAGTGCAGCATAAATTTAGTTGTAGTAGTAGCTATAAGGAATATATAAGATATAAAGAGTAGTTATAAGGAATAACAAAATGTAAATTTACAAATAGAACAACTTAACACTGTAAAATCTGAGAATCCAGCTCTTATGTTTCAATAGAATTTAACAGAAACACAACAAAATACCAATAATGTAAGCTATGTTTCTCAGGCTTATAGAATACATAATTATTCAAGTATGTACATTCCAAGATTACATAAGCATTTTGACATAGCTCAAACCCTACAACTATATAAACATTGTAAAACATCCATTTTGTTCGGTGACTTTAGTTTAACCTCAGCTTGCTGACACACCCTTAGTGGTCCTGTGCATTCCATGTTTGCTTCTGTAAATGCTTTTATTCAAATCCTGTGTAAGGCTATATTTACATTTTTGTTTATATAATATATATATATATATATATTCACAAAAATATTATATATATACACAAAAATAGTATGACACTCCGGTACAAAAGACAATGAAAAGGTCACTGCCTAAGTGCCTCCCAAATATATATATATATATTTTTTTAAAGTTATTAAAACTAGCTTGTAACCTCTACAAGTTTGGTTAGGGTCTGGTTAATCATATACATAATTGTCAATCAATTACATGAATTATGCTTGAGGTTTAGCTCCACACTGTGAATGTGTCAAATTGCATTTCATAAGGTCTGAGGAAACTAAACTAACATCTGTATACAAGCAGCAAAAATCTATTTCATTTCAAATCATGTTTCTGTATAGATGCTATTTAGTGAGCTATTAAAACAAAGGCATGACTTTTCAACAACTTCAAACAACATTATTCTAATGAGGGTGCTTGAAGTCACCCCTTACATGCATTGCACAAAACCCACAAAGTGTAATAGGAATAGAAGATACTAACAGGGTTATTCACTAAAAATTCACTGAAAATACAAAGTGCATTCGAAGTGAATTTCTAATTTAAGGTCAGAGTAGTCAATCTTAGCTGACTATTTTTACCTTGAATTTGAAATTCACATGGAAATCACTTTGAATTTTCACTTTAGCGAATAACCTGCATATGTTGAGTTTGCTCTCATTGTCCGTGTATCCAGGGTTTACTGCTCCAAGTCATTTCTGTCACACCCACACTATTTGTGCAATTTGGAGAGCAGATTCAAGGATTCTTCCCTTAGTTATGTAATTATTAATACTATTGGTTTTCCCTGTTGGCAGCTCAGTTCAACCAGCAAAAAGTCATTGAATGATTGAGGTGTCTATAACCTCAATTGAGCAACTTGAAAACTCTAGATGTGTGGTTTTAGAAGTCATGTCCTAAACATGTATGTATGAATAGTAGGTTTGTGCATTCCATTTAAAATGTTATTATTTATATAGCGCCAACAAATTCCGCAGCGCTTTACAGTGGGTGGACGAACAGACATGTAGTTGTAACCAGACAAGTTGGACACGCAGGAACAGAGGGGTTGAGGGCCCTGCTCAATGAGCTTACATGCTAGAGGGAGTGGGGTAAAGTGACACAAAAGGTAAGGATAGTATTAGACTAGGTTTCATTTGAGTTTTAGCCCTGAATTCTGTAACTCTAAAGTGCTATATGGAAAAACATGGATGGAACTCTATATCAAGAACAGACAATGGATGAGCATGTTTGTTTGTTTCAGTTCATGCATTAAAAGAAAGAGATGACTGATGGACAAAATTATTCTTTGATGATTAGGGAAAAGCCACTAAATTTTAATTTTATTCACAGATCAAGTGAAACGTGACCGGTAAAGGGAACAAAAGGAGGAGCAGTAAAAAAAAAATCTATATATTAGTATTTATATATTATATCTTTAAGAAATATTGATCCTCATTTTCCCTCTATTGGTTACTTTTTCTCACTTGTTCTGTGAACCAAATGCCACGGAAATGCGCCTATGTACTGTAAAACACATATGTACTATTTATATTTTTCAGACCATTAAATAGGTGATTTTATTGTTTGTTCTAAATTGTATTCCCATATATTTTGCATGGACTATATTAAGAACATTAGAATATTTCCATATTATATATTTATTTATTTTTTAAATTATAGCTGCTCTACTTTTTCACTCTATTGATCATTTCACCTTTTGATCTGTGAATAAAGTAAACTTTTAGCGACTGTCCCTAGCCATCAATCATAACTTTTTCCCATCAATCAACTCTTTTTTGGCATCACGGGCGGACTCCAGAATCATAACCGAAACAGATATGCTGGGTCATTACGCATTTTGGTTGGTTCGGGATTAGAGTACATTTCAGCTCAGAGTTTTGTAATTTGACCGATCGCCTGATTGCCCCAAATTCAGACGAATTGCTGTTCATGACAAAACAAATCTCCAAGTTTAATGAATATCAGACAACCCAAACACAATTTTTTTGCCACAAATGGTTTGGCTGAGCCAAATTTTGACATCAGGCACAAGTCTAGTAAATAGCTGATTTCATATTCTTGTACTTATTACATAGATAAGAAGTAATCTGCATTGGAAAAAGTCCATTGAGTTCAAATCGACCTAATTCAACTCTGAAGTGTAATTAGGTTGTATTTTGTGACTTTTTTAAGACTTTGAAGTAGCTCGAGATTAACTTTAAAAATACTTGGTCCCACACTAGACTTTTATGGATGGACTCTATAGTGTTGAGGTATTCATATGACACTTAAATGAATAAAAATTAAGAATTAAGTGCATTACTTTCTAGATATGATCTCTCTAGAACATTTCCAGAAAGAATTGCAATGGCATGAATGAGCACATAGTATATCGATTTCACATTTTTACTCAGATCTATGCGGGCTTCCCTAGCAATTCCCTGCTTCTATAACAGAACTTTCTTCAAAACGCTTGTTTGGCAAGAGCATTTTGAAGAAGTGAAATTGCAAGCATAAATGCCAGAGTAAAAAATAGTAATAGTAATAGTACGAAAAATAGAAATGCCTTTATTATTTTGCAGAAAGAGCTGTTGGCAACAATAGGAGCAGAAGGGGCTCAGCAACACTTGGTTTTTATGCTCAGGAATGTTTTGTTGAGTCTTTGTCATTTTTCTAGTGCACAAACCCAGGCTGTGGAGAAATGGGCAAATGCCATCTGGTCCTCCTTACCCAGTTATGAAATGAGGGTGCCTTTTGCCGAGCCTTCCTACATTTCTTTCGTTTTATTTTTGTATTATTGATTTTAATATTAGAGATATCTGAAAGAGACCCAAGCATGTATTTTTTTAATGTGATTGGCTGTCATAGTTGAGAATAGTGATGCAGAAACCATTAGTGCCATATAAGTGCTAATAATATTATTATTAATAATAATAATAATAAAGACCACATATATTACATATCTTAAAGTTTGAAGCTATAAATTGGCATGCACATCCGTTTTCTCCCATCATAAAGCTAAATTTGCACATAGCCATGAGTATAATATATGTAATTTACCTGGTTGGATATTTAATCCAAGGTACTAATGTTATTCATTTTGTTTAGATACCGTTTGAACTGGCTAATAGCAACTGACCTATAAGTTTATAAAAAAAATACTTTCTTTATAATTCTTCTTTGAACAGATTTAGCTCAAATAACTTTTCTTTCAGCAACTTTCTGTGCAAAACATTTATTGAAAATACCATACAAAAATATTCACTTTTCCTCCTCATTGGAATTATGGCAGGCATATTTACTGAAGTGAGCTTTCAAAATAAATTTCATATTTAAAGGACCACTCCACACACATGAAGCATATGCATATATGTATGAAAACTGTGCCCCCTTTTTCATTCTACTAAAAGTGAAGCTTTCAATAGACTTTTGCACTTTTATAAATTAACCTTTTTATACCCCACTGGCTGGCAATCAGGCCACCAGTCCTGTCACTTCCTGGTTATTTAGCTAAACTCAACAAGCAGACAACAGCACAGAACACCTGCCTTGCAAATACTTCTCCTTGAGTTGCACTGGGAAGCCTGTCATTGGATAACCACATAAATTCTAGGCTGGACAAGAAGGGGAGGGCCTGAAATTACGTTTTTGTTTTTTGCAAGCTGTTTTTAAATATAACCCTAATGAATTGAAAGCAAATCTGACTTTTTTTTTATCCTATAAAGAGCAAAAAGTTCCCTATTCTTCTACTTGGTCTGGTCAGCTGTTATGAATTTAATATAATTTCCATATCTCTGAATTGGTATATAGGTGTAGAACCAAGAAAACAACTAGCATGAGTACATGGATCATCAGTGTCTATGCTTTCCTTTGGATGTCAGTGTCTTCTCACTGTGATTTTCACAGTGAGAAGTGCGGAAGCGCCTCTAGCGGCTGTTAATGAGACAGTCACTAGATGCTGGATTAACCCTATTGTAAACATAGCAGTTTCTTTGAAACTGCTATGTTTACAGTTGCAGTGTTAACCCAAGATGGACCTGGCACCCAGTCCACTTCATTGAGCTGAAGTGGTCTGGGTGCCTATAGTGGTCCTTTAAATATAAATTAAGAAATCAGAACAAACAAATACCGTAAAGGATCTTAAATTTAAAAAAAATAAATGAAATAAAGAAAAAAAAAAGAAGAAAAGAATGTCCCTGATTAAACATATCATAAATGCATAAATTAATCCATTAAATAAGTTCATTAATACAAATTAATAACTGCAGATATACCCTTAATGTCCAGTAGTAAAAATGTACATTAGTAGGTAGACAATGAATTAGAAAGATAAAGCAAATCCTACATAGAAACATAGAAACAGAATGTGACGGCAGATAAGAACCATTCTGCCCATCTTGTCTGCCCAATTTTCTAAATACTTTCATTAGTCCCTGGCCTTATCTTATAGCTAGGATAGCCATATGCCTATCCCACACATGCTTAAACTCCTTTACTGTGTTAACCTCTACCACTTCAGCTGGAAGGCTATTCCTGCACAGTGGGTGGGGGCCCTAAATAACAATAAGGGGGGAACCTACTGTCCTCCCCCGTCCCCCACCGCTTATCGGCGGGTGGGGGCCCTAAATAAAAATTTAACCCCCCCAGGTGACAAGGGGTCCCCAAACCCCTAGAACCGCCCTGCCCCCAAAAAATAACGCCTACCAACCCTCCTCATCCTAAAAATAATGAGGGAGGACCCTTAAGGGGTTGTGAACAAAACAAAATGTAAACAAAACCTGGCATTTGTGCTACATGTCTTTCCAACCGTAATTCACCTCTTTCATAGTAAATGCACCCACCCTTATTATATATCATTTTATTCAGGGGAAACAGGGCTTTCATTTAATATCAAATATTTATCTATGAAACATAATTTAATATGAAAAAAATGGGAGAAAATAAGATTTATTTATTTTTTTTGGTTCTACATGACATTTTAACTGTCAATGTCATAATACTGTTTGCTTTTACTGCAATAAAATACACATATTTGTATTCAGCAAAGTCTCACATGTAAAACAGTACCCCCTATGTACAGGTTTTATGGCGTTTTGGGAAGTTACAGGGTCAAATATAGCACGTTACATTTGAAATTGAACTTCGCCAGATAGGTTATGTTGCCTTTGAGACTGTATAGTAGCCCAGGAATGAAATTTACACCCATAATGGCATACCATTTGCAATAGTAGACAACCCAAGGTATTGCAAATGGGTTATGTCCAGTCTTTTTTAGTAGCCATTTGGCCACAAACACTGGCCAAAATTAGTGTTAGTATTTGTTTGTGTGAAAAATGCAAAAAACGCCAATTTTGGCCAGTGTTTGTGACTGTGGCTACTAAAAAAGACTGGACATACCCTGTTTGCAATACCTTGGGTTGTCTACTATTGCAAATGGTATGCCATCATAGGGGTAATTTTCATTGTTGGGCTACCATAGGGTCTCAAAGGCAACGTAACCAATCTGGCGAATTTTAATGTGAAAAAAATGAAACACAAGCCTTATATTTGACGGTGTAACTTTTGAAAACACCATAAAACCTGTACATGAGGGGTACTGTAGTACTCGGGAGACTTTGCTGAACACAAATATTTGTGTTTCAAAACAGTAAAAAGTATTGCAGTAATAATATCGTCCGTGTAAGTGCTGTTTGTGAGTGAAAAATGCAAAAAATGTCACTTTTACTGGCGATATCATCGTTGTAATACATTGTACTGTCGAGTGAAACAGTACCCCCCATGTACAGGTTTTATGGTGTCTTGGAAAGTTATAGGGTTAAATTAGTGCTAGCTAATTAAATTCCCTTTACTTTCGGCATGGGTTGTCAAGCAGGTCCAGCTAATTGTAATTAATTAAGATACCTAATTATGTAAAAATATGACATAAATATAAATGTAGAATTAATATATGTATATATATATATATATATATAAATATATATATATACGTATGTGTATATATATATATATATAATTTTTTTTAATATTTTTATTTATATATAGGTTTATATATATAGTGATATATATGTATATATTTATGTATATAGATATATATATTATTTTGTTCTATGTGTATTTTGATATAAATATATATATATATATATATATATATTAATATCACAATACAGTTAGAACGAAATAATACACATGTATATATTTTTTTAATTATTTATTTTTAATTATTTTTTAAATTTTATTTTTTAACGTATTTACATATTTTTTTAATGTTATATATAAATATATATAACAATAATTATATATATATGTATATATTTAATCAGTATCAGTCTACGTGTAATTTGATATTAATATATATATATAATTTTATAATATATATATATTAATAGTAAAATACACCTAGACAGTGTATGTGTGCATGTATATGTGTATATATATACTTAGATCATATATATATATAACATATATATATATGATCTAAGTATATAATTATTTTTTTTTACACTTATTAACTTTTAATTTTATTTGAATTTAGCCATAAGGGGGATTAACTGTCATTACAGGCAGTCCCCCTGCTGGCAATGCAGCAGCCAGCTAACCCAGCCATGTGATTGTGAGGTCCTCGCAAGGACCTCACTCTCACATGGCCAGGGGGGCTGCAGGAGGTTGGATGTGCCGCGCGGGGCTCCCTGGGAGTCCCCCCAGCCGCGATCGCCGACATGGGATCGTCGGCGACCGGGTAAGTAAAAAAAAAAGGGAGGGTGTAATATTACACCCGGCGGCGTTTAGAGCCGCCTAAAATAGGGCGTAATAGTACGCCCTCCGGTCTTAAGGGGTTAATAGACATGCCCCTAATCGCGGTATAGTGAGTAGGGGCATAATTTAATAATACTAAGTAACAAGCTTATATAGAGGCTGGGTCACATGCTGCACTGGCCAATCACAGCCATGCCATTAGTAGGCATGGCTGTGATGGCTTCTAAGGGCACACGAGTCAAACGCCTGTTGATTGGCTGTCCTGCAGCCTTTCAAAACATTTCATTAAATCGCCAAACACCAAACTCCAACCCGAACATACAGTAATTTGTCCGTGTTCGGGTCCGGCATCCAAAAAACGTAATGTTCGGTACGAACCCAAACTTTGCGGTTCAGGTTCGCTCAACTCTATTTAGTACTAGACATTCTTTTTTTTGTTTGTGTGTGTGTATATATATATATATATATATATATAAATCCCAGGTCCCCGCACTCAATGCTCCTTGTCTTTTCTGCTCCAGTGCTGTCTTCAACCAAATTATATACAATCCCAGTAGAGAGCACTCAGGAGTCTTTAGGGTAAATTTCAACTGTTGCTTTATTAATACTTAAATACCTCTGTCTTATCTCTGTAATTCTCAATCTTTGCATTTGTTTTTCATTAAATGACCTTAAATCAAATGTCCATCTATGCACCCCCCCCCATCTCTTAGCCCATCTGAAACTAATATACATCTCTCTCCCACAGTCTGATTTTTAAACATACCCAGTCCATAGAACTCAGAGCTCCATCAGCTGTTCCATGGCCATTTGAAACAGGTAGCCTTCTGGAAGACTGACTTTTCCCTCCCACCCTACCCCATGGTCATTTTCTCATTTATAGATAGTCTCCCACACAACTTTCAATCTACTGAAATGACAGGTGCAACCACTGATCAGCACACCCTTTAATCTCTTAACCTTATAGAACACATACCCTCTCTCACTACAAATAGATATATCACACACCAAAACCATATACTTCTATTTAATTTTTTTTCTCGCAATTTCTGTTTCATTTTCAACTACACACCTCATACCACTAACATGAATCCTAATATAACCATACTGTTATTCTTAATAATCCTTTTCTCAATCCAATTTTGTTCACACCACTACCAGCATAAGCACACACCTCAAACTGGAACACAAATTATAATACACCATGGCCTGCTCTGTTCCTTTACCTTATCTGCTGAGTGCTGGTGGAGAGTTATAAAAAATAGCCCTCCTACCCCAAACTCACAAAATTATAAATTATCCCATTCACTATATGGCCAAACAAAGATGATGTCCAAATTCCTACTCCTTATGTTACTTGCCCTTGCAAATTATGTGGAGTCTAACCCTGGTCCCCCAGCTAATTCTAGTCCTAATCTCCCCACTAAAAAAGGCCTCTCTTTTGTGCACTGCAACATCCATAGTTTACTCCCTAAACTGGATGCACTGCAAGCCTGGTGTTCCCATTACAAACCAAAAATCATTGTGCTCTCAGAATCATGGTTAACGGCTAAAATACCAGACACCGCCATTGCAATACAGGGTTATTCATGTTTTAGAAATGACAGAGCAAAGAGAGGAGGAGGCATTGTTATTTATGTTGACAATTCCATAAAGTTTACCCCTTTACAAAACCTTAGTCCTCCTGCCATCTTTGATTTCCTTTCTGGCAGAATTGAGATCCCGTGCAGTAAATCAATCATTGTTGCAGGAATCTACCACCCACCTAGCTCCCCTGTGCATTCCCTTTCTGACATAGCCCATCTCCTTAGTGAAACCATAGCTCAAAACCCAAAAAGTGAACTGTTGGTCTTTGGAGATTTTAATATTGATTGGCTGAACCCTAAAAATAATAGTTCTTGCACGCTGTTTAAGACTTTGCAGCTAACGCAATTAATCTCCTCCCCAACTCGCATAAACATTAAAAGCCATAACCATACCCTGCTAGATTGGATTCTCTCCACTTCTCCTGATAGAATCCAGGAGGTTGGTGTTCTCCCAAACATGTTCAGTGATCACTGTTTAGTGTACTGCGTGCGCAAAATAAAGGCTATTAAATCCTCTCCCAAGGTTAAAAAAACTAGGTCCTTCAAAAAATTTAATCTTGAATCCTTTTTAAATTACATCAAGAATCTCTCATGGCACAGATTAAACATTATCCCAGATCTAGACTGTGCTGTTAAATACTTTCAGTCTAAACTCCTACAAATTTGGAATTTGCATGCCCCGCTGCGTAAGGTGAGGGTAAAAGGAGCAGATATGAACTGGATCACAGCTGGCCTCATCCAAATGTACCAGTTTCGGGATTCTTTGTGGTCAAAGTTTAAGCGTACTGGGTCTATGAATGATCACGGTGCATATAGACAATGGCAAAATATATGCACAAAACAGACAAAACTGGCCAAGGCCCAATATTTCTATGAAAATCTGAACAGTAACATCTCAAACCCTAGAAACTTTTGGAAAGTCATAAATAAACTACAAACTCCCCAAATCCACTCCCAACCCTCCACTGTCAAAGTGGGTAACCAAACCCTGCAACTTCCCTTAGACGTAGCAAATGCCTTTAACAATTATTTTGTCGGATGCTCTACTGCCCTGATTGCCAAGCTAATAAATTACACGCATCCTGAAACTACAAATAGAAACATAGAAACATAGAATGTGACGGCAGATAAGAACCATTCGGCCCATCTAGTCTGCCCAATTTTCTAAATACTTTCATTAGTCCCTAGCCTTATCTTATAGTTAGGATAGCCTTATGCCTATCCCACGCATGCTTAAACTCCTTTACTGTGTTAACCTCTACCACTTACTAGGATCCTTGCCCCTAAAGTTGGAAGCCTGAGCATGGATTTCCGTCATGAGTTTAGCGCGGGATGCATACTCTTCGTAGTTCTCCAGTAAGAGGCGCCCGGCCTCTTCATTCAGTGCTGACTCTGGGTTCGGGTGAATCAACAAACACTTTATTGTAAGCAAAACGTGTCTTATGCCTAACTCAGCCTTCCAATCTTTCTTCAATACATTGACACATATCTCTCCATTGGAACTAATATTTGGGTGAAATATCTTTGTTAGGAAGTATCCTTTTGGAGGTGCTGCTGGGAAATCTTTGCCCAGGATTAGCTTCATTCTGAAAATCCCTCCAGCATAAGGGGTGCCTTCTGGTCCTTCAATGCTGACTTGTACATCTGTTATATCCTCTTCATTAGGAAAGATCTTTATTCCTTCTGGGGGATCAGATGTCAACGTGGAAACTTCTTTGTAAACCTGGCGAATTATATGTGGTGGCAAGTTCTCAACGTTTGAATTCATAACGCTACACGAAGATGGCTGAGACACAGGAAACCGGTTATGAGTTCTTCTCAAGCGAGTGTTTTGACTTTGACTTTAATAGAAAGAGAAGGGCCTAATTGCAATAGTAGACAAATAATAAAGAGTGATGACGGTGTTCGTATACAGAACCTGGGCCTATGTCTAGTAATCACTTTAACGAGCACGCCCTCCCCCTTCGATAACCCGTTCGCCGACACCCAAATCGCCCAAAATCCCTCACTTCCCCGGCATCAGGCCCCACTAAATTTGCAAAGGCCCAATATAGATAAGTTTAATTTTAGACCTGTACCTGTTAGTGTCATTAAAAAACATCTTAATAATCTAAAAATTAAAAACCAGTCCGGACCTGATCAAATCCCAGCAATGCTGTTGAAGCTCAGTGCGCCGGCAATTGCTAAACTCGTCTCAGCTCTAATTAATGAATCCTTGGTGTCTGGATACATACCCAAACTTTGGAAGACTGCGAGAGTAGTGCCTATCCATAAAAGTGGTGACACTACTTTGGTTTCTAACTATCGCCCAATATCATTGCTCCCGGTATTGTCAAAAATCTTAGAAAAATGTGTCCATACGCAACTTTGTGAGTACTACCAACAATTAAACTATCTGACCCCTGATCAATCAGGCCTTCGCCAGAATCACTCCACTACAACTGCCCTCCTAAAAGTTTGCAATGACATCCAAACTGGCATGGAACAAGGAGCCCTAACTGGAGCTATTTTCCTTGATTTTGCAAGGCATTTGACACAGTAGACCACGACATTCTACTGCACAAACTCGAAAACTCAAGTATTGGTGATCGTTCTCTAGACTGGTTTTGATCGTATGTATCGGATCGCTTGCAATATGTGTCCATTTCTGACAGTGACTCCCTCCCTCTCCCAGTCACATGTGGTGTTCCCCAGGGTTCCATTCTCGGCCCCCTACTATTTACATTATTTATACATGATCTGCCTAATGTCTGCCAATCCTCAAATGTACACATGTATGCATATGACACGGTAATCTATGCAAGCAATTCCGATCTACCGCAACTTGAGGCTTTGCTCCAAGACCAGTTTACAGAGGTAGAAAAGTGGATCGCTAAAAACAAACTCTTCCTGAACACTGACAAAACTGTCACAATGATCTTTGGAACAGTACCTAAATTACACAAATTACACAATTCCCACCTATCCATCAAAACAAATTCAAATGGCACACTGACCGCAGTCCACTCTTTCAAATACTTGGGTATGATATTAGACCCCAATCTATCTTTTGGCCTGCACATAGAAAAGCTTGCATCTAAACTTTATCCAAAATTAGGTGCCCTGTACAGAAACAAAGCCTGCCTAAGCCCTACAGTAAAGGAAAAGATTGTACAGCAAATGCTGATGCCAATCATTGATTATGGGGATGTAGTATATGCGTCTGCATCGCAATCCCACATTAATAAACTCAACACATTGTATAACTCGTTCTGCCGATTTGTGCTACAATGTAATTACAGGACCCATCATTGTGACATGCTAAAGGAACTAAACTGGCTATCGCTGGAATCCAGACACACCCTTCATCTTTCCAGCCTTGTGTTTAAGAGCTTTTCTGGAAAACTCCCACCCTGCCTGAACAAAATGCTTTCCCCAGCTGTTCCCACTTTCTATAAGCTCCGATCCAGTACAAGCACTTTACTTAGTTTACCTCAATACAAAAAGAAAGCGGCCCGATCCTCCTTCTCCTACAGAGCACCGCAATTGTGGAACGACCTCCCGCACAATTTAAAATCTTCCCTAAGCCTAAAGTAATTTAAGAGATCCCTCTCTACATACCTCAAAACAGAATGCACGTGTCATGGTTGATTAGATATTTCCTGCCTGTTCTATGATAAATTTTGTATATATTGTGCAATAATATGGTTTTTGTATTTTGTTGTACCTAATGTAACAATGCAATGATTTGTGGGCCCAGGACATACTTGAAAACGAGAGAAATCTCAATGTATCTTTCCTGATAAAATATTTTATAAATAAATTAAGCAATAACAGTAATACACACCACATATATATATATATATATATATATATATACAATGTATATTGCATACATTGTTAAACACAGATCTGCACACACCTGTCAAGTCATAAGACTTGCTTTTTCCACAGAAATCTCAAATTTGCAGTGATGTTATTACTTCAAGGGATTCTGGGTTGGCAAATGCAGATTAGTTCAAAGAATCACCCTTTTGCCTCATTAGTCCACTTTAAACATGGATTTCTTGGAATTTATGTTTGTTGTATACAACATCTTTAAAACGCAACTCAGAAAGAGATGCAAAGCCAGTGAACTGTGTTGACTGCAGGGGGTCCTCCATACAAAGCAATGAACAGTACAATTGTCCCTCCGCAGTGCTACTCTGTCATTTCATTATATTATCCCCAGGTAACACAATTGGCTTTCTTCTGCACACCCTCACAGTCCTAAAGGCACAGCATAGAAAGTATATGCCAGTACACTCTTTCCCTCAACCGTAATATTTATCTCTGGAAAGCTTGTCACTAAGTGCTCTCGCTGTACAAACAGTGTCCTGATTGGAGAATCTGCACTCAAGTTACAGCATGTTAAAGGTTTACCGGATCGCAGCTTTTCTTCGATCAGGTGACGAGTTTCATACATGCGGCGTCTTGGTCAGGGATTCAGAATGGGATTCCCGGACCTTTGGGGAGGAAAACACTCTTAAGCCCCAGGTATCCTCTAATGCCTCCTTGTCTTGTTGATCTACCCTCAAAAGAGCGCTCTATTTGGTGGTCAGGGATCAAGTAATACCTGCTTAACGATTGACTGGACCTCGGCACAGTCTGGATCTGAGGAACAGTTCCAGAGTGTTTCAGTTTATCTTCCTGTCAGGCACTGGAAGTGTAAACCCATTCCAGGTGATCCCCAGAGATCTTCGAGTCCAGCTGGGAACCACAACAAGCATCCGGTGTCCCCATAATACTCCCCACTGTGACAATAGCACCTTTTAAGGGCTCTTGGTGCCAGGCCAATAGTCTGTAGGCAGGAGGCTTGCTTGAGCTTTTCATATGCATTAAAATTAGGTAGTTTAAAATACACATTTAGTTTGTCTAATATGATTATGTTAACTCCGTATATAAAGTCATGATTATTGCCAATGTCCTTCAAGCCCTTTAGAAAACACAGCTGGTCAATTTAGCCATGGTCTCTAAATTTAGGGCAAACCTGAAAGAAATGTCCTAAACCAGAGGTCCATTAAAAGCCTTATAGTGACTTTGATATGTTGTTTAGTATCAGTAAGCTTTATTGGGTGATCAAAGACCTCCAGAACAACATTGTCACATGAGGATAATTAAAGCAGGCTATCTCTACCATGCAGAGTTTGCAGAGTTTGTCTGACAATCAATATGGGAGTAGCTAGGAAAGAGTAACTATTTTCTCAAAGACAAAATGGTAATCTCCTATCTTCTACTCAAAGTTGTTTCAAGTACTCCTGGAGGTAGCTATCTAGCTCCACAAAGCAGCAAGCTAAACCTTTCTCACTCTAGAATCAATGACCCAGGCTACCTCCCACTCACATACAGGCACACAAAGGCTAAAACACACAGTATTAGTGTTGGTCTGCCTCCCTCAGTCAGAGTGTCTGTAAAACTCCTGCTTGGAAGTATAGACCATTTTACTGCACCTCCTTTTTTGCATCTATCGGTCAGTTGTAGTCTGATCTCTGAATGAAATCAATATTTACTGGCTAACCCCTAACCATCTTTAGTTTTTGATCTCTTGATCAGACCGGAGATACAACTCACCTCTTGGGCTCACCTCTCCATTATTGCAATCTAAGCTGCTTATTTGTCACGGCCAAAAAAACAACCTCTACTCTATTCCATTTACCCTTTTTCTGGTGCCAGGAATGGTTTTGAGAAAAAAGAATGAAAATGAGCATCTGGCAAGTGGAAAGTGCAATTTTGGCCTATTACCCAATTGGCTTGAATTTGGCTGAATTGCAGGAATAATAATATTAATTATTAGATAAAGTGTATTATTATAGTGTACGCGGTAATGTTTCAGTAAAAAAAAAAAAAAAACACCAACCCTTAGTATATATTGACAAATATTTTTATTAACATTTTTTTTATATTCTCTATTCTCTTTCATAGCTAATCCTACACCCATTAGTAGTGCAATAAAAGAGCCTAAATTGAACATAAAGCCATAAAATGCTCATATTGCAGAATGTTTATTCAGTCATGCTTCTTAATGACAAAGACCTTTGTACCTGGTATTACCTGGAACCATACAATTAGATCATCCAATACTTGCCAATAGTTCTTGACATGCTATTATGTGTCTCTTAATATTAAATCTATATCACTTGCAGTGATTTTTGCTTTTAAATCAGAAATATTGGGACCTGTTGTTTGCATCACATACTTTCCTAGAGATCATTAATAATGTGATTTGATGAACAATTATCAGTAAATTGTTTCCTAATATTGTATCCATTCACTATTGTGTTGTCTGCGTCACATACTTATCTAAAGATTATCAATAAAGTGATTTGATGTACAGTTATCCTTGTATTGCATTAATTCACCATTATTATGGTCTCTCGGGGCAAAATAGTTTGATATAATTGATAGATAATTTTATATCTCCCATTTAATTTATATCTTAATTCATTTATACTGTTAATTAATTGTTGCTGCTAATTCATAATTTTATTGTGTATGTATGGCATTGCTCCAGTACCTCTTGCAAGCCGGCTCCTGTTGTTGAACTCTCAAAAGTTATATTTTGCAGTCACCTGCACTACCCGAAAGCAGTCACCGCATTTGTTATCCATCAGTGGTCAGGAGTTAAATACACTACTAAATTAAAAATGTATTGATCATCTGCTCATGTTTTTTTTTACTTCTTCATTCAGTTTTAGACTAGTGAGCATTCTCTGCAAGTATGATAAAAAAAAGACAGTGGTTGGCTGTGGGGCGGAGTCAAGACAACATTTTAGCTAACACTGATCTGTCATTGGCTAGGCAACATTATTCATTATTTCCCATTCGATGAGGAAGACATTTTATAAAAAGGGGAAACATGCAATTATTATTTTTATTTATTTTTTGCTAAAGGAAACTCTGAGAAAACCATGACATGCACATAAGGCCAAATCTTACCAAATGCACCTAACTTGTGTTGGTGCATAATGTTCCTTGGAATATATTTACAATATTTATTTATGCACATAAGAAATTGGAGTCTTCATCAACCATTATATCTGCTGATGTTCTGATTAGAAAAAAAAGATAAATCTCTGAGAACTCTGATCAAATTATAGTGTAATTTCTGGTTTGAGGAGAGAGCAGACATCATGCATGTAGTTGTCTGTATCAGTCTTATTCATACATATGAAATTACAGAGCTTAATCACTCTGTTTACAACTGGTTGGTAATAAAAAATGGCTGATTTTAAATAACGTGATCAGTTAAAAATATTAGGATATTTTTTTATTTTACTACAACCTCTACATCATACTTAATTTTAGCAATATATGTTTATTTCTCAATTTTGTCATTACAGTTTAGAAACATTTGAACAATTCTTTACATTTTAAATGGACTCTCCAGGCACCATAACCACTGCATAGTGTAACACAGTTTATAGGGAAAATAATATTCCCTGCTATAGATTGCACTCACAAGAAGTTGAAGTAAATTTGCTCTAAAAGTGTCTCCCAAAAAGTAGGTGGGGGATAATATCATCTTATATCACCTAGTATCACCAAAGCATCAGGAACCATGCAGGACTCCGATAGGTAGATAGGTATAAAATAAATTCATTTGTTGGAAATATAAAAAGTAACCAAAAAAATTAGTTTGGTTTTACGCGTTTCGTCAGAGACCAATATCAATAAAAACAATAATAGCAGTAATGCTCCCAAAAAAGCAGCCTATTTCTACATGCTGTCGAGTCCCATTTAAATAGGGCTAGTCACTCCAGTTCATTGATGCTCCAATGGGTGTCTTCCTTTCTTCTCTTTTCATTGGAGGAATTTATCTCCACTTCACCTGTACCTTGGTGAAGTTTGACAAGCAGCCCTTCTTTCAGCTGATCGCAATTCTGTGGTCGACAAAAACCAGAAGTGATGTCTTTTAGCATGCATTCCAAAGATCGTAATTCAAAAAAATGTATTACAACCCCTTGGATGTCCGATAATTAGCGGGATAGATTCTCTTACCGCTAATTTATCGGCACTTGTGAATTCCTCTTTACAAACATATGCACAGATAGGCCCATCTTACATAAAAGACACTAAGTCGTTTTTTGCAGGAAATAGAAAACCTCGAGTGGAGACCAGACTACAGCTGGGCAACACTCGACGTTACATCATTATACACGGTTATTGAACACAGTTTGGGACTTAAAGCTATTTTTTACTTCATGAGTCGGAATGCTAATATACCCCAAAAACTTGATTTTGTTGTCACTTCTGTTAAATTTATTTTAGCATAACATAATTATTTTTTCTTTAATGAAGATTTTTATTTACAAATCCTGCGGACCACCATGGGCAGCAGGTTCGCCCCCAGCTATGCCAACACCTAGATCTTTTTGTTTGGTCTGATCATGGCTGGGGAGAGAACCTGGTGCATCGATGATGTAATTAATATTTGGAAGGGGTCTTTTTCTTTTTTTCAAGGATTTGTGGATTATCTCAATGAGAACCAACAACATCTGAAATTCACACCAGTATGGGACAAATTCACAATAAACCTTTGAGATTTAACACCTTTATGTAAGGATGACAATATTGAGACCAAATGTTTTTTTAAACCACCAGATGGCAATGAATATGTTCATAAAAATAGCTGCCATCACTAGACCTGGTTGAGGGGAATAGCAAAAGGTCAGAGACGCAATTGTTCTCACTTCGAAACCCAGTAATTATACATCAAAAAATAAACTTATGGAAAAAGGATATAGTAAAACTTGTTTAGAGAAGGAAATTAGGGTAACAAAGAGGATGGAAAGAAATTGGTTGTTAATGTACAAGCAAAAAGGTTAAACAATCTGGAGACACTTTCAATATGCTTTGGCCACACAATACAATGTTGATCACCAACAAATTAAAAGAAGTCTACAGATACATTGGTCAATTTTGCTACGGGACACTTTACTGAGGAATTCATTGCCAGAACACCCCAACCTAATTTATAGGAAGAATCGTAACATCAAAAATCTTTTAGCCCAAAGTTATGCTCTAAAACCCAAAATAAGAATAGAGATGGAATACTTTACATTGATAACATAATTATAAAATTTAAGGTAGAGAACCTTTGAACTCGTTTTGATAAACAAATGGGTATGTGTATACAAATACAAAGGAACTAGTCCTGCGCTCAAACTCTCATTACTCCTGGGCGGCAGCAGTGACCATAGTACACATCAGCTAAAATACATATAGTAAAAACCAAAGGAAAAAAGTTGCCTGTGCTCTTTAAACATCCCTATGTATTTTTAAACAAATGGAGTCCTAACGCTAACCATTCACCTTGCTTCCTTGAGCTTGTGGCAAAAATATCTCTAATGAGACAGAAAGGGGTATTTTTTATATACATCCCAACATGCTTATTAAACCTTGATAGGGAACACATGGGATGGGCAGCAGCATTGCAACCTAGCTGTGTGATGCAAAAGTGAATACAAATAAACTAGTCCTGTGCTCAAACTCCCATTACTCCTGGGTGAGTATGTGTGGCACCAACATTTGTTCATTGGTTTTTTATTATGTTGAATTTATGAAGTTTATGTACACTTTGATAGACTAATATGTTTATGTCCATTAGATAAAATCATAACAAATTATTTAATAGGTTGCATTTAACTATACATATATTTTGCACTTTAAAATGCTTATTCATAAAAAACATCCCACCTATCCTTGTAATGCCATGAGCAGAGGCGTAACTAGAAACCATGGGGCCCCGGTAATAAAATTGCCCTGGTGCCCCCCATACATCTACTTCCCACCCCATATGTCCCTGCTCCCCCCACATGCAGACAAACAAATACACATGCAGACACATACATTCAGACACACACACACTCACAGACACACACACATTCACACACACATACTCACACACACTCACAGACACACATACATTCAGACACACACAAACACTCAGACACACACATTCAGACACACACTCACAGACACACACATACATTCACAGACACACAAACACACACATACACTTACAGGCACACACACACACTCACAGACACACACACTTACACATACACTCAGACACATACATACACTTACAGACACACACTCGTTCAGGCACACACATATACTCACATACACACATTCAGACACACACACACTCACACATACACTCAGGCACACACACACTCACAGACACACACACACACTCACAGACACACATACACTTACAGACAACATATACATACACTTACAGACACACACATTCAGACACACACATACACTCACAGACACACACACACACTCACACATACACTCAGACACACACATACATACACTTAGACACAAACTCATTCAGACACACACATATACTCACATACATACACACACTCACACATAAACTCAGACACACATACACTCACAGACACACACATACACTCACAGACACACATACACTTAAAGACAACATATACATACACTTACAGACACACACACATTCAGACACACACATACACTCACAGACACACACAGATTCAGACACACACACTCACACATACACTCATACACACACCCATTCAGACACACACACACACACACACACACAGACACACACATACACTTACAGACACACACACACACATACACTTACAGACAAACACACATACTCACAGACACACACACATTCAGACACACACAAACTATTCATATAATATGTCCAACCAGCCTCCCTACCTGGAGAGCTGGCGTGGATCTGTCCCTGGGGTCCAGTGGGGCTTCAGTGCGGCGGGCGGCAGAGTTCCTGTCAGAGGTGGAGAGGGAGCCGTGTTCTCTCTGCTCTGCTCCCTTGAGGGCTGTCTACTGATGCCGGGATCCGGAATATGACGTCATATTCTGGCTCCCTGCATCATCAAAGGGCGCGCAAGGGAGCAGTGCAGGAAGCTCCCTCGCCGCCTCTGACAGAAACTCAGTCGCAAGCCGGTGACCAGCAGGCCAACTCTTGGGCTCCCCTATGACAGGGGAATCTGGAGGCGGTATCTAGGCTCCCACGGTCGCAGGGGTCATGGCTGCAGCCGGGCCCCCTGCAGTGCGACCCCTGCGATCGTGGTTGGTACGCCATTGGCCATGAGGGGAATTGACACTTTGAATGTATTGCATACTCTCCTTACATAATGTTTTCTCTTCACTAGAACATAACTTTTGAAGTTTATACTTATCTGTTTAGTGAATATTGATGTTCATGGAGAACACCATGAGGAGATCGATTTATATTCTCCCCAGATCCATAATGGAATGCACAGTCATTTTGGAATTATGATCTTTGGAATGCATGCTAAAACGCACGGAAGTGTTTCGAAAACATCACTTCCGTTTTTCGCTGACCACAGAATTGCGATCAGCTGAGAGAAGGGCTGCTTGTCAAACTTCACCAAGGAACAGGTGAAGTGGAGATGGATTACTCCAATGAAAAGAACAGAAAGGAAGATACCAATTGGAGCACCAATGAACTAGAGGGACTAGCCCTATTATAAATGGGACTCAAGGGCAGGTATTGGTAAGTATATGCTTTATTATATTTGTATATTTTTTGTACCATAACCACTTCACCTGATTGTAAGAGTTTGTTCCATCCCGTTTATGTCAAGCCAAAATAATGTACAGGATAGCAGGGTGCAAATCTTTGAGTGTCAGTTTAAAAACCTATGTCACAAATCATAATGGCATTTTTTTTTAAAGTAAATACAATAGATTTTTTTTAATCCAATGTATATGTAAATAAATAAATTTTAATAGCTCCTGGTATTGCGATTAACCCCTTAAGGACTGGACTGTTTTTGCGCTGTTGTACATTTGCGACCAGGCATATTTTTACACTTTTGTGGTGTTTGTGTTTAGCTGTAATTTTCCGCTTTCTCATTTACTGTTCCCATACAAATTATATATTGTTTTTTTCAGGACAAAAGGGGCTTTCTTTACATACCATTATTATATAATCTCATGTATTTTAATTTAAAAAAAATAAAAAAATATGATGAAAAATTTAAAAAAAATAAGTTTTTTGACTTTTACTTGAAAAATCTTTTACTCATCTACAAAAGCGAATGAAAAAAACTGCTAAATACATTCAAAATTTTGTCCTGAGTTTAAAAATACCTAGTGTTTACGTGCTTTTTTGCTTTTTTTTGCATGTTATAGGGCTATAGGTACAAGTAGGATATTGCGGTTTCAAAACATACATTTTTAAAATTTATCAATAGTGACATTGTAACACTATTATCTGTCATAAATCTCTGAATAACACCACACATGTACATATTTTTTTTAAAGTAGACAACCCAGGGTATTCAATATGGGGTATGTCCAGTCTTTTTTAGTAGCCACTTAGTCGAAAACACTGGCCAAAGTAAGCATTCATATTTGTTTGTGTGTGAAAAAAGTAAAAAAACTAAATTGAACGCTAATTTTGGCCAGTGTTTGTGACCAAGTGGTTACTAAAAAAGACTGGACATACCCCATTTGCAATACCTTGGGTTGTCTTCTTTTGCAAATGGTATGCCATCATGGGGGTAATTCTCATTCCTGGGCTACCATACGCTCTCAAAGGCAACGTAACCAACCTGGCCATTTTCAATGTAAAAATATTTGACCCATATATTTGACCTTGTAACTTTCAAAAATGCTATAAAACCTGTACATGGGGGGTACTGTTTTACTCGGGAGACATCGCTGAACACAAATATTAGTGTTTAAAAACTGGAAAACGTATCACAACAATTATATCATCAGTAAAAGTGCTGTTTGTGTGTGAAAAATGCAAAAAAAGTAACTTTCACTGACAATATCATCGCTGTGATATGTTTTACTGTTTTGAATCACTAATATTTGTGTTCAGCGAAGTCTCCCGAGTAAAACAGTACCCCCCATGTACAGGTTTTAGGGTGTCGTAGAACGTTACAGGGTAAAATACAGTGCTAGCAAATTAAATTCTCTGGAATTTCGGCCTGGGTTGGCAGGCAGGTCCCTCAAATTGCAATCAATAAAATTACTGAATTATGTAAAAATATTACATAAATACGCACGTAGAATTTAAATATATATGCATATTTATATATTTGAAGTCTACGTGTATATTTATATAATTATTTATGTAATTTTGTATATGGACATATGTATATTTCGTATTATTTTTATTTATTTATATATACATAGATATATATACAAATTCATTCTAAGTGTATTTTGATATAAATATATATATATTAATTTTAAAATACAGTTAGAATAAAATTTCATATAGATATATATTTTTTTTAAATTTTTATTATTATTTAAAAAAAATTATTTAATTTAAATTACTTATTATTTATATTTTATAATAATATATATATACAATATATATAGTTATTATATATATATATTATATATATATACGTGTGTAATTTAATTATAAGTGTATTTTTATATTAATATAAGTACATATTAATATAAAAATACACTTAGTATGGCATTATATATATATGATATATAGACATATATAGTTATAATATATGTCTATATATCATATATACACATATATAATTATTATTATTTTTTTAATTAACACTAACTTTATTTTATTTTTTTGATTTTACACTAGCAGGGAGACTGCCTGTCAGCACAGACAGTCCCCTTGCAGGCAGACACATGGACACCTATTGTGACCATGTGATCGCTCTGTTGAGCGATCACATGGCCACAGGGGTCCTAATTCAGTGTGGGGAGACTGTCTGGGCTGCAGGCAGTCTCCCCACAACCAGAGCCACGTTGATCGCCGCCGGGGGAATGACGGCGATCAGGTAAGTAGCTCAGACCGTTAGGACGGTTCAGGACCGTCATCGGTCGGCAAGCCAAAAATGCCGATGACGGTCCTGAAACGTCCACGGTCGGGAAGGGGTTAATGTAGATCTACACTACACAAAATAATACATTTAATATTTTTGGAAAATAAGTATTATGTGCATTTATTAAATTATTCTTTTTGATAGAGTTGTGAAATACATACACAGTTCTGCAATTTTGTTTCTCTGAAATATAAAGGTGACCTATTTTGATAGATTGACAGCCTTGTAAATGACATGAGAATAATAAGAAAATATATATAACACATCCAAATAAGTATCGGGAAGCTAATAATAAAATATGTATGATCTATGTGAGAAGAGATTGGTGTGAAAAAAGGCTGGATTGGTTCATAATAACACAAAATACAAAAGTCAATTAATTTCTGGGCTGACATAAGCTAGAAATGGTAAAGTGAAAATGCTCTTTCCCAGTAGAAATAAATGTTCACTGTCTTGTTTCATTATATATTTTGATATGTTTATACTGAAAGACATTTGAATAGTTTACTGCAAGGGGAAAACAGGCATTGGTAAAGACTAAAAATAGAGACTATAGTATGTATGTTAAAGGACCACTATAGTGCCAGGAAAACATACTCGTTTTCCTGGCACTATAGTGCCCTGAGGGTGCCCCCACCCTCAGGGTCCCCTCCACCCCCGCCGGGCTGGATGGAGAGGAATGGGTTAAACTTACCTCTTTCTCCAGCGCCGGGCTTAAGGGGTTAAACTTACCTCTTTCTCCTCTCCGCCTCCTCTCCTCCTCTTCGGCTGAATGCGCATGCGTGGGAAGAGCCGCGCGTGCATTCAGCCAGTCTCATAGGAAAGTATTTACAATGCTTTCCTATGGACGCTGGCGTCTTCTCACTGTGAAAATCACAGTGAGAAGCACGCAAGCACCTCTAGCGGCTGTCAAGAGACAGCCACTAGAGGCTGGATTAACCCTAACATAAACATAGCAGTTTCTCTGAAACTGCTATGTTTATAGAAAAAAGGGTTAACCCTAGCTGGACCTGGCACCCAGACCACTTCATTAAGCTGAAGTGGTCTGGGTGCCTAAGGTGGTCCTTTAAGTATTACAGTGTCAAGATGTCCTTTTCTTTCTTTGTTTTAGCTGAGGATATAAAGATAGTAATTGTGTGGAGTAAACACTACCCTATTAACAAAATATCTGTAAACCAGCCATATCTCTAGGCTTATCAATATGTGAAGACAAAAGTTTGGCCAAAAAAATATACTTACTCTTTTAAATGTATGGTTTCCAGCTCATTCAGTGTTGTTTTACTATTTTTAATGTTTTTACTGTTTTTATACACAATGCTCCTTTAAGTACTCATCAATAACACTCCTTCCATTACCATTTGGCATTATTAGCTACACTGACTGTGTATAATACAAGCAGTCACTATCGATTTCTATGTCTGTTGAGTAGAGCACAGAAGTATAAAATATATATATGTATATATATATATATATATATATATATATATATACACATCTCTCTCTCTTTCTCTCTCTCTCTCTCTCTCTCTATATATATATATATATATATATATATCCAAATAATATCAGATGTAACCAAAGTTTTTTTGTTCTATTAAACCACGATTTTTTTCACAAGACCTGTGAGTGCACCCCTGATATTATTTGGAAATATACTTAATGCAGGTAGCACCTAGGCAATTATTACCTTTATTTATTCAGTGACTAGGAGAGCGCTCTGCATGGGGATGCTGAATTTTCCTCATAGAGATGAATTGATTCAATGCATCTCTATGAGGAGGTGCTGATTGGCCAAAACAGTGTTTGGCCCCGCCCCTTGCCGAATTTAGCCACTCCAATGCCGTGGGAAAGCATTGTATTGGCTAAAAATCGACAATTTTGATGATGTCACCAAGGGGCGGGGCCTGTGCCAGCAGACCCGCACGGCGCTGGAAATAAGGTGAGTTTCTCATGCTTTTAAGGGAGGTAAGGGGGGGGAGGGGCAAGCAACCTTAATGGTCGGTTTTGCACTATAGGGTCAGGAATACATGCCTGTGTTCCTGACCCTATAGTGTTCCTTTAAGTGATTTTGATGTGTAGATAATGCACATGCAATCTTACTGCTCTATTCTCTATCATTTAGGATTTTAAACCCTTGATGTGAAGCCCTTGATACACTTCACTTGGCTATGACTGACACAGCCTGCATATAAAATAAATTGTTTCATTTTCAATCAGATCTTAACTGAGTATTTCATTCCTGCTCTGTAAAATGAACTTTAATCATAAACAAGGGGCTACTGCAGGGCCTGGTGGACTATTAAAAGAGCAGAGGATAAAATAAATTCTAAAGTAAGCCGTCTGAACAGTAAAGGAAGTTTAAACATTAAATATCTTATTACAGGAAGTGTTTAGGAAGGATGCTTGAGTCACACATAGCTGAGGAATGGCTAGGGTGCATATGCAAAGTGATTTAATTCCTAAATTGCAGAGAATTGAGCAGTGAGACTGCAGGGACATGATCTATAAATCATAATCGCTACATTAAGCTAAAGTTGTTTTGGTGACTATAGTGTCCCTACATTTCTATCTAGTCTCTTTCTGTTATTACTATATGTTTTTCTGCTTTTCAATTATTTTACCATTATTAGCTGCTATTACTTGTATTTCTTACAATAATTTTTGCAACACTTTCATAATAAGTTCCATGGATTTGATTTTTCACTAGTTTATTAACCGAATGTTCAGACTCTGTCATTATGAATAGACTGAACTTCTATAACCATGCATATAGTTGTTATCATGGTAGTATCCTATAAAATTGTCATAGAATAATGCACCACTTTTTGGTTTTGTACACTATTATCGAGAGTTATATATACATACAATAAATTACTCTCATACAGTGAAAATACCCTCTTACTCAAATTTGGTCATACATTATTAAAGCTTCCTCTATTGCAGACGTCATACATTCCATTCTAATATGGTCGTATGTTGCTGAGCTTCCTCTAACACAGATGTCACATAAAATTTGGTTATTCTTCACTTTACTTCCTCTTTTTTAGAAGTGCCACAATCTATTAGTCCGGTTCTGCTATATGTTGCTGAGCCTCCTAAACCTGATATCACACTTGATATTTGGTAATTTTTGGTTACTTTTTACTATACTATACATATATATAATATACATAATATACATTGCAAAAGTCAAACACTCTGTTAGTCTAATATTGTTGTAAGTGCCTGAGCTTCCTCTTTTATGAAGGTTACTGTATATACGTTACTAAGTTACTAACAGGTCATGTTCACTATTATTGTTATTCAGTATTACTAAGCTCCACAATCTTATTAGTGATGTGCTCCACTAATACAATGTGTCATATTTTACTCTATAGCAGAAGATATTTCACAGTTAGGCAAAAGGTTAAATATAAAGGTCATTCATTGGACCAACAACAATTACCGCACTCAGATCATCTCACATAGGTTGGTCTATCTTAGGATGTCTGTAGCCAAACTATTTCAAATTATTTTGCAAATGTATACTGGTCCCAAGAATCCAGTTCCTATACTCAGTCACAAAGGTATTTCCCTGTGGCCAAAAACATAGTTAGCACCTCCAAATACTGGCCCGTGGCAAAGTAGTCAGGGCGTTACTTGTCACAGCTCACCTATCTTGTAAATATCATGAAGTTGCCAACACCCAGCAACAAATTATAGTGATCTTGCCCATGGCCTTAAATGATAAACCCCGTCTCATAATGCTGCTTGCCAACTAGTAGGGCCTCACCTGTCACAAACTCAGCATAATTGCTTTTCCTCTTGATAGATGTAATGTCAGCCAGAACATTAGGTAAGTTTCAACCTAAGGTGGTCAGCTGGTCATTTGTCAGTTTCTTACAACACTATGGACCAGACCCTAAATAGCATTTACAACCTATCTGTAGTAGTAATGTCCAATTTATCTTGGCCAACACTCTACCTTAACATCAAGAGGCTGTGAACCAATCAGAATGATAAAATCAGCAGTCACTGGAAACTAATAATACCTCATGTGTTACCATTTTTGAATAACTGTTTCTCCACTTTGCATAGTTTAAGTCTACCACAGAGAATGTGGAGGGAAAGAGAATGCAAGGCTATTTTCTGCATCCTGCAATTGTTTTTGTAACTGTAGCTGTAGCTTGTAGCTAATCAGTTAAATAGTTAGTAAGACTCGAACTACATGAAACCAGTTATTTCACCTTTTGATTACTATACCCAATACTTTTTTTATTCATATCCCTTAATCTTGTCTTTTCTTTTTTGGGTTATAAATTCTGTACCTATGATGCCCATTTTTCTCACCTTAACATCTCATTATTCTGTAATGTATTAAAGGTATATGTAAAGGTAGGGCATTATGGTTATTTTCTGAGTTTAAAATAGATGTGGAACAAATGACATAGAACTTTTTGGGACCAGTATGGGGTACCTCGGAATTCTGTTCCTACAAGTACCTGAGATATAAAGTCACCCTGAGTATGGCCTGGCCTTTTCTAGCTCAGGACATGCTTCAGTTTATTTTGACCTTATCTTAAGTTCTCTTAAAATGGCACTGCTGAATAAAACTTTGAAAATGAGCTAAAGATTGTGTTATAATAGCCATAGATAAGGTACCAGTGTACACTATGGCAGGAAACCTTATAGACAAGCAACCCTTAACTTTTCCAAAATACACAACATACACATACAATAAAATACACAATTTATTCATGATGCACAATACTTTTTTTTTCTTTTTGCCAATAATAGATCAATTATATTAAATGTATATTAGAAATGTAGCTACTGACATCATAATCAAGTTCAGTCCAGGGACAGCCAAAGCACACATTGCATTGGAGGAGGAGAAACGGTGTTTCACTTTCTCCTCTCTGTACTTATAACAATGATTAACCGGGAGCCAAGATTGAGTTGCTTAGTTCCAAGATAGAGGTAAATACAATGGCTTGGATCACTATATTTGATTGGGTTTTTTTTAGACCTCACTGACATATTTTTCATAAAATATGGGATAAGGAAACATTGAAATTTCTAGGAAAGAATTCCTTTATTTCTGGCTCTGCATCAAGGGAAATGCAGTTTAAAAAATCTGAGATGGCAACATTAGCTACGCCTGTGCTAATTGGCCATAACATTCATGAATTAACATAACTCTACCTTTAGAATTAAGACCTGGCCTTTTACCTCTATGAAACACACTTTCAGTTTCATGTTATATTTATCTGGTTAGGTCCAATGTACAGCTATGCTTGCATAAACGAAGTGAACAAACACAATTCTGTATCGTAAGTATTTTGAGATAAAGTGGAAACATTTATTTCTGATAGTACGTTTCCCATATATTTTATTGTCAAATATATTACAACAAATGTTCTATTTCCACTGCTGCAGCTCATGTCGGATTGCTCTTTCTTAGCACTAGATTGCTCTCTTAGGAGTACAGGTGATTCAAATGTTAGTCACAAATATGTAACTGGATAGTAAATGAAAACCGATAAGATATTGTTTAAGATCCTCCAAGATCAATGAACTCAAGCACATAATAAACTGGAGACTGCTAAGAATCAATTCATGTTCGTGGCATTGAATATATTAGTTAAATAAAACATATATTGCTTCCCTATCATACAATCTTTCATATAGATGATAAACAGACCAAGTCAGTTTCTTACAAATGCATGCACAAACATATAAACATCTGTATACTTACATATTCTCAAAATCATAATATTAATCTTAATAATAATAATTAAACTGGATGTTTAAAAAAAAAAAATAATAATTATAAGCAATTATTTTCAAGAACATTCATAACGTGCAAGTTAAACAACATTGCTTTAAGGGACAGAAAATCAATACAGTAATTATGGAAGGACATAAAATAGAAGGCCACTTATTTCCATTGAAGGTCAGGCAGGAGATGAAGAAAATGTTCACATTATCCGTATGTCACAGGGAATCAGGTCATGTGCAGGAGGCTGAATTACATGCTTTGTTTACAAAGCAAAGAAAAGAAAATGCTTTTGCATTTTATCTCATTTTCAGAACACATACAAAAGCATTTTTTTTTCTTTTCCACCAAAAATCTAATTGCAAATAAGGATTATGGGAGTGGCATGACTGAATATACAAACTCAAAGCAAGATTTGTTGAGCTTCGATTTCAAAGGGGTGTTTGTTTTTGATTTTTTTTTACTTTCTATATTGGATTTTAATCTTGGAGATTTGTTTAGTTACAAACTGAAATTCATCCAAAAGTGGGCCGATCAGGTGATCGTTCAAATTCACGTTTGAGGCTTTAGTATGACCTGAATAGAAGATGGTTTATGCAGTTTCTTTGTTGATTGCATTTTTTAAAATTCTTTTTGAAGGGTTTTAGAACAGCCTTAAATTGAATTAAATTTTATTTAATTTTTTATTTATTTATTTTTTTAATTAAATATTTCAGATTGTACAGGGTCTTCTTGATGGGAAGTGGGCTACATGTCTGGCAACAAACAGTTTATCACAAAATACTATGCAATGTGTTTGATTTAAAGGGACACTATAATCACTCAGACTACTTTGTCTCAATTAAGTGATCTGGGTGCAGTGGTCCCATCATTGCAAAACACTGCAGTTTTTTAGTTTAGTTTTTTTAGGGTTCAATCCACCTCTAGTGGCTGTTTTGCTGACTGCCTCTAAAGGCACTTCCTTCTCCAGACTGAAAAAAAAAAATGGTCTGGGAATAAAATGCTGCTATCAGCATTTGATTAGAGAAGAGCAGTATTTGGCCACACATGTGTACCTCCAATCCATTGCTTGAATTCTCTTTGAGAAGCAATGAATTGGAAGAGATCATGAAGATGTTAACAGGAATGCTGACAACTTTGAAGGCGAACAGGTGGCTTCAACAGAGATGTCCCCCTACTGGGAACATGTGATTAATCTTTATTTAACTTAGTTATTTTAAATGTTAGTAGAGGGTTGGAAAGAAGGGACCCTATATATTCAAATAACAATTGTTATTTTGGGGATTATGGGTTCCCTTTAACTAAAGCATGTATTTCTTACTGGATTAAGGATTCGGTCTTCTATACATGTTGAAAGAGTGAAAGATTTAACTGACAACATTTCAGATCAGCAGAGCCTTTATAAAGCCTGTAGTTAGGTTGAGATATGGAATATTTATATTCTTCTGCTCATTCTTTGAGTGCCTTGTCTTGTGCAGTCATATGATGAGAATTCTCAGGCATATGTTACTAGGTAAATAATTTTGACAAGCTGCCTTTTACTTGCAGTACAGTAACAGTGACACTCCCTCCGTGTCTATTATGCAGAGTTTCACTGCACACTATCAATCATTGTTGCTGTCCTACTGATACCCTATATAGGACCTCTCACTTGTTTAACATGGTTAGATTCTAGGGAGATACATTATTAAATACAATCACTTGAATACTTCACTGAGTAAAAAATGTGCCATAATGTAATATATGTAAATTAAAAAAAAAAAAACAGCTCATTGTATTTTACAAGGACAATGTCAGTTTTATCTGCGGTTGTTTCACTCAAAGGATATAAAATATGCAAATCATTCTGAACACGTCATCACAGTAGAATTAGAGGGAAATAGACTTAAACTACTTAAACAAAGGGAAATCTTTTGTACTAGTTACTTAAACAACACAAAACTTTTGTGGATGAATGAGAGAATGTTGTCTTTTACAATTTCTGTAAAAATAAAAACGTAACTAGAGAAAGATTTTTGGGTACAAGGAAAAAGGTGGTTTGCGCACACAATGGTATATAGTAGTTTCTGAATTTATATCTGCAAGTTACAAGTGTAAAAGACCATCATAGGACAATATGTATACACAAAATATAAAATGAGAGATAACTTGGAACACTCACAATATGAAGAGCCATGTAAGTCGGCTCTAAACTATGATGGCGTGTTCATACATCCAATGTTGGTACTGGAAAAGATGCAGGTCCCCCAGAAAGTAACAGTGTTCCTCTGGATGGTAATACAGGAACCAGGCATAAAGTACAAAGTAGCTCTTTATTTTGATAAATATCTTTCTCTATTTACGTTTTTTTTTTTATATATACGTTTATAAGTATATATAAAATATATATATAGAGAGAGAGAGAGAGAGAGATTTGAATGTAACCTCTTGCACTGACAAATCCACACATGAATCAAATCATCTACCACTTTTTGCTAAAGTGAAAACTCAACATGAATTTTGCATGTAATGTCAAAATAGTCAAACAAAAAATATTCTCTAAGGCAGATATGTTTATAGTTTGGTTACTGTGGATTTTAATTTAAATTGCACCTTGAATTCACTTTGAAATCTCACTTTAGTAAATCGGACTGCCTTTCACAAGCAAAGTTATTTACTAAAGTGAGGATTCAAGGTGAATTCAAAGTAAATTTCAAAGACTAGAATAGCCAAACTGAAAGCATAGCTGACTAAGAGAATTATTTTTCATTTCAGCTATGTTGGCTATAAATTTGAAATTCACTTTGAATTCAATCCTCCTTTTTTTGTAATGGACCAATCATATTTGCTCTCAAAGCAACAGAGCACCAGAGATTGCTCCACTAGAAGATATGAGGATAATTTTCATTCTAAAGGTTTGTTTAGAGTCTTTTTGTTAAATAGAAGTTGTAAGCTGTCAGTATTAACAACAGCCGGTAGCTTGTAGTGGTTAGAAAATACCACCAGGTTTACAACCGTGTAGTTATACGTTTGTAGCTTATCACTAATAACAGCTGTTGCTACAGATACCAGCCAATCTCATATTAGTGTCTAGCTGGAAAAGCAAAAAAAAGACACATACGAGCATGCACGTCACTCTGTGGGTAAGTAGTAACACGCATATAGCAACTGGCCAATAAGAAAAAAAAATAGTTTTAAGTGAAGGAATAGAGATGTAATCATTCTTAACCTCTTTGCTGCGATGTGCTGGTGTTAATCTTTATATGTTAGTGGCAGACGATAATGCAAAGGGTCACTAACCAGTAAAAAAGTAAAAGTTAGCAGATCCCCTTAAGAATTATAGGACCCTTTAGCCTTACGTTACCTTACCCGGCAATCACGATCAGGGGAACTGCTTGATGACACAGGCAATATTTGCTGCAAGGGGGCCTGCCTGGGTCCTCGTGATGACATAATTATTATACTTTTTATATATATATATATATGTATATATATATATGTGTGTAAACATAGCATAAGAAGCATAACATAGGTAATATACATAAGTTGGTTGAAGAATTAGTTCAGAAAGTGAGGAGTGGAGGGTTGGATACGGTTATTGGCTAGAGAAAGTGAGTACTTTAAATAGCGTTAACTAGTCCCTCCCATGATGATATAATCAGTGAAAGTGCAGTTTTGTGTGAAAAATTAAAATATGAACATTAATACCCTATTTTGAATACTCTGGGTTGTCTACTTTTTCAAATGGTATGCGATAACTGGCTGCTTTCTCAAAGGCAACAAAGGCAACAAAGGCAACAAAGGCAAAAAAGACCTAGCAAATCAATCTGGCTAATTTCAATGTGTAAAAACTGAAAAGGGAAAATCACTAAATTTGACCCTGTAAGTTTCCAAAACACCACAAAACCTATATATGGGTAGTGCTGTTGTACTTGTGAGACATTAATGAACACAAATATGTGTATTTTATTGAAGTGAAAGGCAACAGTATCATGACATTCACAGTTAAAATGCCATGCAGAACTTGAAAAACAAGATTTCTTAATTTCTCAAACTTTTTTAGATTTTATTCATATTTAATTATGTTTCATATATAAATATTTTAAATAAAAAGCCCTGATTCTCCTGAACAAAATTATATATAATAAGTATTGATACACTTAATATGAAGAAAGTCAATTATGGTTGAACAGACATATAGCTCAAATTCTAGGTTTTGTTTTTTAGAACTTGTACATTTGCCTCAATCCTTATTTTTTAAAACAGGAGGAATGGGGGATAAGATGGGGGAAAGCACTGCTAAGTATTCTTATTTCTCAAAAGGGAAATTTAGATAAGATAATTTTTAACTATTGATTAATTATTTTTGACTATTAAATAATTTTGACAATTTGTTATTTGCTGTTTTTTCACTTTTTCTTTTCTTTTTCTTATTATATATTTTGAGCTCATATTAGTGAACATTTGAAATTTCAAAGTTATTAGATAAATCAATAGCTCATGACTTATTTAAATTAATAGTGGAGACTTTTTTTAACCCTATAAATTAGTGTTCACTATTTTTCTCCGGTTTTGTTGATCTATTTGGTATAAATTTAAAGCGGCACTGTCATGGCCGCATCTATTTTTTTTAACCCCTTCCCGACTCCACTACATTTTATTCTCCGCCTAGTTACCACCAAATGCCCCTATGTCCCTTAATTTACCTTTTTTTTTAACTCTTTTTTTTTGTGTGCCGGCACTAGGTCCTAGGCGCAGCTATCTTAGTGTGGGCAGGTGGAGGTACTGCAGCACACATGATCTGCCCAGATGTCTGCCCAGATATCACTGTGAAATTCCCGCGCATGCCTATTGGAATGCTTGGACATTTGCTAAATTCAAAATTCGGATGGGGATTTCAGCTATTCGTTTATTTAATGAATGACAAGTTAAATTCAGTCTACGTTCCTTTCATTTACTACAAGAAGGGAGCTACCGGCTCATGGCTGCCTCCTTCTGATATGTAAAAATAGAAGCGATGGGGAGCTGTGCTCACTGCTACTTCCTTTCCCCCTCCGATTCTCCCCTTACTCTATGGGGGCCAATATGACCCCCATATTAGTATAAGGGAGATTAAAATATCCCTCCTGCCCCTACTCCCCCTTTTGTCACTTAAGGCCCCCACCCATTACTAATGGGTGGGGGATGAGGGTGGGACACTAGGTTCCCAGTTTAGCCTAATAGCGCTCATTTAAGGGGCCCGGTTGGGAGACAGGGGGGACACTATGTCCCCTTTGTTAATTATTTTAATAGGTGCTCCACCATGGGGCACTTGATTAGATTTGGGGATCTTTTTTTAACATCAGTGACCAGCTACAACTTTCAGCTTTTTAGTAGATAACTACCTAATATTGTGGAAAGTAGGGAGTTATCTACTAAACGGCTGCAAGATGCACTAATCAGATCGGAATTTCATTTTCCAAATGAAATTCCAAACCAAACATAATCACTGAATTTAATGCGAACGCAAATGAACAAACTGTGAGCATTCGGTTTGCATGAAATTCAGTCAATTTGCTGAAGCCGTGTCTGTATTACAGGATGTTCGGGAACAGTGAATGAAGCATTGCAAGTATTGTGGGAAGTTCCTTTGACCACAAGAAATGGAGCTGACTTAAGCTCCTTCTTTGGTCATAGAAAGTCAGTAGTTCCTACTTTGTCTTATGTTTTAATGAAAACTAGATCAGGAATAAAAAATAGAAGAACAGATTCTAAGAGAGGAAGAGAAGAGGAAACAACAGAAAAAAGTTAAGTTTGGTGTGACAGTGCCGCTTAAAGCTTGATATATTTAACGTAGGAATTATAGACTCTGAAGAAAAGATATATACATACTGTACAGGTTACCTATTAAACCATGAACCCAAATAAACGCTATGCTTCTTATTTTTCTTTTCTTTCTTTTTTTAAATGAGTTTAAAAAAGGCTCACTACGGTTATATAACTAAGATATAATGTAGAGAAGTTTTTGGAATTTGAAATGATACTAATATGTTTTTGGATCGCATATATTTTGTGATTATTTGTTTTATTTTGTTGTGGCATTTATTATATAACTGTATGTTAACATCACAAAAAAAAATCAAAAAAAATCTAGGTTTTGTTTTGTTCAGAACTTGTACAATTGGCTCCATCCTTAAGGGTATAACATGCCATTTAGTGCATAAAGTACCAATTGGGGTCTAATATAATATACTACAGTTTGTATTTTGTTTGTTTGTTCTAATGTTGCAGTAGAGAGTAGCACATGTCTGCGCCTTTTCAATATTTTTGTAGCTCTGGATGAATGACAGCGAACAGTTTGCATATGTTTTGAGTTCAGAACATAGAAAATATTTTTTGGTGCTAGACCTCAGTAGTGCATTGAATGGATTTTAGATTTTTCTTGCATATTTTTCTAAGGAGAACATTTTAGCAGATGGTGGATATATTTAACCAGTATAAAAGCTGCTGGAGTGGATAGCACTAAACAACAAAATGTATTCAAAGTCTTTTTTGCTGGCAATATGCACTAAATGGAACCCTGTGATCTTAACGTGTATCTGTTGTCTAGTACAATTTCTAAGTAGCAACAGCTATTAATGTATCATTACCAAATAAATTACACATGCCTGAATCAAACCAGATTAAAAAAAGATAAATTATATACACATACATAAACATGTTTAATTATTAGAGAAAATGTATTGATACTTACCGTCATTTTCTTTTCCTGGCTATTATTCATGGCAGCATTTAACATATGGGTTTAGCTCCTCCCTCTAGCCCTCAGGACAGGAAACACAATCAATTAAACAATTAAACATACCTTCCCCTAGTATAATAGGGACACCAGTAGCATCCACAACTGAGTCCAGTAACAAGACGAATATACCAAGAGAGGGTGGGAAACCAAATGCTGCCATGAATAATAGCCAGGAAAAGAGATTTACGTTAAGTATCAATACATTTTCTCTATTACTGGCTAATCATGGCAGCTTTTAACATATGGGATTCCCAAAGCAATAACCACTCAGGGAGGGTAATTCATGCTACAAAAATTGTTTAATATTAACTTAAGGCTTATAAGAGTTCAAGACCGATAGGCCGAACTCTGAATCAGAACGAGATGAGACATCCACTCTGTAGTGATGCACAAAGGTTTTCAAAGATGACCAATTGGCAGCTTTACAGATGCTCTCTGCAGGGACTTCTGACTCTGCAGCACATGAAGTAGCAATGGACCTTGTGGAATGTGCCTTGATGTCCTTGGGAACCGGTACCTGTTTTGTCCTGTATGCTCTAGAAATAGCCTGAACTGTCCAGGATCGAAGGGTTGCGACAGAAGCAGCTTCACCTTTACGAGAACCCCAAGGTATCACAAACAATTGGGGAGACTTTCTCCAAGTAGCTGAGCGTGAAATATATGTGGAAAGACAACTCCTTAGGTCTAGTGTATGACATCTTTCTTCCTCAGGAGAAAAAGGTTCTTGAAAATACCCCTGCAGGACAATCTCTTGATTCAGATGGAAGGATGTAACAGCCTTTGGAAGGAACTCAGGTCTAGGCCGTAGTACAACTCTATCATCGAAGAAGGTAGTGAACGGTTCCTCAGATGACAGTGCTCTAATGTCCGACATTCTCCTAGCAGAGACTAAGGCCAGTAACAACAGGGTCTTTAGAAAAGGAACCTGCATCTGGACCTCATCAATAGGTTCAAAGGGATGTTCCGATAAGGCCTGCAGAACCAGAGGCAAATTCCAAGGACCCGAGAATTTCTTGATAGGAGGTATAATCCTAATGACAGCTTTGAAGAAGCAAATCACAATGGGATTTAACGCCCAACGAATACCAGAAAGAGCCGAAAGAGCTGAGCAGTGTACTTTAAGAGTGTTAAGTTGAAGGCCCCTCTCCAGGCCTGCTTCCAGGAAACCCAAAAACCTGAGATACTGAAGGGGAACCTAAATCTTGAACCGTGGAATTACTCCATCTTGCAAAGGCTTCCCATATCTTATGGTAGGTAGAAGAAGTAGATGAATTCCTAGAACATAACAGGGTTGAGATTACCTGGTCCAAAAGGCCATGGTCAACTAGAGATTGCCTCTCAATAGCCATGCATGGAGCCTGAACTTGTGAGGCTCCGGATGAAACACTGGACCCTGAATCAGCAGATCTTCCGAGACCGGAAGCTCCCAAGGCAGGTCCTTTGATAACCTCTGTAACAGGGGAAAGCAAGGGCGACGAGGGAATTGGAGGAAAGACGTAGGCTAGATCGAATTCCCATTTGATGGATAGAGCATCCTGAGCAACCGCCTTTGGATGGTATCGGCTTGAAACAAAGCATGGGACCTGGGTGTTCTGAATAGTTGCCATGAGGTCCACTTGGGGAAGACCCCACCACTGGACCAAGCAAGCAAAGATCCTCCTGGAAAGTTGCCATTCTGATGCTTCTATCAGGTGTCTGCTGAGGAAGTCCGCTAACACATTCTCCTTTCCTGGGAGATAGGTGGCACTCAGGCCCTCCACATGAGTCTGAGCCCAGGTCATAATGGGAACGATTTCCCCCATCAGGGCTACACTCCTTGTCCCACCTTGATGATTTATGTAGTCAGCAGCCGCTTTGTTGTCCACTCTCAACTTGATCCAGGAATGCCGGATGATGTGTTGAAAATGAAGAAGTGCCAGAAAGGTAGCTCTCAGTTCCCTGATTTTGGAAGGCAAGTATTGGGTTCTTGGAGGCCATTTTGCTTGAAAAAATAGATTCCCTAAATGTGTCCCCCATCCGGTCTGACTGGCGTCTGTCGTAATGACCATCCAATCTATTTCCATCAAGGGAAACCCTCGGGAGATGTTTTCCCATGACATCCACCAAAGGAGCTTCTGTTTTAGAACAAAAGGAATGCGGATCAATCTCTCCCAATCCCTCGAGCTGGTCCTGAAATTCTTCAGAAAAAATTGTTGAAGAGCGTGAAGGTTCCACTGTGCCAATCTGACAAGCTCTATTGTGGAGGAAAGAGTCCCCAGAAGTCTCATAAACTCTCTCACCGAGGCTGAAATTTTCAGTCTGAAGCTCCTTATACGATCTTGAAGTATGAGCTTTCTGTCGTGTGCAAGGGATACAATCTCTGTGTCGGTATTGAAATTTGCTCCCAGGAATACCAGTTCTCTTGATGGATGCAAATGACTCTTTTTGTGATTGATGAGCCAACCGAAATGAGAGAGAGTGTCGAGGACTAGTTGTCTGTGTTGGAACATGGATTTTAAGTCTGGGGCCCCTACCAGGATGTCATCCAGGTAGTGAAACACAGCTACACCTTTTTTTCTGAGCAGAGCAATGATGGTGACCAAAATCTTCGAGAAGGTAATCGGGGCTGTACTTATCCCAAAGGGAAGAGCCTGAAATTGAAAGCGTTCCTTCCGGACACAAAACCTGAGAAACTTCTGGTGCTTGACCGTGATAGGGACATGAAAATATGCATCCCTGAGGTCTACCGAGATCAACCAATCTTTGTGATGAACAACAGGAACGATGGAATGAATGGATTCCATGCGAAATCTCCTGACTCTCAGGTAAAGGTTGAGCTGGTGAAGGTCTAATATAGGTCTCCATTTTCCTTCGGGTTTCTTGACCAAAAACAGGGGAGAATAATATCCCTGGAATCTTTCTCTCATGGGTACAGGTATGATGGCTTCTTCTATAAGAAGATTGTTGACATAAAGAGTCAAAATCTCTTGTTTTTGGCTGTTGGTAGGAAGCCTTGTTCGAATAAAACCTTGGAGGAGGAGGAAATTCTTCGAATTCCAGATGATAACCTCTGGTGATAATGGACCTTACCCAAGCATCTGGAATGATTTCCCAGGCCCTCTGAAAGAATGACAGACATGCTCCTACTCGAGGAACCTGGAGTAAGCCACCTTCAGAATTGCTTGTTGGGGCGAAAGGAAGAGTTTTGCGTCTTGCCCCTAGAAGATTTGACATTCTGACCGCTCTTCCAATTGGAATTCCTAGCAAATTCTCTGCCCGGTCTGTAGGTCTTACTTTCCCTAAAATAGCCTTGATCCCTGAAAGGTCTACGGTCCAGATGAGGTATCTTGGGATGTTTATCTTGTGGCAACATGACCTGTTTAACCTCGGCCGCTTTTCTAATAGCTTCATCCAGCGGCTTCCCAAAGAGTACTTCTCCCATAAAAGGAAGGGTGCACAAATTATTCTTAGAGGAAAGGTCTGCTCCCCAGGATCTCAGCCAAAGTGCCTTTCTGGCGATGACTGAATGAGCCATAACCTTAGAAAGAATTCTAATAAGGTCAGTAGAGGATTCCAAAAGCCAGTCACTGGCGAGTTTTATATCCCTCAAGGATTCCACCATCTAACGTCTGCTTACACCTTTATCTAGGTCTTCCTCCAAATCAAGTATCCAGGAACGCAAGGCTTTTGACAAAGCAGAAATGGATACAGCCGGATGACATCCTAATCCCGCTTTCATGAATACTTTAGATATATCAGCATCAATTCTTTTATCCATTGGTTCCTTTAGGGAAGCATTGCTATCAATTGGAAGCGTGGATCTTTTTGCAACCTTAATGATAGGAGCATCAACCTTTGGGACAGTTGTCCACATTCTAGAATCCTCCTCCTTAATCGGGTATAATTTAGAAAGCCTTCCTTGACTAGTAATCCTTTTACTTGGATTTTGCCACTAGCTCCGCATCAGGTCTTTAATAGAGCTGTGAACTGGAAAGGAAGGTCTTCTCTTGTGTAAATCACCAAAATGTCTGTCAGAAGCTGAACATTCCTTAGCCTCTTCAGGCAAATCCAATGTTCTCCTGACTGCCATAATCAAATGCTCCATAGCTTTGGAGTCCAAGGAGCAAGGTTGTTCCATATACTCCTCTTCGCTGGATGAGATTGGCTCTAAATCCAGGTAAGCCGAAGTCTGTCTGTAGTCATCGTCAGACTGATCTGAGTCCATGCCAAAGGTCTCACCTCTTGTTCTTTTACCTTTATTGGATTCTGCAATTCCCTCCACCACTGCCTGCTTAATCCAGTAAGCAATATCCTTGGCTGAAGAGGTAGAGGCTTGCGGTGACTTCTGGCAATCAGACTCTCCTGCAACCATGGCTAAGCATCTTCTGCAGAGCCTGCAGTTATCCATTGGACTTGCACTACATCCAGGGCAGGCTGACGGTTTTTCCCTTCTCCCCGATGGGGATCTTGAACAGGACCAGTCTTGAGGGCTTTAAGACACAGAAGTCATAAGACTGTACCCTCCATGCACTCTTTTTAGTAACGTGAAAATTCAAAGAAAAAATGTTGCTCACCTATGACCTATAGCAGATCTCGTTGATTTTGCAGAAGGGGATGATGGATCCATACTGACTGTAGGGCTAAGAACATTAAAACAGGTAATGCATTCCAAGCCTAAACATTTGGATTATTATAAATGATAAAGTAAATTTCTTACCTGCAGAGCTTAAGAAACAGTCTAATAGAGCACTGTATCTTTAAAGGAAAAAGAAACGAGCGTTTTTTATACTGTAATACCGCCATTTCAAATTTCCCGCTCTGTACCTTTAAAGGTACACATGCGCTCATTGGTCGCGAGATCGCGAAACCGCCATTTTGGAAAAGGGCAAAATCACTCTGATTCTGGTCGTGCGCATTGCACATGCGCGGGCGTCTTACCGTCATGCCGATCGTCTGATCGAGGTCTGCAGTTCACATTCTGGATACCAGTGGGTTCCAACAGCCTGTGGAACTAACCACCAAGGCTCCCAGGGGTTCCCAACTCCTCAGAGATTGGGCTACATATGTCTGGGCTTCCTGAGGAGGGAGGCTGACCTCCACAGGGACAAGACCATATCAGACATGGTCAGGTGAGCAAAAAAAAAAAAAGAATTATTCAGACAAACTGAAAAAAATAACTGTCCTAGGGCTAGGAGGAGAGGAAAAGACTGAGGTGTGGATGCTACTGGGGTCCCTATTATACTAGGGGAAGATATGCTTAATTGTTTAATTGATTGTGTTTCCTGTCCTGAGGGTTAGAGGGAGGAGCTAAACCCATATGTTAAATGATGCCATGATTAGCCAGGAAAAGCAAATACTTTAAACAAAGCATTGCAGCTGCAAAATATAGTATACACTATTATAGTTAGCTAAAAAATAATATTATGTGAATTTCCCAGTCTACTTTTTTTGCAGAGTTATGGGTAATAATACATACTGTAATTTTTAATTCACGGTATGCTAGAAATATATTTTTTTTCTTTTTTTTTTTCAAAGGCACAACATAGATAGTCTTCAACCCCTTTGTGTCTGGAATTTCTACTGGCACCCTAACATAAATAATTCATTATTCAAATTTACATTGACTTGTCTAATTAATTTTTTTTTTACATTGGGTGAAACATCTGACTTGGAAAAAAAACTCCAAATTTACTATTCTAAATATGATTATACTAACCAAATTACACAGTATAACAATAATTCACCTCAGTTTTGTTGGAACTCTAGCCAGCTTTCTATAATTGCAAGCTGACTAATCTCTAGTGCAGGATGCTCCAAACACTATCCCTCCAGGTGTTGCTGAACTACAACCCTGATGATTCTCTGGCTTTCTGTTTTATTCAACGAACCATGAGAGGTGTAGTTCAGCAACATCTGGAGGGTCAGACTTTGCAGAACCCTTTGTCTAGTCATTTGCTTGGTGTATCGACTTGAAGGGTAGGAGTTTCACTTTCATAGGGTAGCAAATACTCATTCAATCCCCTTGACTAGCAAAGTGCTCCTTACTGATGCATGTGGTGTGCACCAATTGTTTATCTCTGCCAGTACAACATTGTGATCCAGAGCTTCTGAGTAAATCATAGCACTGCTGGCTGTCAGTCTATCAACCAGCATCCTGATTCACGTAGGTAGCAGGACCAGGACAAGCACCATTGCATCATCCAGAAGTGCAGACCATATACTAACCCAACTTGAACATTAGGCAAGAAAAAGATAGTAATTGATAGGGTCAGGACGGTGATAAAACTATGCCACTGTATAAATCCCTACATATATGATCTTTTTGCAAACATGTATATTTCATACAATGATACACATACAACCCCAACTCACATCCAACATGCATTCACAAACACACAATTCTCACAGCACACATGTTGCCCCACACATAACTCCTATACTTAGTTAAACATCTTCTGCACACCTAGCTTCCATTACTCTGCAAAACATTGATCATGCACACAACTAACACACTGTCATTGTATGCATGCTCACATCCAGGCACCTGCTACCTACAAACTCTAGTGTAATGAAAATATGGAAGGTGTTTATGTCACATAATTGTCATATTCTGCTTTAATATTTTGTCAAAAGCATCTTTTTCTCTGATGCTTTGTTACAGAGCAGATGGTGATACAGAGACATGTGGGGGAGTCACAGTATTCCGGGTGGCTTGTTTAAAAAAAAAAAAAACAGGCACATTACTTGCACACCATCCATCTAATGAAATAAAAAAATGGGTCAGGAAATTAGTGGGATGGTTATATTTGCCCTCAAATCTGCCTACGACAAAGCTCTCACCATATTATTCGGAAGCATACAACTGGGAGTTTTCCTTAACCTTTCCTTGTTAGTGTTACCCAATTAAATGTCAACTACAGATAGTTATCCACTATAAACATGTATCATACGAAAATCAGTCCTGGCAATACGACAGTGCAAACTTTAACCCTGAAGTGCCATCTGATTGGCTGGAACTGTCCCGCTAATTTGAGAGCTATGTAATATGTAACAATGGTTATGATCAAATACTACATTTTTACTTGTTGTAGTAAGGAATCTGTGGAGTTTGAAAAAATATATATCTTAAAAATCTAGAGCTTTATTAAGATTAAAGAGAAACTCCATTGCCAGGAAAACAATCCATTTTCCTGGCACTGCAGGTCCCCTCTTCCTCCCCCCTCCCAATCCCCGGTAGCTGAAGGGATGAAAACCCCTTCAGGTCACTTACCTGAGACCCCGCCGATGTCCCTCGGTGGTGGTTTCTTCTCGCCGCCGCTCCTCCCAGTCATCACGTCGGCCGGTGGGCGAGGCAGATCCCGCCCACCCGCCGGGGAGACCTAATGCTTTTCAATGCTTTCCTATGGGGAACTGAGCAAAGCTGGAGGTCCTCACACAGCGTGAGGATGTCCAGCGACGCGCTAGCACAAGTTTTCTGTGCTATAGAGCAGGAAGTGCCCTGTAGTGGCTGTCTACTAGACAGCCACTAGAGGTGGAGTTAACCCTGCAAGGTAATTATTGCAGTTTATAAAAACACTGCAATAATTATACTTGCAGGGTTAAGGGTAGTAGGAGTTGGCACCCAGACCACTGCAATGGGCAGAAGTGGTCTGGGTGCCTGGAGTGTCCCTTCAAGACAAGCATAAATCCTGTTCCCTGGTATTGTTTCTTGGATACGATATTCGTTAATTGCAAGTGGGTACATTTCATTTAAGAGAATGAATCAAAGTAATGTAGTAAAGGTAAAAATATTTTAAAATGTATTCTTTTGCTTCGTTAAGAAAAAATAAAATAAAACATTTTAAATCATCCTCACAATAGACTGATGTCTTCAGCATTCTGGTATTTGATAAGATGCAAAACAAATATCAACCTGTAATTCAATTTTAAATTTGTGTTTTACCTTAACACAATTAGCTTTTTAGAAAATAAACAGTGAATATGTCTGCAATATGCACATTCACGGCAAACCTCTCTCAACAAGGTGGTTGTCAAGTGATCTACATATTTGGAATTTGTGAACCATATTTTTCTTTTGTTTGAAGAGCCGGTGACATTGCATACAGCACTTGATCTGCAAACTTCACACCCAAACATGCTCTTAACTCAAGTAGAGCAGAACTTTTGTGTTACTTATATTTGTTAATCAATGATGGATACCACACTTGAAACACTTTAGTAAGTCAACTCGAGTCATAATATCCACATTTTGTTTATCTTAAAACTGGAAACATGGGTAATTGTTAGAATGAAATTGTATTATCAAAACTAAAACAAAACCTCTCATGGATAAATTGATAAACTGCACAATCCGTACAGGGAGCCTACAAGCATAAGTGGAACAATTGCAAATGAAATTACGTTTATTTAAAACATACCGTATTTACTCTAATCTAATGCACACCCCAATTTTTGAAAACTGGAAGCTGAAAAATGTTTTTGCTGGTGAATGTAATGCACATTTATACAAGAAGATACTACTATACAACATTGTGCTACAATGAAAATGTTTATTGCCATATACCATGGTAACATCGATGGTATTTAAATTGTAGTGTTACATGTTAAGTCTATTATTTCTTAAGCTTTCTTTCAGGAACGAAATTTGCCTTCGTGAATTTGTCTGTGTGAATTCACCTGTGTGAATTTGCCAAAATGCAATTCGCAGGAAAATTTTCAAATGTAATGGGCAATCAAATCTAACGCCCAATCACATTTTGGAAACTTTAATTTCCAAGAAAAGGTGTTCATTGGGTGCGTATTTGGTTCTATAAGTGAAACACTGGTGTATCTTTTTGTAGGTACAGCCCACTTTACATTGACAATTCTAATGTGGCAAGATTTATTATTGTATGAAATTGAAACAGAAAACCTAGAAAGGCTCTGTAGGTTAAATTAAAAGATAATTCCTGTAGGTAGAGTTTGTTGCAAGATAAAAAAATGGTTTACGTTTTTAACAATTGTCCTGAACAATAAGTTCACTCCTATTGTTCTCCTGTATTGTTATTGTTCTCCAATAAGTTCACTCCTATTGTAATTTACTTTCTATATAAACCTTAAATGAAGAAAATCAGATGTTCTCTCTTTCTTCAGGTTATTATGGATCCTGGTCACACCTGCACTCTTCAATCTATTTACACTTGTATGGTAGACTGCAGACCAATTTGAATAGATTGACGTTTGTTGGTGAATTATTGACTCAAGAATTAATGAGCTACTTTGGGGAAAAACTACTTTAAATCTTCTGTTTCATCATTGCATAATATAAATAATATAGAGAATTAAACCTAAATAAAATAAATGATTTTTTTTATCTTGTAAGTTAGACCAAAATTACTGCTGAAAATTTGATCTTTACTACATTTTGTTTGTTTTACATTTGAATACTGTTAATATTAAGCTACTCTAGTTAGTTTTTGTTCCTCATGTATATGTGACTTTCTTTCTAACTTTCATGCAATTAACTCATAAAGAGCATAGCTATATAGAAAAATTATGACCTTATTGAACATAGAAGAAACATAGTTGCACGTGCAGTAAAATCTTAACCCCATTGATGTACAAAGCCAGCAGATTGGCAGTAAAATATAATAACTTACTGCAAGAAGAAATCTGTCGCTAGAAGGAAAATTCAAATGACTTGTTGCCTGAAAATAAAAATAAAACAAAAAAACAAAAACAAAACAAAAAACTGGTGTATTAACTTCTTCTATGCCAACTCATGTTTACCCAGAATGGTGTCTTCTGACAACTACTGACAGGCTTAATTTCTGATTAAGAACAGTATCATGATAACAATGCATAATTTTGTTCAAATATTTACAAAAACAAATCCACATCCAGCCTTCTTTTAACAAGCCAGCTATCTAGTAGAAGAATTTGATACAGTACTGCATAATAGAAAGTGACAGTGAGGAACTATGGAGGAGATGGGGGAATGTATTAGCAAGCATCAGATCAGGACCATAGACTAGGCAACACATAAAGACAAAAAAACTACTGTGGGACATAGTGTATATACACAACATCACGCACACACATACACATACACACACACAAACACACACACATATTTACAACCTTTTCTTGACACAAATTGTTCAATTTCATAGAATATCTGATAGGTCTTATTTAATGAGAAAAAATATGTTTGAATGAAATATTACGTATTTGTTGAAAAACTGCCTCTGGACAGAATCCAAGGCTGGTTCATGCAAACTTTTTTCCTATTTATGGTGTTATCTTATGGTATTTCCATAAACCTATCCTTATTTTCAGGTGAACAATAGACTTTATCAATCTGTATTTATGCACATTGATTACACCTGAAATGTATTATCTGATTCTTGAAATAACCAGAGCTCAGCTCTTCTTGGTATTGCTTGTGGCTTTGTGTTGTAACTCCTGGTGCTTCGGCTGCGCATGCCCAAGAGTACAACATTGAGATCTATTGAGGATCCTGTGAAACTACAGGATTCGCCATAGAAAGTGCTAATTTCCACACAGTACTATACATAGCACTGACTGGTTTTTCAGAGAAACAACAATTACAAAGCTGGATGATACCGAAAACAAGCATGTTTAATGTTACAAATACCTAGGCCAATGTGTCCAATCTAATGTATCGGTTGTACAGCAAATCCAGTCAATTGTAATAATATACTCTTCTGATACATCACTGTGTTAACATACTGTGCCTAACATATTTCTTTGTAATGCTGAAACATGTTCAATTAAGCTTTAAAAATGTTTTTAGAAAGTGCTAATTTCTCTGCAGCTATCATTGGAGATGGCTGAGGGATTGACAAGACTTGGTGGCAGAGCATCTAGGTTCAAGCATTGTCAGGCAGAGGAATAATACGGAGACAAAGCAGTCCCTGGGTTGGAATTGATATTGTATACATTTTTGATAGTTGATCAGCAGCAGGTTTGCACAGGTGTATTTTCTGGATATTTAGCTGAAATATATATATCGTCATTTACATACTGTATGGGTTACTGGTACTCTTAGAGATTAGTTTTATGTCAAACTGCAATTTAGTGAATTCTGAGCGGTCGAGTGATTGACCAAAAATTCACATTTTTTGGAAATGTGCCAGAATCTCAGGGAAACCAATTTGCACAAGCCTGAACATGCTATTTTCGGTTCCTTATTTGCAGTACTGTTCCAGGCACCAGAAACAGTGTGATGGAACAAAGAAGAAGCTATTTTTTGCTTTTTAACCCCTTAAGGACACATGACATGTGTGACATGTCATGATTCCCTTTTATTCCAGAAGTTTGGTCCTTAAGGGGTTAAAGTGGGGAGCAAATAAGCAGCTTAGTTTCCCATGAAGGACAAGAGATTTGCCCAATTATGTGAGCTGGATCTCCTGTCCAATTATGAGACTTGAAAAAAATGTGATTGATAGTTAGGGGATAGTGATGTCCCGAACGGTTCGCCGAACAGTTCACCACGAACAGTTCGTAGCGGACTCATCATTAAGTAAACTTTAACCCTGTACCTCACAGTCAGCAGACACATTCCAGCCAATCAGCAGCAGACCCACCCTCCCAGACCCTCCCACCTCCTGGACAGCATCCATTTTACATTCATTGTGAAGCTGCATTCTTAGTGAGCTGTCCAGGAGGTGGGAGGGTCTGCTGCTGATTGGCTGGAATGTGTCTACTGACTGTGAGGTACAGGGTGAAAGTTTACTCAATGATGAGTCCGCGGCGAACTGTTTGTCGCGAACCGTTCGGCGAACCGTTCGGAACATCACTAATAACACATACAAAATGTCAACACCTTTTAAATCTTCAATCTAATAATCAACCGCTCCAAATGTGACCCCAAAGTGCTAAAGTCAGTAACATACACCCACTTTAAGAAAAAAAAATTAATTTTACTGCACTGCGATAGCAAATTTAAATGTAGATATAGACATTTGTTTCTCTAACACCAGAGGAAAAACAGTAAGAACCAGTGGGGACATGGTCAATTTTCTATTTTACAGAGAGACATAAAGGCAGACAAATATATAGACAGGGAGACAGAGAGAGAGAGACAGAGAGACAGAGATTTTCTTGCTTCAATGACAAACATTTTTATAGAAAACTAAGGAGCTTCACAATATATGACAAATCTTTGAAAGCATATGACTTGTGCACAGTAAAAATATGTTTTTGCTTAATCACTTTGTCCGTTAGTTATCCATATAGTCCACAATAATGTCCATGCAAAATATTTGAAAATGATTCGGACAAATCAAAAAGGCATGAAAGTGGGCCAGTCAGTGTGCTGAAAAATATAAATAATATGTATATATTTTCATGTATACTGATTGACAGATCAAATGAGAAAAATTAACCAATAGATGAGAAAAGAGGAGTAGTAGTAAACAAATAAAGCTATATTTACAATTTTTTAAATATATCATATATAAAGATATGTTTTGCTGCTCCTCCTATTTTCCTTCTAGTGGTCACTTCTCACATGATATGTGAATAAAATCAACATTTAGTGGCTGTCTCCTAGCCATCAACCATATTTTAATCCCCATCAATTATCTCTTTATTTGGCACCATGGACAGAGCTCTGAATCACAAAACAAATGAATGTGCTTAGTTGTAGTCTGGCTTGTTTGTTCATAATATGTCCCTTTGGCACTTCAGAGTTACAGAATCCGGAAGACCTACCACTCACCCAGTCAAATCCCAGTTTGTTCAGAATAAAATGCAGAAATCTTGGAACACATTTTTAAGTATTCAACCATAGATAAATAGTTGAAATCACGTAGACATAGTAAATCAATTATCAAACATGTATTTTGCAGGTATGCATTACAGAATCATTTCACCCACCTTTCATATTGAGTTTTGCTCTGTATTAATGTCTCATATTATTATAATAATTTAATTTCCTTATTTAATTCATTCATTTAATTTAACAGAGTTTGTGTTGCATTTTATTGTAATAAATATCACAAATTTTTTTGTTCTATATATACAATGCAAGCAGTAAGCACTGGGAACACAACTGACCACAAACTCGGGGATTTAGAACTCAGTGATAGGGATGTCATGTGACCGAACACAATACGAAACTGTCTGAAAACAAGCTTTGTACGGAATCGTTTCAGTGTAACACTTGCAAATATCCATGCTGCTTTTTCTGTATCAAATTAGGAATTATAATAAATTCCAGAGCAAAGTGGATAGTTTATATTTTATTTAGTATAACATTGTTTCATTGTAACTTACCTTTTTCAGGTCTGCTTCTGAATCCTCAGATCACAGTTTCATTCCTTTGATAGTAAAGTATCACCAGGTCGATTCAATGCTGAAAAATTAAGTTCCTTACTAACGAAGCTGCTTTCTCTTTCTGTATTTTCTAGCATTCAGTGGAAGAGACGCTGCCATATGCTATAGAATATTACCTTTACTTAATGGCGACAGAGCTGCCTACCATCAGATCGATTTACTAAACAAACTAAAAACGTGGGTGGGGATGTTAAACAGTAACTACTGTAGTAAAACCACACAGAAAATTGAAAGCTACCAGGTTTACCATCTCATTTTACAGGACCATGCATTGTGGATGACATATACAAAGGGTGGGGAAGAAAGAAACTTCCTTCTTTTCGACTTATTTAAAAGAAAATAATTTAAATGATATTTACAGAAGCACATATTTGATTTACTAGAAAACTTGTAAACAAAGCCAAGGTAGGCACATGGGATGAGAAAGAATATAGAAAACATCAGTTAAAGTGCTAGCACTGTAAATCAGTGCCTAAAATGTGATATTGCTCCTATAATGTTTGATTTTACATGTTTGCACGTGATGTTTGTGTAAATTGCTTTGATGAAAGAATTTTCCACTAGCCATGACTCTTCAAGCTGAGTAGAAAGACAAACTAGTTATTCAGGAGGAAAAGACAGATGTAAGGAAGGGTTCTATGAATACATGAATTCTACAAAGTTATGAGAATGGTGATATGTTTAATGATAAAATAATTCAATTTAAGAAATGCTGAAATAGGATGTCATATCAATTGTCAGAGTATTTTAAGTAAAATAATTTTTATTACTAAAAAGGTAATCACAAACTCTTTGATTATCTCAGTATTTGGACTGCTAAACTAATCAGGTTTTAGACTCTTGCTACACTTTTTGCTCTACCTCTACCCATGCCCTCACTTTCAAGCTCAAGCTAGGCATCCCCGCTCCAGTGGGCATCTACCACATGGCTAAGTTCTGCGTCTATTAATCTGTTTTTCCCTCCTTTACATCTTATTCATCCATCTGCATGGTTACTACAAATAAAGTCAAAACTCAAATGTTTGATTTGTTTGTCAAATTACATCCCTTACTCTCCTCCAATTTCCTTCTCACAAAAGAAGTGTCATCTTTGATTCTTCCTCCTCATTGGCACATTTTACCTAAAGCAGATAGTTTCATCTTTGCAGTGTTTGAAAATTTAGTCCACACGTCACCTTCTAAACCATCCTGGTCTTCCATAACACCTCAGCAGTGCCACAGGCTGATAGATTACATGCCACGCCGCATTGAGGCAGTAATTGCAGCAAACCAAGTACTGAGTCTATATGCATGCTTATACTTTTCAGATGTCCGATATTGTTCTATGTACACTCCTTGTTTTATTGATTGCATGTAATATTCTAATTTACTGAGATTGTGGATTTGGGGTTTTCATGAACTGTAAGCCATCATCATTGCACTTATGAGAAATCACGGCTTGAACTATCTTGCTTTGCATGTAATGCGTCTATCTCATATATTAGTTTCCCCTTTTATGTTGCATTACTGAACTAAATGAACTTTTGCACGATATTCTAATTTTTTGAGTATAACCTGTATCGCTTTCCTTTTAGCACTTTTCCATGATTTATTCTTCTCAAACCTTTTTGATAGGGTTTATTAATATTTTTTATTCTCTATATTTACTTGTTTTTTTAAATAATTTTAGGTAATTTTCCCCCACATTACTACATCCCTCAACTCATTTCAGTGCCTTTCTGTCTGTATTTTTCTCTTTTAACTCATCAGTCTCTCTGAGTTATTTTCACTCCTGGTCTCCCTGCCTCATGTCCTATTCCTTAACTCTCTCCCTCTCTCTTTCTTTCTCTCACAGAAAGAGAAAAGATCCCTGCAATTTATAATGTGAAAGTTAATCATATTCTCTCAGTCCCCCATCTCTGTTTTACCCCCATCTTTTTTTCTGTCTCTCATTTTCTGATCTCTGTCTTTTTGCCTTTCCCTTTACATCTAACTGTCGTTATCTATCTATTTTCCACTAATCTGTCTATCCTTCTGTTTATTTGTCCGTGTCTTTCTGCCTTCCCTTATCACTGTCTATTTTATCTCACTTTATCCCATACATTTATTTTGCATTTTTTGAAATGTTTTTAAAACTATACAAAAGGGATAAAAAAAAAAAAAGTGACTGCAGTTTTTTCAAGATTTCATACATTTGTGGCTAACACTGTTTTGTTCCTGCTTTCTCATTTGATGCATTTAATTTTTTTTTGTAACTTTGCAAATACGTTGTGCAGATTATAATTTTGTTATTTTTACAAGTATTATTGGGGATTGCAAAATGATAGGCATGCCCTAATTTTGATATTACTCTTGGTGACTAAATAGTGACCCTGTTTAGGTCACCATTCTGACAAAATTGTGAAGCTACTTCTAACTCTAGCTACATCTTATCATAACTAACTCTAGCTGGCCCCTATCTTAGCTGACCTTAACCCTTGCTAACCCTTGCTAATAGTAATCATACTATTCCTAGCTAATTTTAACCCTAGCTAACCCTAACTAACTCTAACTATAGATAACCCTAGTCAACCTAACCCTAACTAACTATAGGTATTACTAATTCTAATAGTAGATTGTTAAGTAGGTAGGTATCCCAGGCTGAGCCAATGCTTTGTATGCCAACCAGAGAGATCCCTTAGCTGTCAACACACATGCACAGAGACAATCACTCCAAGCAGTCAGCAATCGGTTGATGTATGCAGCCAGCAATAGCCATGTAAATGTCAATCTCAGTGTGCACCAGGTAGAGAGGTTGCCTCAAGCCTTATTGCATATGCTGAGGCATAAAAACACTGTGACGGCATGTCACAGCATTTTGATATGAAGGGCAGCTTCTCAAACTTATTGCTGGATTTGTTGTGTCTGAGACATCCAGCAACAGCCAATACAAGCTGTGACCAGTAAATACTAGGACTCCCACATGCCACCAACCCAACTGGAAAAGGCATCTGATTGTGGTGAGCCACTGCAGGATATCCTTACTAGCGAATGTCTGACAATTGCTTGGTCTTGTCATTATCAGCTTGGACCTATGATTTAAATGGTGTATGCACATATACTGCCACTGCATACATGATTGCAGGTATCATGAAGGACTTAAAAAAAGTAGGAATTTTAAGTAGACATGCAATTAATTTCATTCTGAATTGAACTTTGTCCATTTTCATATTACGAATTTCAAGGTAAGAAAAAACATATTTTTACAGATTATTAAGGGGGCACCTAAGAAGACCCCTATACGGCATAATAAAGTTAAAACACAAATTTTCTTAAAAGGATTGGAGTAACTCTATAGGAACCATAGACAGGGGCAGTGCAAACAGCTTTTTAATGACCTATTTATTCATGAACTGTAAACTTAAAAAGACGTTCTCTATTAAAGACTAAAGAAAAATGAGCAGCATGACAGGAAGTTGCAAGCCAGAGAGACTCCATTACTTTTTGTAGAAATTATTATTATATTCATATAGTGCCAACAAATTCTGTAGCACTTTATAATGGGTGGACTGACAAACATGAAATTGTAACTAGACAGGTTTGACACACAGAAACAGAGAGGGTTGAGAGCCTTGCCCAATGAGCTTACATGCTAGAGGCAGTGGGGTAAAGTGACACAAAAGGTAAGGTATGTATTAGGGAAGTAGATTGGTAGAATAGTATTCAAGACTTAGTGTTGGTTTTTGTCTGGAGCCATTAACAATTTAATTGATATGCTTTTGTGAAAAAGTGGGTTTTTAATGGGGTTTTTTTGAGGAGTGGAGACTGGGTGATGTCACGGGTGGCAGTCCGGAGCCTGGGACCCCTGTATGCCTGATGATGAAGATAGGAGTCTCAGCAAGTAAATGGACAATTTAGGGTCTGGTGCAGGGTAACCACGCACCCCCTGGTGTTGAGCACCAGGGTTTGTGTGGCCACATACCAGAGCCCTGATGCAGCTTCTGCAGATCCCAGGTGCTAGATGATAATATATATACCTCCCAGGATCTGGATAGGGAGGCTCTGCAGCAGATATGTATCCAGTACTAGAAACAAGGCAAGACTAGAATAGGCACTAAACAAGACAAGACTAGAAGAACCCAGAACCAGAGAAGGACAGAAAGCAGAACCCAGAATATGTACACCATACATGAGGGAAACATGAAAAGGACATGGACAGGGCAGGACAGGACAGGACATGAATACAAGACAAAAGAAAACAAGACAAGAGATGCAAGGCAAAACAAGAGGAGAAATAACCTACATACTACATATGTAATAAACATTGGAGATTTAGACATACATAAATGGCCAAGTTGTATGTAGCCCACCACTGTGCCAAAGTACTCCAATTACAGTGGGTCCTAACTGCCTAGATATGCATGACTAAATAAACAACAATAAAACACACACAGGATTAACCTGCAAAGAAAGGAGCAGAGGAAATGAGACCACTGCTTGCAGGAACAGACTGAAACAAAAAGGATTAATAGCAAAGGAATGGGTGTGGCAACAAAAACAACATTTAAAGGAATCTAGGAGACTGGGGATTCCAGGAACGGAGTAAAGTAATCAACCCAGAAAACCCAGCATAAAGAAAACCAGACATAAAATAGAATAGAAAACCCCAAAAAACGAAGAAAAACTAAACAAGAATTGTACTGGAGTACTGGATATCAGAAGCCAAGACAGAAATGATCTGCAACAGGAGCAGAGTGTGACAGGTGAGCATCTAATGGAAAAGGGAAGGAAGTTCCACAGGAATGGTGCAGCCTTAGAGAAGTCTTGGTTACGAGCATTAAAGGTGGGAGTATGAACAGAGGATAGACGCAGGTCTTCGGCAGAGCGTAGGGGCCTAGACGGGACATACTTGTGTATTAGTTAGAAAACAGGAACAATGGAAGCCTAAATAGGTAAGGCAGTGAAGGGGTTAACCCTAAATAGAATTAAATACAATGAGAAAGAAAGAGGAACTGCCCTAAAGAGATGTTGCTAATATATTTAAAACATAACTTTTAATAAGAAATCTATAAAAAAAATGATAATGAAAAAGTGAAAAAAGAAAACAAATAAATAAATATTGATTATAGAAACCTCAGTTTCCCACAAAGAAAAATGTAGGAAAAACACAAATTAAAATAATAACTAAAATTAAAATAGACAGACAGGTGATCGTACTTTAT